ACCATGAAGGAGACAAGGATACATGGTGGGAGGGCGTCATCGTCTATGATCACTATCCCAACTACGTCGTCAAGTACAACCATAGGAAGTATCGTACGTCTGAAGAAACTGAACTCGTTCGAGTTGAGAGACTGCGGCTAATCAACAAGATACAGCTGACACAAGACGATGACGTTTGCTTAGGAATGGATGTGCTGGTGTTCTATGACTCCAAGTACTACACTGGTCGCATTGTTGACGAGAGTTGTGGTCACATATCTACTGCCTCTGGAAGAGTAACAAAGAAGAGAAGGATACTGAAGAAGAGTATTACCATATATATATCTGTAATCAATGTTCATCACGATGCCAAATGGAACACACTGTTCAGACTTTGATCTCATCAACAACACACTCAATACAAAATAATTCAAATAAATGCAAGAATAATCTTATCGCTCATACAACTGGTCATTGCGGCCCGCACACTCAGTTGCCAAACCTGCCGCACAAAAATGAATTCGACTCTAAGTCGATGAATCTCCCACAGGAGTTGTATGCGTGGACACCTCCACGATTAATTTGTTGTGTTTTGATCTGATTCATTGAAAAGGCTTTTGTATTCTTCGATATCTCGTCTCAAATTAGAGCTTCATGTATCCTGCCACTGATTGTTTCATCATCCTGCTTCAACCCAGACAACAACAACATCCACCAAGGTGACATCATCAACTTCAACAGAGACTACAAAGAAGTACAGTATTGGATGGAAACATGATATTGAACCAACCAAGACTAGTCCACTACTAACAATGCCTGTCTGTGGTTGATAATCATTAGGATCACCAAGATGTCCAAAGGAAGCCATTTGGTCATTTCTATCAATACTATTATTTTAAGTTTCAAAGAAATGAATGAGACTTGTGTTGTTCACTAGAGTGAAAATGCACTGTCTCACCCTCGGTTATTCGATCCGGTTTTGATTAAAAAAACAGCTGGTCGGTTCGAATAATTGAACTTCCTTCGGATTGGTAAAAGGGTCCGGTTCGGTTTATTCGGTCTCGGTTAGTCGGATATCCGAACTCGGTCTCAAACACTGCAACCCAGACAACAACAACATCCACCAAGGTGACATCATCAACTTCAACAGAGACTACAAAGAAGTACAGTATGGATGGAAACATGATATTGAACCAACCAAGACTAGTCCACTACTAACAATGCCTGTCTGTGGTTGATAATCATTAGGATCACGAAGATGTCCAAATGAAGCCATTTGGTCATTTCTATCAATACTATTATTTTAAGTTTCAAAGAAATGAATGAGACTTGTGTTGTTCACTAGAGTGAAAATGCACTGTCTCCCCCTCGGTTATTCGATCCGGTTTTGACTAAAAAAACATCTGGTCGGTTCGAATAATTGAACTTCCTTCGGATTGGTAAAAGGGTCCGGTTCGGTTTATTCGGTCTCGGTTAGTCGGATATCCGAACTCGGTCTCAAACACTGACCTGGACAAATGGAACTCCATAATCGACACTGAATATCTCGCCATGTAAACAACCAACACCAATAAACAAGTAGCCTAGAGTGTATATGCTCTTTGTAATTAAAAAAAAAAAAAATGAGAAATTGTATTTTAGGACGATTCCCTTCGATAGCGTACTTAAATTACACGATTTAGMATATCTCAGTAATGTTCCCATTGTWATATAGATTTGTTTGTTCMTTCTKGACTTTCACCCTCTGAAACTWGACAAARGTWATTTTCAATACAAATTAATCTTTGGGACTATTCCACTCAATAGCRTAAACTAGATATTCCATAGAGTATACCTATGTAATATTCTCAATTTAATATTASRTATTCTGTTTARATTGATATATKAATTAAAATGCCAATTCTCATGAGATTTGATGAGATTGAACTTTGAAAAATTGTAAATTTCGACAATTCCCTTCGATAGCCCACTYAAWTTACATTAAAAAACATATATTAATAATATCCCCATTGTTATTATCAGTTGCCATTGAATAGCCAGTGAATATCCAGTGAATAGCTAGTGAATAGCCATTGAATAGCCAGTGAATAGCCAGTGAAAAGCCTGTGAATAGCCAGTGAATAGCCAGTGAATATCCAGTGAATAGCCAGTGAATAGCCATTGAATAGCCATTGAATAGCCAGTGAGTTGCCAGTGAATAGCCATTGAATAGCCAGTGAATAGCCAGTGKGTAGYCAGTGAGTTGCCGGTGAATATCCAGTGAATAGCCAGTGWGTTGCCAGTGAGTTRCCAGTGAATAGCCAGTGAATAGCTATTGAATAACCAGTGAGTTGCCAGTGAGTTGCCAGTGAATAGCCATTGAATAGCTATTGAATAACCAGTGAGTWGCCAGTGAGTTGCCAGTGAATAGCCAGTGWGTTGCCAGTGAGTTGCCAGTGAATAGCCAGTGAGTTGCCAGTGAATAGCCAGTGAATATCCAGTGAATATCCAGTGAGTTGCCAGTGAATAGCCAGTGAGTTGCCAGTGAATAKCCAGTGAATAGCCAGTGWGTAGCCAGTGAATAGCCAGTGAATATCCAGTGAATAGCCAGTGAATATCCAGTGAGTTGCCAGTGAATATCCAGTGAATATCCAGTGAATAGCCAGTGAGTTGCCAGTGAATAGCCAGTGAATAGACAGTGAATAGCCAGTGAGTTGCCAGTGAGTTTACATTAAAAAATATAAATTAAGAATTTGCCTTATACAAGATCCGTTGTTAAAATTTGTGTGGTAGACTATTAAAAAATAATCTTTGGGACTATCCCTTTCAATAGCGTAAACTAGTTACACCAAATAAAATATTAGAGTAATATTTTCAATTTAATAATAGTTATTTTATTAAAATTGATATTTGTTCAAAAATGCCAATTCATGGAGATTTTACGAAGATTTGAAAGTGAAAAAATATTATGCTTGGACAATACCCTTCAATAGGGTACTAAAGGTACATGAAATAACTTATCTCAGTATTGTTTTGAATGTTATACAAGTTTTCTTGTTGACTCTGGAMAAATTTTAAAAACAATTTGCCAAATTGAATCACAACACATATTAAAATATGGGACTATTCCATCAATTGGCGGAAGCTAGGTACACCATGTTGTAAGTTAAAATAATTTTCCWAATTTAATCGGTTTTAGTTTGATCAWAATAGATTTAMCWAMATAGACTAAAAAGTTTRATGCGARTCCATTAACAAATATCCAATAAGGGCTATCATATTGAATAGAATAGTCTAAAGATCAAATCTAATATTTAAAAATAATATTTTCAATTTAATAAAGATATTTTTCTTCAAGAGAAAGTTTGTATGGGATGGAAGTTCGAACACATATACTTTTTTCAAACAGTTAAAACTCATAGATACAAATATCCCACTAACAATACTGCTATCAGATATACCTGCCATAATCATTTAACATATTATATCATTCTTTACACTTGTCTAAACAACATATTGGAATAACAAATATATTAATAAACAATTATTAATTTTAATCAAAATTTCACAGTGTTTGAATCACTTTGACAATGACTCAATAGACAAGTCATTAACAACTATGATACATATATCATTAGTACAAATACATACAGACAGTGTATCATTTGATTAAACAGTAACATTGAAGCTTATACACCAACATCATCCACTTTATGACATCCAGATTTACAACAACAACAATAGATGAAGGTCTATCTATCATCATCATTGAACAACATCACACCTGACATCATGCATGCCTTTCTAATGCGTCTCGACACAACTATGATGCACCAACAATGTTCAACACATACGTTTGATACACCAACAGATTCAGTACATCTACAGGAATCCATCCATATATAATATGTGACTGTTGAACCTATTCTTACAAAGTACAGCTTACAGAGACATCATTTCCCATTACACACCAAGAGTCGCACTCCACTGATCACCAACATCGTCCAACAAACACCTATGACACATCATCAGACTCGACCCATCAAGAAGAAGCGATACATACTATATTCATTGTCGTTGGAGTAATCTACATCAACTTGTCGAATCTTCATTCAACTACACAGGTAATAACCAAAACCTTGGACCGATCGTCGCACTTCTACTTCTAACAATAACTAATACCAATCAAGATTATAGTATAGAAATACTCAACACATCAAGATGAAGCGATCAATATCTTACTAATCACTGTTGAAGTGATTCATAGGAATTACAGTCTTGGACAGCCATGCATGGACGACCATTTGTAAATGACAGATCACTTGCATCCTCCACACACCAACATCATCCAACAACTCCTATGATACTCCAACAGACTCGACTCATCAAGATGAAGCGATATACCACATTCATTATTTGCTCGACCAACATCAGCATCATAGATATAATTACATCGTGGACGCAATGATATTCGATGCCAAGTCTCGTGGACACCTCATCGGTGGTGCGGATCGAGAGTGACCTGGCCGGTGACTTCACCTTGGTGCACGGTGGTATCAACCTGTGGATAGGCGATGATATCTTCCCGCCCTTCCTTAGATTCCGCACATTTGCATTGAATGACAACGACAACGACAACGACAACGACCTCGACAACGACAACGACTACAACAATTACAATGACTACGACTACGACAATGACAACAGCGAAGAATTTTCCACCTTTGTCGAGGATCACATCAAGGATGGCGTGGCCGTTGGTGTGATTGTCGTCGGTTGCACCTCCCCGCCCTCAGACCGCGTGTGCAAGACGTTCGCCACACTAGGCGCCGTGGCGATCAACAAGGTTGACACACTGACCACGCCAAACTACGCCATGATCGGTCGCAACGTCAGCCCTGTATGCGTCAAGAGTGATATCTTTGACGTCGAGCCTGAAACCGACGACGACGATGGCATCAACCCGTCAGATGACATCGTGCAACCCCTCGGTCTGGCAATGCCACTCCTCGCAAAACCAGAGGAGCCACTGAGCCTTCCCGATTTTGTGATCGTCAAGCTTGTGCCACCGTGGCTGACGGATGACATTGACGTGGCAGTCCTCAGTCTCACATGCAGACGCTACTATGACCTCCTTGGCAGACGCTGGAGCACGCCTGTCCAGGTGCCCGATGGCCTCGCCCCGACACTACTCACATTCACATCGAAGCCAAAGGCACCCCCTGCAGCCAGGCGACATCCCACCAACAATCACGCGACTCGCGTTCGAGGAGACTTTCAACCTGCACAGAATACTGCGGCCTGGTTCGCTGCCCCACTCCATCACCGATCTCGCTCTGGGCAGCACAGCGCTCACTCTCATGGACAAATACTATGAGTGTCAGATGCTGTTGGAGCAGACGGCGATGGTGAAGATAATGCGACGGTCTTCCCGACTTTCGACCTTGCGCGTTGCCCACTTCACTCAAGACGTTGGCCTTCGACTGGGCCATTCGCCAGCCTTTGGTAGCCGGTGCTCTGCCGGCCTCCATCAAGAACCTGACATTCCTCCGCTGCATAGAGTCCATTCCTGCAGGATCATTGCCGTCATCGCTCACCAGGCTGTCAATAAACAATGGAAAACAGGATCGATTGCTGCCTGGCTCTCTGCCCCAATCAATCACCTGCCTGGAGCTGCGCCAAACATCCATCAGAGACATTAGGCTCAACCTTCTTCCCCAATCTCTCACCAGTCTCAGCCTCGACAGCACTCTTTTCTTGGAGCACCTCACAGTTCCTCTCGATCCCTTGCCCCAAACACTTCTGAGGCTAAAGTCTGGCAACCTGCCCTGGCACACTCTTGCACGTCACAACTTGCTATCACTCACGGACTTGACGTTCGACCCACGATCCCTGGGACCCCACTCAGAGATTCTGATTCCACCGTTCATCAGGTGCCTAGGATATCGCTGTCTCTGTGGACGGACTGTTGACACGATATCCATCAATCGAAGAGGTGCACCTCCATTCTTTGCACTCTCCCGAAGAATTCACTCCAATCAGCATGCCATTGAAGGTCCTTGGTGTCACACTCACTTTTAGGCGACGCGGCCATTTCCCTGAGTTCGCCCCTTGTTTGAGCACAACAGCATCACAGTCAGCCCATCGATTCTTCTTATTTGGTAGTTGGCGTCTTTGCCGAGCTCAAGTAGATCGTGGTGGCTAGAGTCGCATTTTTGAGCAGCCTTGTTACCGTCTTGGAGAGAAGCCTGTGGCACATTTTGGCGAAGGGAAATGGCCGCGTCTAGTATTCGCGTCTGGCTACCCCAGAATAACAACATCGCGAACGTGCATTAGACCTTCAAGATCGCGAGCCTCTGTTTCCTCAATAGTCATCATTGATATGGGCATCACCTACAACATCACAACCAACACCATCATCAACGTCATCAACATCATCAACATCATCACAACAATAAATAATCCTAAAACTCGTATCCATAGATATCGAGTTTCAGCATTTGGATGCTGGGGTGTGCCACGATGGCATCGACCAACTGTCCGGCCAAATGGGTCTCTGGGTCTTGATCGGTGACGAGCGTGGATTCGATGCAGAGGGAGCACCTGGGACACTAAATAGTATTACTAGCTTAAGCTATTGAATGGGATTATACCAAAGTTTAATTTATATTGAAAATACCTTCGTTCAGTTTTATTATTTGAAAGTCTTATATGTTCAACTCAAGAAGATGAGAGAATGGAGACATGGTAGTGTCACACTGCAGCCACTGACTTGGAGGTGTTTGGTTCGATGAATATAAATATAGCATGTCGAGCTTGAGCTCAGTGAGGCTAGGAGGGATGTTGATCGGAAAGGGGGGGAAGGCCGTCCATCGTCAGCTTGGTGAGGGATTGCGGCAAGCACGTCCCATCCAACTGCCGGCCGAATTGGGAACCAAACTCCAGAGTCTTGATAGATGACGGGAGTGGACTCCACAGGATCGATTGGTTGATACTGCTCCCAATGTACAGGGTCTCAAGGTGCGGGGGGTTGATGTTTAGGTTGGCATCGTCTTCCTCCGAATAGAACATTGAGAGCATCTTCAAACCAGGAGGAAGCACTCCTTGGTCAAGCGTGCCTTCCAAGGCCATGCTTGAGATTGAGAGCCWGGTCAAWGTAGMGGGGARCATGTTTGGCGCAAGGCGCCACCACACTTTGCGAGGGACGGCCAGGATGTGCATGGTTGTCAGGGGAATATCTGGAAGTGGTTCTGGTCGGACTAGCCTCTCGTACTCCAAGGGAACCGATCGCTAGGCCAGCTCTTGGAGCATTGGCTTCATCCAGTCCCAGCAATCGCGACTGAAAGGATGTTTCTTGCTCTCGGCAACCTGGACCTTGGCGATGTTTGGTATGGCCAACACTGCTTGAAACAACTTGTTGATGCTGTCGACAGAATGGTCCGTGTCCAAATCTGACGTGCGCATGGTATAGGTTCGTTAGCTTCTAGATGCGAACCAACGGGATGGGCAGCGGCAACAGGCATACCAGCAAAGAAATAGAAACAGTCTCGCGGTTGGAATCGGGTGTAGGTCGAGTGAACTCGCACCTTATACATCTTGGCGTTGACGATATGCTGGTCGATGATGCCTCTGTACGAACCAAGCATTGTGCCATGTTGGCGATAGGCGTATGTGCCAGGCAGTGCGTCCGCGTTCAATCTGAGATAGCTCTCTCGGTGGTAAAAGAATCGCCTGCACAATAGTGTTAGCAGCACTCTTTCTACATTGCTCTCCAAGCATGACGCTATTCGTCCAACTATGCTCAGTGGCAGTGACTCCATCTTTGATTGAAGCTAATATTATTTGTTCAGACCAAAACTGAGTTGTAGATGATTCAAAAAGAAATGTCTTGGTAGGCTTGTTTAGTTTATATCTGAAGATCCTTTGCAACCATCTTTGAGCAGATGTTATGGTAGAAATCTCTGTGCTGGATAAAGTGAGATGTGGCCAACTCTCTATTGACCTTGTTGAGCTCGCGATAGAGTGGACGTACAAACTTCATTCTGCCCTGCTCGATGAGGAAGGCAGTGACCTTTGGCTGGATTCTGGTTAGACCGGATCGCAAGCAGATGGTGTACCACTTGGCCCTGTACTCGCTGTTGCCAGTGCTGGACAACTCATAAAGTTGGTCCATCTTCTCAATTGTCTCGATTGGGAGGCTCTTTCCCTCAGACAGTGCCAACAAAGTGTCCAAGAACAAAACTGTTTTGTTTGATTGGGTTGGTTGGTTAGTAAGTGGAAGACACTATGTCAAAAAAATGATGATGCGATGAACCATTACTCTTTTGCTGTGAGTTGAAGACCTTGAACTCGGTGGCACCGATGCCCTCACCATTGGTTGACACCCATCTCTTGGCCAGCTCCTTGGCAGTGTCACCAAGAGCAGAGGTGAACTCAACTTGGTTGTGTGGCATGCCTGGCTTATTGAACCATGAGTCCCAGTCGACATTGGCAATTGAGTCCTTCTTGCCCTTCTCTGTGAAGTAGTCAACAAAATAGGTTCTCATCTGCTCGGCAGTGATACTCTGGTGAGAGAAGTGGCTGATGTAGGACTTGAGCCACGCCTCAAACTCGGGTACTCCAACCAGCGACTGCAAGTAGCAGAGCAGATTGAAGCCCTTCTCGTAGGGCACGGAGCTGAATGCATCGTCTGGATCGATGCCCTCGAGATTGGGACGCAGAGCTGTGAGTGGGTTTGCCTCTCCAAACTGAACAATGTCGTCATGTAGATGCTTCAATCCATTGATGGCCTCAAACTCAAACATCTCTGTACCATACATGCGACCGACGATTTTCCTTTCGACAAACACGGTGAATCCCTCGTTGAGGAAGAACTCGGACCAGTAACGGTTGGTAACCAAGTTGCCGCACCATGAGTGAGCAATCTCGTGAGCAACGACGTTCTCGAGACTGCGATCACCAGCCAAAAGTGTTGGCGTTAGGAAGGTGAGCATGGGGTTCTCCATTCCTCCGTATGGGAAAGATGGTGGCAACAACAACAAGTCGTATTTCTTCCAGATGTATGGGGTCAAGAGGTCCTCACCAGCCTGGATGAACTTCTCAGTGTTGGCAAACTCGTAAGCTCCCTTCTCAACCATCTCTGGTTCGGACCAGATCTTTGATCTTGGTCCAATGTCTCTAGAGACAAGATTACCAACAGCAATGGCGATCAAATAGGTCTGTGAGGTGAAGTAAGTGAGTTAGCTACACTTAATATAATATGTGTTGTTGTTGTTGTTGTCAAGACTGACAGTAATACTACTTACTGGGATCTGAATATCCTGATTGAAGTGATAGGTGATAAGATCACCATTCTGAACTTGTGATGTGAACAGAGCACTCATGCGAGCAACCAAAGGAGCCTGAACAGTGATCTCAGCCTGGTATCTGATCTTGTTTGATGGGCTGTCTTGACATGGTACCATGGACCTTGCATGGATACTTGTAAGAGAGGTGGTTAGACTCGTGCGATTCTATAGGTATACCTGTTTGTTTGGTGGTTTACACATACGCTTGACATTGAGAGAAGAGGTATGGATGCCTCTTGCCAGCGGTCTGCTCAGAAGTCAACCATTGGAGGGCAGGGGATGCCTTGGTGGTCGAGTAGTAAACACGAGCAGTGAACTGCTTGTTGGCGCCACGCGATGCAACGGGGATCTCAACGATGACTGGTGTTCCAAAGACCTCATGTGTGGCTCCTAGCTGGTGGGTCAGTGGCTGATTGTCGACAGTGGTTGCCTTGCTGATGGCCAGATGGTTCGAGTCCAAGATCAGCTGAGACACATTATCGCTCTGGAGGGTGGTATGCACATCGACGTATCCTGACAGTGTAGAGTTTGAAAAGTCCACCGAGAGAACCATGTGAATCGAGTCTACCTTGGCCTCATGAGGGTTTGAGAGTGATGAAGGATCCATTGATGATTTATAAACTATTGTATGTTGTTGTTGTGATGTAATATTTGTTGTTGGATTGATAACGTTTCTCTGATATATATATGTTAATAACAAAGGCAAAAGGAATAGTAGTAATGACTTTTGCAAGATCCCCATACAAAGGTAATAACTATGCACTTGTGTTGAAGTTGCAATTGAATAAGTAAAAGATAATTCAATTTTTTTTGGGACATCTTGGGATAAATAAAGTATCAATGAACCCGAACGAAAAAAACATTGCTATCTTTCCCAACATCCTAATAATAATATATTACTTACTTTGAAGTAACTATTATCAATATCCCTTTTGAAGACAACTATAACGAGTTGTTTTCTTGTTATCAAGACATTCAAGCAATAACAACATGTCGGATCAACAGAAGGAATCAATAAAGAAGGCTTCTCTAATGGAACCGTACGTATCTATGTTATCGCCAGCACACAATAGTTTGTTAATGCTTTTAAATATATAAACAAAGTGCAATGGAGGCAAACGCAGTTCGTTCACAGGTAGGAGTATACTATGGCTCGTACCTGCAGTTGGACTCTTTGCTCAACTGCCAGCAACTGGAGAGTGCCAAGGTTGGAAAGCCTGCTCATGAGGAGATGTTGTTCATCGTCATCCATCAGGCCTATGAACTGTGGTTCAAGCAGATTATCCACGAAATCGACTCTGTCAGAGAGATGATGTCGCACGCTTCACCGGAGCGCTACAATGGCATCATTGTCAACCGTCTGGGTCGTGTCACGCAGATCCAGAAGTTGCTCGTTGAGCAGATCAACATCCTTGAGACCATGACCGGTCTTGACTTCCTCGAGTTCCGCAACCTGCTTGTGCCCGCCAGTGGCTTCCAATCGGTGCAATTCCGTGTAATCGAGAACAAACTGGGCATCATTCCCGACAACCGTGTGCAATACCAACAGCATCACTACCATACCTTCTTCACCGAGAGCGACAGGAACCGTTTGGCCGACTCAGAGAAGGAGACCTCACTGCTATCCTACGTCATCAAGTGGCTCGAGCGCAACCCATTCCTTAACTACGAGGGCTACAACTTTTGGGAGTCCTACAAGCATGCCGTTGATAAGATCTTGGAGCGTGATCTTGAGCGTATCAGGAACAACTCCAACCTAACCGAGGACATCAAAGAGCAAAACTACAAGGGTATGTTATCATTATCAATGCTAAAGCCAAAGCAGGAGTTAACATAATCACCGCACAGAGGTCCACAAGAACATGGATTCCTTCAAGACTCTGTTCAACGAGGAGCTCTACAATGAGAGATTGGAAAAGTTCGAGGTTAGACTGACCTACAAGTGAGTAGAAACCCCCGAGAGTTATGGCCATCACACACTAACATAATCAATCGACATCAACAGAGCACTTCAGTCAGCATTGTTCATTTACTTGTACAAAGACGAACCCATCTTCCACACACCCTTCCTGATTCTTAATTTGTTGACAGAGGTCGATGAGCTGTTGGGAATGTGGAGGTACCGCCATACCATGATGGTGCAGAGAATGATTGGTGTAAAGATAGGCACTGGTGGTTCCTCTGGATACCATTACCTTCGCACGACTATCGGTGATCGCTACAAGATCTTCTTGGATCTGTTCAACCTCTCCAGTTATCTGATCCCCAGGAACACTTTGCCTGCTCTGCCCAAGGAGGTCAGTGCCAAGATGGACTTTGCTTGGACGATGTAGGTCTTTCCCTATAGACTTTCACCAACGACATAATAAAGTTAGTCTCAAGTAACAACCGAATGACTACAGGTGAGAGTGATAAGCGACTACCATTTTACTTGGCTTCATACCAGGTCTTTGCGAAGCTACAGTCGACAACCAAATCTATGAGTAGCGCTGTGTTGAGTGGGTTAGACATGAGCCTCATCACAATGTCTCGGGCCTCTGTTGCATGCTGTTCAGGTCCTTCCAGGATAAGCTCATCGTGTATCTGCATGATCAGCTGGAATCCCAACTCTTTCAGTCGCTTGTCTTCCTCTATCATGAGCATTGCCTTCATAACGATATCTGCGGCACCACCTTGCAAGGGTGTGTTGATTGAAGCACGTTCCGCGTGCGACTTGAATCCTTTTGCTGGGTTGTCAATGTCGGGTAGCAGTCTGTATCGGCCCATAAGAGTGCGTGTCCATTTGTGTTTGTTGGCAATGTCTATTGTCTTCCTCTGCCACAACAATACCTCTGGACGGTCCTCGTACCATCGATTCAGAGTGTCCTGCGCCTCTTTGAGTGTCACACCCCAGTCCTTGGACAGGCCGTGCGGAGTTTTGCCATAGGCGATTGAGAAGTTGAGTGTCTTGGCCTTTCTTCTCTCAGCACCAAATACATCCTTGAGCAATGGCTTTGGAGGCTCACCTTCGCCCTCCCATTCCAATAGCACCTCTCCCTTGTCCACAGCCTCTTTGACATGTGGGTACATGCCCATGGCAGTTCTTGAATGGAAGTCACCACCCACCTTGAACGCATTGATCATTGATTTACAGTTGGTGATATGTGCAAGCAATCGGAGCTCCAGTTGGCCATAGTCTGCCACGATCAGGGTGTTACCCTCTTCACAGGTGAAAGCCTTACGGATCTTGTAACGGTCCTTTTCCAACGCTGGCTGGTTCTGTAGGTTTGGTCTCTTGGATGAGAGACGTCCAGTCTCTGTGTTGACGTTGATCGAAGTGTGCACTCGCTGGTTTGCATCACAGAGTTTCTGGAGGGGAACAATGAACGAGTTGATCAGAGTACCCACGCTACCGACTTCGAGCAGCGACGACACGGCCTCAGATGCCTCAATTCCTTCCTTCTCTCCAGCCTCCTTGTCCTGTGATCTTTCCTTGAAGTAGGTGTATATCTTGCCGTACTTTCCTTTTGATGGGTTTCCGGCTAGTTCACGCATTGCAGCTGAATCGACAGAGGGCCAACCACTGTCTGTATGTGAGCTGACTGGAAGACCCATACCAGTCAGAACGAATGGACGCATCTTCTTTGCCTTCTTCTTGCCTGGCTCGATGTAGCCCTCGACATTCAGACAGTCAAACTCCTTCTCTGGCGGCATTTGCTCCTTGGTCTTGATGTTGACAGTGGGTGCAAACAACAGTTGCTGCACTTGGGCGTCCGATCCTGTGTTCATATACTTCACATTCTCACAGTATTTGTTGCCCCACTTCTGGAAACGGTCGACGTGGTCCCCAATGTCCTTGGTGGCTTGGATCTCGATGGTCTTGAGATGTTCAATGTTCACCTTCATGCCACGTCGCTCCATGTCTGTGAGGAGATGTCCAAATGGTCTCCACAGTAGATGGTAAAAGTCCCACATTGTTGTGTCATTCATCCACACCATGTTCTTCAACTTGAGTTGTAGATTCTCTCGTAGCTGCCAAGTCAGCTCAGCGTCCAGTGATGAGTAGCCTATCCAAGCATTGACATGACGCCTGCTGCGTTGGAGAGCCTCAAGTGGTGGCATAATAACCTCCTTGCCAAGCTCTCCGTTCTTGTTGATCTTTTGTCTTCCAAACAAATCGACCATACTAGTCTTATGATTGTCCAGTAGCTCTTTGCTCAGTTTCTCGAGTGAATAGCCTCCACGACCGTTCCTTGAGGCGTCCCAGAGTCGAGCCATGTGTAGAGTGTCGCCACCAAATCCTTTCACATCGATACCGTGATTGAAGAATATATGTCGGTCAAAAGCATAGTTGTGCCACACCTTGTAGATTGCCTCATCCTCCATATACTCCTTGAACACCTGAAGTATCTCCTCTCCATTGGCACCCAGTGTATCCACCCAGAGAATTGATCCCTGTCCAAAATCAATGTCTGGACCACAGTAGACACTGAAACAAATGATGCGTCCATGCCCAATGGGTGACTCCTTCTTGAGATCCAAGTCGATGACCTCACTGTCACACGCATGATATAGGTGAGTCAGACTCCTCAACTGACGAGCGACTCGCTTTGCCTTGGCCACAGTGCTCACTATGGTGACGTTTGGAATGGCCAACTGTCCTACCTCCTCATCTGTCATTGGTTGATCTTGTTCCTCCAATGCCTGTGCCTCAACAGCCGCCTGCAATGCACTTGACTTTTCCAATGCCAGTGCCGCTGCCACGCTGGTGTCCTCCTCTGTATATCTATAATCAATCTCTCCCTCGAATGGCAACTTGTACTTATCCAATGAGCCTTTTAGCTTTTGGAACTGGAACATATCCAGATAGTCTAAAAGCTAAAAAATGTATGAAGATTAGTACTATATCTCGTTGTTGCTCGACATCTTAATCGTTGTGAACATGTACCTTCTTCTTGTTGATTGGATTAAAGCGTAGTTGATCGAGGGTGTAGGGTACGGTGACATTCTTGTTCAAAGTTGCCAACTGATAGGACAAAGTGATCTGTGACTTCAAGTTCTGTACGCGATCTTGTAGCTTTGCTGGTAACTTGTCAATGTTATCCAATATGTTGTTTAGTGATCCAAGCTCATTGATGATCGATATGGCACTTTTTGGACCGATTCCAGGAACTCCAGGTACTGTTCATAAGTTTGTTAATGATCATGTGCAAATACTGGTGATGATGATCATGATTTTGATACATACTGTTGTCTGAGGAATCACCAACCAAAGCTTGGTAGGTGGTCATCAGTTCGCTTGAGACACCCATGACATTGACGACCGTTGACATGGTTACGGTCTGATTTCTCTTTGGTCGGAAAAGAGAAATATCCTCGTGGTTGACCAGTTGTAGGATGTCCTTGTCATCTGTGACGATTGTCACACTATGACCTTGTTCGATGGCCATCTTGGTGTAGGTAGCGATGAGATCATCTGATTCAAAGCGTGAGACGGTGATCATTGGAATGCTTAGTGCCTCTGATAGATGTGGCACCAGTGAGAACTGTGAGACTAGGTCTTCAGGGGTGGGTGGGCGCTGTGCCTTGTACTCTGGGTAGAGGTCACGTCTGAACGTGGGTATGCCATCCCTCGGATCAAAGCATAGCACAACGTTGTCCGGTTTGAAGTCTCTGAGTAGCTTTAGTATTGACTGAGTATAGGCATATATCGCATTGATTGGTTGCCCTTCGACAGAGAGGGGTGGCGTACCACCAAAGCCCTTGTACAACAAAGGTGTACCATCAATGATCAATGTGTGTGGCTTCTTATCTCCAATGGTTGACAATGATTCGTATTCTGATGTAGTCAACTCTTCATTGATGTTGTTGTAGTTGGGTGAACTGAGAGACTGAGCATGAGGTGCAGATATCGGGGGAACGACATCAGTCATGTTTGCTTTTGATAGAGCAGTATGATTGGAGATTGGATTTGGTGTTGATTTGCTGGTATGAGAGACCTCTGTTGACTCCTCACCCTTCTTGGATCTCTTCTGAAGATAGATCTTCTGGTTGTTTGGCAACTCAATGAATGGGTCCTTTGATTTGATCTTGATCCTTATGGTCTTTGGTGGCTTGTCCTGTTGTTGTTGTTGTTGTTGTTGTTGTTGTTGTTGTTGTTGTTGTTGTTGTTGTTGAGGTGGTTGTGACTTTTCTTCTTGTGATTGAGTAGTCGACTCCTTCTTGCTTCTCATTACTCTAATCTTTGGTTTGATACCGTTGCCAATGAGCAGAGAAGGTTTAAGCTGATGTTGAAGTTGATTGGTAATATTTGTGAGAAGTGTGTTATTGACATTGACCATGCCATCGAATGACTCGTTGACCTGACTCTTCTTGATGATATCATCCAATTGCTTGTTCTTTGAGAGAAATGCTAACGAGTCCTGCTTGCCATATGACCACTTTGACCTGTTCTTTAGTGATTGATCATCCACATCATCGTCCTCATACGTATGCTTGAATGATTGTGCATCCTCGTTGTCAACATCATTATCTATCTTTAAAGAACTCAGTCGTGAGTTTGTTGTTGTCGTTGATGATGTAGAACAGTATCTCCTTCTTGTCTGAGTTTGGCGTATAAATAATGCGATGTTTAGTGTTGCTCCAACAACTGTGTAGCTATTGGCAGCTGTCGTTGTAGTTACAAAATGACTACAATGATCATGAAACAACCTGTTGGCAAACTTCAACATGCTTTTGTTGATGTTGTTGTTGTTGTTGTTGTTTATAAGTGTGATCAATACCAATTGGTTGTTTTATAACAATAGAGGAGATACCTTGGTTCAACAAAATGAGCTCAAAATTCCAAGAAAGTGAGAGTTGTGGTCACAAGATGACGCGTCCTTCAATAGCTAACAATAGTTGATCCAACACATGGAGCAGCTTTGACACATGGACTGTCTAGACTATCTTCCCTTACCAAAAAGGCATTTGCTGTCAACAGACTATTCAAGATAACTGCTCCCGTCTAGTTACACCAGCTTGTCATGGACATGACTATGATAATCTGTCCACAACTACATCGACTAGATATCACAGCACATCTGGTCAAGGTGGAGCTGTTGATATATCAAAGATGGATGGCCAAACCATCTCACCATTACCCAGGCGGAAGATAGAGGGGGCTGACTTTGTGGGAAGTTCGAGCAATTTTTTTTTCGCAGTCCAAGAAGACGAAGTTGTCAACACTAGCAACAACAACAATGACGGATGATCTGATCTGAAATCAAAGAGAGTGATACTTTTATAAATATATAAATAATATAATATATATATACTAATAATGAGCAGCAGCAGCGCAACAGAGGCAGTACAAAGAATATTCAAGGGCATTGCAAAGCAGAAGGCCAAAGGAGATAACTTTTATGACGTATGCTTCTCGCTTGCGGATCACGGTGTTGGACACAGAATCACAAAGAAAGTGTGGCCATCAAGAAACACCTATTGGACTGTTACAAAGATTTCATTTGGTGACAACTCTGTAAGTATTCTCAATAATGATCATTGTTGTTTGTTTGTTTGATGATCATTGTGTCGTCATTCATTTATACTAATACTACTGCAACCAACTACAACATGACACTGATAACAATGCATATATCTACTTATCTAGGGTGGAAGATTGACATCACTAAAAGGTAAAGCATATGGAGTGCTCACATGGAATGGCGTCTCTGATATGAAGGAGCGTCCTGTCATTGACCCACTGGAGAAGAATTGGACTTTATTCCCATACACAATGCCAACAAAGGCAGAGAAGGAAGCGATGGCCATTGCGATGAAGGCCAGCAGACAGCAACAGAAGGAGCAGGAGGGCGAACAGTCATAATGTACATAATACAATACATACAACAATACATAAGACATACATCGACCCGACCACCCTTGAATTCGTACATGTACGAATACAAGATAGATAGCTAACTAACTAGCTAGCTTGCTTGATAACCGTTCAAACACAAACTTAGTGGTATTATGTGTGGCTGTTGTTGTTGTGTTGTAGTTATTGTTGATCACCACGACAATCGACCTTGCTGGGACTGATCCAAACTATTCAATCGAAAGTGGCCACTTCAAGAGACGTGCTTGGAGCACGAAAAGCGATGTAACATTCAATCGGCCAGACAGTCAACCAAGCCCATCTCTATTCTAACCTTACCATGTCGTTCATACTTCAAGACCACTTTGCAGCTTGCCCTCGCATTGACTTTCCTCCAGGTAACTAACGTAGCGGCTACCACACACGCTAAAGTACCCTACACCAAATGTATGGCCAATCTTTGATCAATACCCGAGAGTGCATGCCCGCCCTTGAGAAGTAGCTACTACCACAATTCGATATCTATTTTGGGAGGACAATCAGCAGACAGACACAAAACAAAACAGGTGACGACCGTCCAGAGTCATATGGCGCAATGACCAAGGTCCCACACTTTGCATCTCAACAGCGATCACCGCTTGGATCAGATCATTGACGTGATGAGGTGTATGTTTTCTAGATTCGTCATCACTTTTTATTCGGGTCAACAACAATGGAGTGGTACCCACCTCATTGCAAGGGCAGCGATTTCTTCTTCTGTGAATGTCGTTGCCAAAGGCGGGAGTGGGGTGGGTGTCGATCCGATCTAAATAGTTTGACCAAAATCAGCAAATGAACCGATTGATTGAACCCTAACTATAGGTGTTGGGCCATTCAGCTTCGTCCCAGATTGACGAGTTGTTAATTAATTGACTTTTGTGTTGTGGGCCGACACTATCTCTGATTAATAATAAATGTCTGACCGTTGACTGTTGTGATCGCGCATACAACAACCAAGTTTAGTCACTTGCAGATCGCACGCGTACGACCTACTCCAATTTGCCTGCCCAACGAATGTAACCCGTTGCTGTTCTGTTGTACTTTGCATTTGCGCACTTACACAACAACTCAATGCCCACTCGAAACCAGTCAAAGACCATAGAATGCCCCAATTCTCCTATCCATTGCAGGTTCCATTCATAAAAAACAACTATATTCAATCAATCAATCAACATCATCATCATTGATCAACAACACAAACATAAATACATCAGAGACACCAATAACCACTTTGATTACAGTAATTCATTAATACATATCAATATAACTACACCTTCATTTATTTTCATCTACTACTAGAATATCTTGGCCCTATCCTGTGTAGTCATCAGTCAACTTATCGAACAATATAATATCTTCCTCGGACTTCTTATTATTATTATAAAGTACTACTACTACTAGATTTACTTTAAAAAATATATATATATATAATAATAATAATCGTTGTAAGTACAAATTCATCATCATATACAGTGAGCTTGTGTTCATACCATCACCATCCAATCTCAATGTTGTTCAGTATTTTTGATCAATCAAATTGTGTTTCATTTCATCATCACCTCTACCACTTAACCATCCACCCATCTATGTTTGTTTGTCAATGACATCAATCAACAACCATTTATTAGTCGAGTGTTTGTGTTGTGTGTTGTGTGTGATCCATCCACCACCAACGATCATTAATTGATGTATCTCAACGCACATTGGAATAAGCAAGTGTGTGTAGTGATTGAATGTGTGTTATGGATGATGTGTAGTTGTCATGTGGCGAGGAGCACATATACACACACATGCACTCATTCAGGAGTAGGAGATAGAGCCTCTACCCAAAGAGCAGCCAGTCGTAAACGTTTTAAATGGCGTGCTTGACAACAGTCCCTGCCAACCACCTAGCTGACATATGCATTCATGGTGACCTACAATTACGACTGCAACAACAACAACACCCATAATCACCAACGACAATAACATTACAACAACAACAAACAAATAATAACAACATCATCAATAATAATATTAAGGTCCAGTCATGGGCCAGCTATTCAACAGATAATATATATATATCTACTACTACCATATATTCTACCACCGCCTCAACCATCCCTATCACTCGCGTGCTCACTCTCACGCCTCGTTCTTACTGAGTATGTTTGTGCTTGTTAATGCCATATCGTAGGCTGTTCCAGTTGCTTCCATTCCTTGTTTCGCTGTGAACAGGCGACTGGAATAATTGACGATAAGGTAAAAGACGTTAATTGTTGATCCAATTGGATTGAGGAATTGGAACAACGCTGTACACTTTATATCCAACAACATGTTGTGGATGTCCACCATCGAGCTGGTCCAGTGGTCGGCCTTTGCTACATCCATCCATTCATTAATTCATTCATCCTCCACTCATGTGCTCCACACCACAATTACGCTTCCTCACTTAACCTCACCACAATGATGTATTATGTTATATCTCATATCTGATGTTAGATTGCTTTATACAGCATCCACATGTTACTTAACCCTGGAGTGTATGATGATGATTATGCTTGTGTGTTGTCGTCACTCAAACTACCCGTTGCACACTCGCACAACAAACACACATACATGGAACAAAACTACCTGCCATCGATCAATCAATCAATGCTCACTGGCGCCGTATATGTACATGTGATTGATATGGTCATGGACTAGTATTGAGAACTGGTGATGGAGTTGACATTGGGGCTGGCAGTGTCCACACCACCAACCACAACCACCTTCATTACCAAGACTCATACATCCAACCTAAGTGGCTCGGTACCCAGCAATACGGTGTTCCATATTGCCAATGCCTCCGCCGCCGCCAACCAATCCAACCGACCAATGCCCCACACACACACACACATACACCGCCATACTGTCAATCACAAACACAATCACAATCACTTATATTGGTTATATACTTTATATGTAGCATTGTGTCCCTTGGCTTTGATCCAGCTACCACAACAACAACAACAACAAGCACAAACAATCAAACAAACAACAGCATCATTCTCATCTCATGTTGCCGTCATTGATCTATTAATCAGTTTGGCCTTCCTTCACTTTGGACATTAATTCTATTTATCCACTCATCTCTTGTACATTTATAATAATTCAATCACTTCTAGCTCTCCACCTAAAGAGTTGTATTAACACCCTACCCTTAATACCTTTACCAAACATCTTAGCATTATATCTCTCAAGGACAAAGTCAACAACAATAATTAACTCCTACATCATATATTATTAATATTATTACCATACCCTTTAAACCTCCTCGACCTCCAATATTCCTCTATCCATCCGTCCAACCAACCAACCAACCAACCAACCAACCAACCAACCAACCAACCAACCAACCAACTATCTAGTCATCTAAACAATCGAATATATTGTATTATTAACATATATTAATTATAACACATACCAACCGACCTACCTATCTACCTACCTATCTACCTTCCAAACAACCAACCTCCCCAACCATATCAACATTTATCTTCTCAAACAGATTTACACTTCCTAATCGCCAAAAAGGTTTGTCGCAACTGTCTAGAGGAAGATCAACTGTCATTGCTGTTTACTGACACCTTGCCAAAACTCAGATGGACTTTAATACAATCTCATATAACATGTATAGTACTATGCCTGCTAGTGCCATTGCACCAGTGTCAACAATGGTTGGAGGCATGCCCCAGATAGTCTCACCCATGATGGGATACTACCAACAAGCTGCCATGCCCTTCCAACAACAATCAACATCATCGGCAGCACCCTCCGCCAACCAATATATCAATGTACATTATGTCCAACAAGCGATACCCCAACAACATGCCGCTCAAACATACATTTATGATCAACAGTCACAGATCTGTAGTCAACCATTATATATTCAACAACAACAACAACAACAACAACAACAACAACAACAACAACAACAACAACAACAACAACAACAACAACAACAACAACAACAACAAATGTATAATATGCAGGTACAACAACAACAACAACAACAAACAATTCGCAAGGAGTCACCAATATCTAGTCCACTACTCCAACATGCCTTTGCCAACAATGGTAGTGCACCAGTGTCGCCAATGGCTAAGTTTATTCCCAAGTTTTCCCTTCCACTTCACCAGCTGAACAATGTCCAGCAACAATCAGTCAGTGCACCCCAATCACCAAAGGCCTCACTCAAGAAGTCCTCCACCTACTCCCCGAGATCAGCCAACAAGGCCAAGCTTTCACCTAGATTGTCCACCCATCCAATCACCGTCTCACCTTCATCGATCAAGTCTGGACTGAGTAATTCATCCTCGGCTCTCTTTATCAACTCGACCATTGCATCGCAACATCAACACCAGCAATCACAGCTGGCACCATCATCCACATCGTCCACACCCCGCACCCCTCCCGAGATGGGTGGCGCACTGTCGGACCCAAGCAATGGAACACCCCGTTGTATGTCGTCGGCCAACACATCGCCACAACAACACTCACCTACCTTTGTCACTGTGCCCGTGCCCAACTCGGTTCACCCATCCCCATTGTCAGCCTCGATGGAAGAGTTCCCTCAGGTAATGATGGATATGAATGCACACAACATGGCTACCTATTACAACAACAACAACAACAACAACAACCACGTTCAATCAATATCCAAGATATGTCCAGTATCCAATCAGAATCCGCAACAGACAATGATCGAAGTGATACCTGATATCCAAGCAGTTTCTCAGCCGATGAGTCTCTGCGCAGACCTTGCCACACCGAGCGCCTTCACCTGCACCAGTTGCTTTGGCCTCATTGATTCCACCAGCCTGCTGACATGTATCAATTGCCAGACACCCTTCCACCGCTACTGCATCCTTAACGATCAAATATCCCAACAGTGGGTTTGCCTCACTTGCCAGACTTTCCAGACTGACTGCAGCTTCATGGGTGTACCAACATCCAACTGGTTGTCGATTGATGTCAATCAACCAGCCCAACAAGTGCCCATGTTCATGACTGCCGACTGCTCATCAAGCGAGCACTCTGACAACTCTGTGTACAATTCCGACACTGAGGCTGGAAAGATGGCAAATCACACCATGAATGATGATGAGGAGCTGGAAGAGGAAGATGAGGAGTATGATGACGATGAGGAGTATGATGACGATGACGAGTCCAAATCCAAAGAGACAAAGTCCAAGGGCCACTGGATCAAAGATGAAGATGAGAAGCTTCGTGTACTCGTTGAGAAGTACGGAACCAAACGTTGGAAGTACATCGCCGGTCTTCTGTGTCTACGCAATGGTCGTCAGTGTCGTGAGCGTTGGTCCAACCAATTAGACCCATCAATCAAGCGCGATGCTTGGACGCTAAACGAGGACAAGATCATCCTTGAGGCTCATGCCAAGTATGGCAACAAATGGGCAGAGATCTCCAAGCTGCTACCAGGCCGTACCAACTGTGCCATCAAGAACCACTGGAACTCCACAATGAAGCGCAAGATCCTAAAGCGCGAGTATGACATCTCGTTGCTGGCACTCGAATCTCCTCATCTGCTGGCCGAATACAACCTTAGCCAGTCCACCGGTAGCCATACACCAGTGATTGCCACAGCATATGACAGCCAGTCACTCCTACTCTCACGCTCCATCGATCAGATGCACCTCAATTCACCAAGGGAGCACCATTCCCCTCTGAAGAAGGCGCTTGAACATGCACCATGCTACATCTGCGAGTGTATCACCTTTATCCCATCGACACGTGGTCAAGACATGAAGCCACATGTGCTCACCCAGGAGCACTGTAGCTTCTTTGACCTTGCCATCCCCACCATCACTGCCGATAAGCCATACTGTATCTGCCAATCACATCTCAACTCCTACCTAAGAAGAAAGAGCAATGCCAATGGCGTTTCATCGATTCCAACATCGGCCGACCATCACCACCAGCGCCTGCAACAGGATGAAGTACTTGTAGAGATGCGTCGTCGACGCGAGTGGCCAGACCTTGTCGACATCCTGTCAATGAAGAATGAGAACACCAAGAGTGACACGCTAAAGATCGACCTGCAGGTGTTGTACGAGACACTTTTGGAGACCAGCACGATGCCAATCGAGATGTGCTACCAGAAACTGTATGAGGTATTCAACATCAAGGCCAAGGGCAAGAAGTCACCTGTCGAGACTGCTACTGGTGGCTCATCACCAACGACCAACAGGTTGTCATCTTCATCCGATTGTGATCTGTTGGCAGTCAACAAGAAGTTGATCAAGAACAATATCAAGTTCAAGATCAAGAATCTGTTGGTCACATTCCCTCACCTCAACTACTACGGCACCAACAAGGAGTTCCAACTTCAACGTCTGCAGAAGGTACCCGAGATCCTCCTTGTCAAAGACAATGCGCATCTCAAGAACCTGTTCCTTGAAGCCTAAAGTCAAAAGCATAATAATAAACTTTGTAGAATACATGAGCTGCTCAATGTCATTATTGTACATCAAGTAGTAGTTTGCAAGAGCACTAGGCCAAGATCATGTAGGCGCTCTCTTTTTTTTCATGGTCTTGTGTTTTGACAAAAGTTGCTCATGTGTGTCGGTCCTTGCCCTCACACAAATATCAAAATGAGCCGAGGTAGTAGACCAACTTGGCAACAACAACAACAACTCAACATCAGTTATGTATATGTAATAAGGAAGGATGTCTCTTACCAGTGTGCTTGCATATCGAGAGATACTAAGGTGGATCATTCAGGATGATTTATTCCCTTTAACTCGTTATTTTTATTGGGACCTGTATCTTCAGATTATAGAAAGGCATTGTCTTATTACTATCAGGAGATGGAGATCGATACATGTACGAAGAAGGAGGAATCAACACTGCTTGATACCTTGATAAGAGCACATGATGTTGCCTCAAGCCCCTACTCCATCTTTCGAAACGTTCGACGACTTAACATCACTGGCAGGACCTCATAGAAGATATAGATAACAACAACAGCGACAACAACGACGACGACGACGATGGTATTCCTCACGTTCAAGCCCTGGTTGGACAAAAGTTGCAACACATTGATCCAGCAAAGCTAGAGTCTCTTGTTCTTTGGTTGTCATCAATGGAGAGCATCTCATTGACATTGGAGGTGCCCCAAGAGATCTACGATGTTATCGACACACTCAATATGAGTACCTCGCCACCAATCGAGAGGCTCACATTGCAGACGACATTGCCAAACATGACCCTTGCATTCCTCCAACGCATCGCCACTGACCGATCGGTGCCCAACTCTCTGGCACTGATCATCACGCCACCAGCACGAATAGACGATCACGATGGCTCAGTTGTGTATGACAATATCGAGATGGGACCAACAATGCGAATCTTCCGACTTGTTCTCTCGTCGCACTTTGCCCAGCTCACATCACTCACCCTCCTGGCTTGCCACGGATGCACACACGCAGAGCTAGACAGACAGCTGTGGGATCGCTCGCCAGCCATACACCGCATCCTTGGCAACCTCAACCACCTCGAGTATCTTCGCATTGGCCTCTTTGAGGAAAGGGACATGGATGCCGACAACGAGCAGGGCCTCCCCTGCATATGCTACCAGAACAACAGTTGCCAGAAGTACCGTGACAATGAGCCCGATAGCAACCTCTACGATATGCTCTGGGATGATAGTGGAGATCCATACATTACATACATGGTGTCGTTTGTCCGGTATCTCTCGCAAGCAAGATCTTTGCGCACATTGCACTTTGAGGACCGGATCATTGGTGGAATAAACGATCCTCTGCTCAGCTATCTCTTTGGGTACACAACCGATTCAGATCGTGCCCAAGCTGCCATCAGCAACAACAAACTTTACACGTACTGTGACAGAGACCGAGATCGACACTATCCAAATCGAGACATTGGCTGGATTTCATCGATCAAATGGCAGTTTGGTGATCCATCGTCTGTGAATGACATTGACGACAGTGACTACAGTGACGACAGTGACGACAAATCTCTGACAAGCCTGTATCATCGTACTATCCAGGCTCACACAATTGAGCATCTCACCTTTGGTCCAATGCATCTTATTCCTTTGAACAGACACTTCAACACCCTGACACTGAACAATTCAATGATCCACAACCATCTGTATCCTCCTGCGAATATCATTTCACCAGAGGTTCTCCAATCGCTGGAAATCAATGTCGACCTTTTGAACGTTGATAATTACAAACGACAAGACAGGGGGTGAGAGACTTGGGCACACTCGTCAGATCTCTCAGTAGCAACAACAAACCTTTGGCCAAGGAATAGGCAACCTTCCACTTGTTCATCACCCGCCGGGTAAATAACAATAGCTCATCATAAGTTAGGACCTAACTTAAGTGATATCTCACCATCAATCAATCATACCATACAAAGACAAGAGAGTATGTCGAGATTTTGAACTTGATCGTATCCCTCCTGTTGGTGTACTTGCTTGGAACAGAGGTAGGCATCAGCACCATTGTTGGATGATAAGCATACACATCGTTGACTCATCAATATATATTCCTAAACTCCTCTAGATTGGCCTAATAATCTGTATACAGATGTGATTGTGATATCAGCATTTGTAGTGATGAAACATTCTTCATCTTTCCGACTGTCAGTCCTTGGAAGAGTGCCAGACAGTGCAAGTGGTACCTCCACTCCAAAGTATAAAGAGGTGACACAGAATAAGGAGGCAGTGGAGACTGAAGGCATCAGGATAATCAGACTGGAAGAGTGCATATACTTTACCAACATTGGCAACCTAAAGTATGCACTTCATCGAATCGAGATGTATGGTGATGCCACTGCTCATCCTTCTGAGCCACGCTCACGACCACTTGTAAGAGGTATCATTCTCAATTTGAAGAATGTTCCAACAATGGATTCAAGGTAGGTACTTCTTATCTTGACAGTCGATGATACCAAACAAACATACGCTTCATCAATTACTGACTTTACAAATCCGTTACAGCGCATTGGAGTCATTGGTGGAACTAGTTGATAAATATAAAAGACAGAGAGTACAAGTTGGTCTTGTCAAGATAAGAAGGGTGTTCAAAGAGAAGATGTTAAGGTCCGGAATGCCAATCTCTGTATTCGATAACAGTATCCACGACTCTGTATTGAGATTGACACGTGTTTCCAATGTTAACGATGAACAGAGTGGAGTGTAAATAATAGTCAATGGAACCTCTACTTGTACAATTAACAAGAGGCCCCTGGCCTCTAGGCCCAAGAGCTATGTAATTTATTCCTCTCCTTCGTCACTACTACTGCGAATCTCGACAAAGTTGACAAGTCTCAATCCTATACACCTGATCTTGTCGAATGGCAATGGTTTGACAGTGTTGTAGAACAACTCCCAAATCTTTTGACAGTTCTCCTGGAAGGTCATTGGTGGTAGTCTTTGCTTGCCATTAGGTGACCTGATTCGTTTCACTGGTGACGTTATGACTTGTCCGTCACTATCAATCACGGGCTCCTTTGATTGTGGTGACAATGAGAATACATGATTGGTAACTTTGAATGAGAAGTCCTTGATCATTACAATCAATCCAAGTGCCTAATGTATGTTTCATTGAGTATCATAAGTATGACGGACGTATTGATCAGATGAATCTAATTGATACATACCACAACATTCTCGTTCAAAAGAAGAAGTACAGCATCCTTGTATAGTGAACGCATAATATCCTCCAAGTCCATCTGGTCGTAGATCTCCTTGCAAGTCTTCTCTTTGGATATCATGGTCCTCTTTTTGGATACATGATAGGTTGACGGTGAAGGGATTATAGGTATACATAGAGCATGCTTGAAGAGCAGTTCAGCGTGTGCTCGAGACAATACATAATACAACTCATACTTGTTGTCTAGGATATCGGCAACAGTGTTCAATCCAAGTGTTTCAAGGAGTTGTTGTCGTGTTTTGCCTATACCTGATATCTTCTTGATCTGATGTTTATGATAGGTTGGAACGTGTAAGTGTTGGGACGTCGTCTCAACTCACTGCTGTATGTTCAAACATACCGCTGTGTTTGAAAGGAACTCCTCCATCTTGGCCTCATCTCTCTCAAGGATAAAGTAACCATTCGGCTTGTTAACTTCGCTACTAAGCTTGGCTAATAAGGGCGAAGGTGCTATTCCCATGCTACAAGTAAGTCCTCCAGTGTTATCATGTATCTTGCGTCGCAGTAACATGGCAATGTCAAGTGCTTTCATGCTTGGATTGTGTTGAAGCGCAGAGGTGATGTCTAGACATGCCTCATCCAATGAAGGAGACTTGTGAGGTGGGTGGGAAGCGTCAGATCAACATCAACTCAGACTAATGTTTAGTAGCTGGGTACTTACAACAAAATTTGGATCAAACTGACCTAGGACTTCTCTGATCAATGAGCTAAAGTGACGATACCTATCCATCCTTGAAGGCTTGATGATCAGTGTGGGACAGAGCTCCATTGCGAACAGGCCTGGCATACTTGCTCGGATGCCATACTTCCTCGCGATGTAATTGGAGGTGACCAACATGTTCAAGTCACCAACGGCCACAGGCTTGCCGGCAATTGAGGGGTCGTCCACCTGCTCAACCATTGCGTAGAAGGCATCCATATCAATGTGAATGAAGGTGTGCGATAGATCTTTTGAACGCCCCAGTGCATCAACAAAGTCATCGACCTCCTTTTGATACTCTGGTGAGTCCAGCGGCACCTGAGCCAACTTCTCCAATGACTCTGTTATGTATTGCTTTGTCTTTAGCTCCTGACGATCGACCTTCTCCTGATAATGAGTGCCATGTGAGTATGAGTCGAGCATCTGATTGATGAGGTTGATATCAACCGATTCCATGCCTGCTTTAAACTCCATTTGTATGTTTATATGTTGTTGTTGTTGTTAATTTAACCTTTGTGTGAGATCAATGAAGAAGAAACATTGATGTTATTCTGTAACAAGAAATGAGATTCTATTCGAAGAAATAATTAGATAGAATATCAGATATTTGGTAGATTTACTTTTAGCCAACCACATTTACACAGATATCTACCAGTAGACTGGTACACCATTTCAGACACAGCACTAAATAGACATTTCCAAACTGATCTGATAATAGAGGTTATCGATATGTATGAAATTTGATTGAAATGATACTAATAACAAAATAGTAATAAATTTAATCGTATCTATATCTAATTCGTTAATTCGATAATTCAACAACTATCTTGATGGGCACGATCGAGGAGACAAACTCGACAAACTTGTGACAGTCGTTCTTGTTGCTAAAGTAAAAGTCCAGAACGTCCTTGTGAAGATTCGTGTGTGAATGTTATTGTACATCCCACATCAGTCAATCTGTGGTTTGAAGTCCTTTTCCGGGTTAGCCGTTGACAACTGCAGAGTTTCAATTTCAGAAAGGATAAAATTAAAGTCATTACATAGTTTATGGATCTGCGAATTCCATACTTGGCGATCACTTGGACACCTAAGAATCAACACAAAACAGTGTTGACTTTCTCGTTTGATGACACTCATCTATGATTGGGGAGATGAAGGTTGTCCGTGAATGGGTCCAAAATCTTCAAAGATTATGATTTAAAGACTAAAGTCGAGGGAAGATTTTTTCCCTCAACTTGGTCAATAAGAGAGTATTTATAAAAGAAGAGTCACTTGAATCCATTTATTAATGTTATCTAATAGTTACTCAATCTTAATAATAGTATAATAATTAGTTATGTTTATCAAATATAGAACTCTATTGACAATTGTTGTTTTGGCAGTTATTAGTCTTGCCAATGCCAAGCAGACCAAAGTTGAGGGCGGGGCAGGAGGATATGGTTGTTGTGTCGGAACTGGCAAAGTTTGTAACTCATCTTTAAATTATAACGATAACAACAACACCTGGTGGTGCAAAGGTTATAATGGTGCCGACTATAGTCTTCCTATCCCTGTCTACGTTTGTAATAAATGCATTTTATCAAGCACCAACCCAAGTGGTCTCATCACAACTGGAGAATACTTGACTACTCAAACCACTGGTAGCACCACTACCTCTACAACAGCAACTTCTGGAAACGAGACAACTTCGACAACGGCATCTACTACTACTACGACTGGAAACTCGACCCAGGCCACTACAACCACATCTACTACAACTATTACTGGAGACTCATCTACGACCAAAGTTTCAACTACCCAACCGATAACGACTGCTCAGTCTACCACTGCCCAATCCACCACCGGATCAGGTACCCCCACTACTGCCGAGCCCACTACTGGCCAGAAAACTAGCTCTACTTCTTCAGCTAGCTACACAAAGCTTAGTTGCACATTTCTGGTCTCCATTGTAGTTGTTTCAATTATGTCACTCTAAAGAACCTTAACATTGATTTTGAATGTCCATTCTTCTACGTACCAATTCATAAAGTCCATTCATGACATTGTCCTAGTTTTAGTTTTCTAAAATAAATAATTATTATTTGCTCATCTTCTTGTTTTCAAGTAGTAGGTGATGATTAGTGAGTTGTTTGTTCCTCTTTGATTCTCAATTGGTATCTTACTTGGTGCCAGTCTGGAGGGTGGTCTTTCAGTTTCTCTTCCAAATAGTTAAATAGGGATTTTGTCACCGTGCAATGTTAGTCTGTCGTTGTTAATGTACATTAGTATTTATTTAGAGGATATTCGCCAGAATGACTTCTTCCTTGTGATTGTTGGACTAGCCTTCTCCACAGCTGGTGGTGGCATCTGTGATGATACTGCAGCACCCGATGCCCTTGACAATGTCGATGGTGTCTTGGGGGCAGACGGATCCTTTGCTTTGGATGTTGCAGACGAAGAGTTATTCACAAGTTCAGAAGAGGAAGACGACCTAGGACGTCTTGTCACAAGGTCAAAGAATGATGATCCTCTCTTGACAAGCTTGGGAGGACCTTTGGATCGAAGAGATGGAGGTGGTGTAGCTGAACCTCCCAAAATGTCACCTTGCTTCTCATCATTGGAGTCGTTTGTGGGCTTCTTTACCTCCTCTTCCTCTTGTTGAATCTTTCGCGATATTTCCTTGATCTCCTTCTCCAACTTCTTGCTCTGCTTGAATGATATAGTACTGATTGATTGCTTCCTCTCCAGGATCACTGGTGAGTTGTTGCTTGTGTACTTGACTTTGGATAGCTTGCCCTTGCCACCCTCTAATGCTACACCACCAATGTTTTCTTGACCAAGCGCTCCATTCCTGATGATTGACTTGTACAACATCTGTCTGGAACTGGACTCTGTCGGGACAGGTTCACCAGAGATACGGAGGTTCTCAATACTACTTAGGGAAGGCTTTGATGGTTGTTGATGTGGTGACATGGATGATGGTGTGGAATTGTTGGATACATTGATTGACTGTCCAGTCTGTTGTCTGAGACGATCGAGCTCTGTAGTCATCAACTTGACATTCTCCTTCTCATCGTCGAGTTGTTGGAGTGTGACATGGTGTGAAGCAATTAGGTCTCTGATCCTAGACACCATGTTGTCAGATGATCTCTTGTTCAACTCGGACCTCTTTTTCTCCTCCTCGAGCAGCATCTGGGTACGTGTCAACTGCTTCCTCTCCTCCTCCAGGTTTGTCTTGAGACTTGTGAGCTCCTGAATGTCGACGGTGGCAGATCCCCCTGTGATGTTGGTCGTCAGTCCCAAAGACTTTCGGGCTTGGACAAGATAGTGATCGGCCATTGACATCTTCTCCTTCTCTTTGGTAAGTTGTGTTTGCATCTCAGCCACCTGTCTTCTCATTGACTCCAAGGCATTGTTGTCACCCAGTGATGTGTTGACTGATTGTAACTTGTGATTGATGGACAACTGCTCGGACAATTGTTTCTCCAGCAACTTGCACTTGGCACGCTCGGCATCCAACGACTTCTCCAATGCATCATTGTTCTCCTCGATACCGGATATCTCCTCCATTAATGATTGAAGATTATTAATGTTATCCTTTGATATGGTCTGTTTCTCCTGCTCCAACTGACCACACTCCTTGATAACAGTATCCAATTGCTTGGTGACTGTATCCTTCTCACTCTCCACAGCCTTTAGTATCTGGTAGAGCTCCAACTTGGTGATTCGTTCCTCGTTCAACTTTGTCTCTAGGATTGACTTCTCCTCCTCAACCAACTCCTTGTACTGAGTGATCTGCTCCACCAAACTGGCAATGGTCTCCTTGGCACCCATCAATTTGCTCCTCTCACGTAGTAGTAATACTCTGAGAGTAGCCTCATCGGAACAGGCCACCTCACCGTCTGAATCACAGTCGTCAGCAGTGTTTATATCCTCCTCAATTATTGAATCCTCACTACTATCTCGGAACAAGTTGGAATTGGGTAATTGAGTCTTGGCAACATCTTGATATGATAGAGTAGTAGTCATTCTAAATATAAATATCTCTAATAAAAATAATTATTATTTGATTGATTGAAAAGATGGATATACAACTTATGTTAGTAACATTGTATCTAAATGTAAAGTTAATGTCCTGATATATTGAGGCCCATAAATAATAAGAAGTCTCTTCAACTGGGATTATAGTTGTGACACGTGTTGAGTATATTGGGTAGTCTTCTGTCACATGCACTGATGACATGATCATAAATCATACATCATCAACTACCACACTTCCCACACCACACAATTAACAAATATATATACTTACACAATAATATAATTTATACAACAGTAGTAATAAATTGACTTAATAATAATTATAATAGTAACGGATGTACTACTTCTATCTACCTACTTACTTAAGTCTTATTTTTCCAGTATTGTACGTCCAATCACTTCACTTTTTACCAGGTTCTAAACAGGATCGACGATCTAAACACCACACACTGGCCTCCAAAAACAGACGATTGACAATCTCGTTGTTACTGCACTCTAATTAGTTCGATCGATCTTAGATGAATGCGAGTCCAATCACACTTACAATCTGACAGATAAAGGTCCTGAAGGACGCATTTCGACCTAATCATCTGTTCTCATCCTCGAAGACGAGAGCGTGGTCAAGTAGCTGCAAACCTATGTAGTTAGCTGAGAAGCATGCATTCGAATGCATTGGCAGCAGGTCATGGTAATTTCGAGGATAGCGCCCTTGGTTAGGTTTTAGGGGCTATCCTTTATTGTTTCACTTGTATACAGGGGACTGACAGGCTATCTAGCTAGATGTCACGAGAGGGTCGGTGTCAATGTCTTTGACGAATTTGGCCCTATGTGCGAGCAAGCAGCAGCAGCTTAGTTGAGGTTTCACTCCTAACATTATACTGCATATATGCGTGTCCACTCCCTGGCTCTTTCAATGGCATCCTTCTCGTTTGATTTCCAGTGTTCCGCAACATCATTAGCCAAAGGGTCTGTGTTGTGTCACAGGTTAGTAGATGGATATTGGATACAGTATGATTGATTGACAATGCCCACTTACCATCAGGATTTGGTGCAGAAAGTAGAGCTTGAATCGACAATAACACTGTACGTATCTGTAGTGCAGGGCTCCACTTATCTTTTAATATATCTAAACAAATCCTACCAAGCTTATCAATATTAGGGTGATAAATCTTTGTTAAGAAACGAACTTTAGGTGCAGACATTGGGTAGTCATCAGTTAAGAACAACTCTAAATGAAACACTCCTCCTATATATTTAGATCGATAGATTAATGAGACAAGGTGTTAGCATTGCACTACAATTGATGATATGTTGAATCAACATTGATTTTGTCCTGTTTCCTGTGTCCTTACCTTGGAAAGGAGATCCTTCAGGTCCTGATATTATAACATTGAAATAGCGTAAGTTATCAGTATGTGGTGTAGCACTTATACCTGGAGCTGTTGTCATCGTCAGTCGTGTATAGATGTTGTACATGTTAGTAAGTTACATTGTTGATGTTGATCTCGTTCGTTGAATAGAGATAAGATCACATACCAGGTTCAGTAACCAATCTTTGTGACTCTTTTATAATCCTTCTTGTTAATGAATCCATTTATAAACTATATTGTTGTTGAATGTATTTGTATGTATGTTTGATGATTGATGATGATTATGATGATATACGATAGATTATTATTGTTATTACTTCTGTTTGTTATTCTTATTATGTATGTGTTTGAAATAAAGAGAGAGAGAATGTTTCTGTTTTAATAAAATATTAAAATTTGATCAAGTGTGTTTTATTTATTTTTAATTTAAATGGATTGTTGTTGGTTCTAAACAGATGTAGATTCTTTTGATATATTTTTGAAAACATTTACTAGGTTCAACCAAACAAATAATGATCAAACAGATAATAGTTTGAGGTATCTATTTTACCTCGAATAGCAATATACTCTAACAACGATCAAGTCGTTACTAATCTTTGTCGGTGATGACCAAAACATAACCATCATAACAAAAATATCTTGATCAAATATCCAACCTAAAAGATTGGGTTTTTAGGTCGTCTGTTCAAATAATCTTGACAAGTTCGGGTTCTCTAAGATCAGAGGACGTTGTTATAAATATCTAGATAGATGTATGTACAGCACATTCATAACACACACCTCTACTTAAACTAATGAAGAATTATCTCTATTTATTATTGTTACTGTTGCTAACATTGACAGTGCTTGGTCAGCAACCATCATGTCCTATCGATCCTAACTGGAGAGATCCAACACCTCCAGGAGGTTTACTTTTATCTGGCCAAGCGACTCCTCGTCATTCCTTGCGCTCCACCAACACTGGATCGACCACTGTCTACAACTCAATATCGGATTGGGTCTACGTTGACTACTGGTACAAGAGTACACTGTTGTCCTTTGCCGCTGCCACTGGTACATCTAATGGAGTCAGTCTCACCGGTGCCTTTGCCGTAAAGTTGGAAGCCTGGCCTATTCCTGAATGGTGGCTTACCACGTCCAATATCACTCACTCATTCAAGAAGGGTGTACAATATACCTTCTCGTTGAGCTTCCTGCTCGGTACTCCCAATCCAATGACATTCACCGGTCTATCCTTCTGTGCACTCCAGAACTACAACCCAAACACTGCCAATGGATTCATTGCTGAGAACCCAACTCAGATCGTCCAATGTTTACCATTCTCAGGACCATTCAATCAGTACACCAGCTGGATGGATCGTACTGTAACGTTCACACCATCCACAGACTTGACCGGAATCACTCTTGGTATCCGTGTCCAATATCCAAAGACAGGTGTGCCCTACACCTTCTACATCAAGAACCCAAGTCTTGCCGCTCCGCCCCCTCCAACTCCAACGCCAATTGTGACCCAATCCCCAACTCCAAGTGCTACTCCATCTCCAACTCCAACACCGACCCAAAGTGTAACACCTGCCCCTCCAGTGACCACTGTGTACAATACCCTCTCTGACTGGACCTATGTTGACTACTGGTACAAGAGCACACTACTGTCATATGCCGTGGCCAGTGGAACATCAAATGGAGTCAATATCAACGGAGCATTTGTGGTCGGTCTCGAGGCATGGCCTATTCCAGAATGGTGGCTGGCATCGACCAAGATCAACCATTCATTCCTCAATGGCGTCGAGTATACGTTCTCACTCAAGTTCCTCCTTGGCACACCCAATCCAATGACATTCACCAGTCTATCCTTCTGTGCACTCCAGAACTACAATCCAAACACGTCCAATGGATTCATTGCTGAGAACCCAACTCAGATCGTCCAATGCTTCCCATTCTCAGGACCATTCAATCAGTACACCAGCTGGATGGATCGCTCAGTCAAGTTCACGCCCTCCACCAACTGGACTGGAATCACTCTTGGTATCCGTGTTCAATACCCAAAGACAGGTGCTCCTTACACCTTCTATATTAAGGATCCTTCAGTTACTGCTCCAGGCGGCCCAGCTCCAACACAAACTCCTACCCAAACACCAACTCCTACCCAAACACCAACTCCTACTCAAACATCAACACCAACTCCTACTCAAACACCAACACCAACACAAACAACAACTCCAACGCCAACTCAGACACCAACTCAAACGCCAACGCCAACTCAAACACCAACTCAAACGCCAACTCCCCCCTCAGGTCTCTTGACCAAAGAATCTGAACTTGTCAAGCTTCGCAAGCCAACAACAGGACTTGTTTCACAGGATAGAACACAGTGCCCACACTTGGCGACAGGTCTCAAGCATTGGCATGATCCTGCCACTTGGGGTGGTTCAGTTCCAACACCATCAACAGCCACAATCACTCTCCCTGCCAACACTGCAGTACTCATCTCATCCTGTTCTCTTGTTCCAAATGCCACATATCAACGCATAGTAGTCCCCAGCGGATCCAAACTAGTGTTCTCAGATGCCACCTACACTCTTCATGTCCGTGATATCTTTGTTGACAATGGTGGACAACTCCTGATGGGATCACCAAAATGTCGCATCCTCGGAAACATTGAGATAGTGTTCCATGGTCGAAAGACCACTGGTGATACAATCGCACCTGGTATGGGAAGCAAGGGTATTGCCGTCGCCAAGAATGGCTTCATCTCAATGCATGGCAAACAGTACCACAACACTTGGACTCGTCTCGCTGCCACAGCCAAGTCTGGTGACAAGTACCTCTACGTTATGGACGACATCAACTGGGAGGTAGGCCAACAGATCGTGATCACCACCTCCAGATACTATGATGAGACGACTCGTGAGAACGAGGTGCGCACCATCGCAAGCGTCACGGGCAGGACCATCGGGCTCACCCAGTCACTCCAGTTCCTTCACTATGCCGGCCAAGAGTACCAAGCTGAGGTCGGTCTCATCTCTCGTCGCATCAAGCTCACCGGTTCCTCGGATGACCCTGCATCTGAGGCATTCGGTGGTCACATCCTTGCGATGGGCAGAGGCCAATTCGCAGGACTCCAACTCACTCGAATGGGCCAGACCAACATGCGTGCCCGATACCCACTTCACTTCCATTTGGCTGGATCACTCACCGACAGTTACATCTCTGACAACTCAATTGTCAACAGTTATTACCGTTGTGTCACTATCCATGGCACTAACAATGTTGTCGTAGAGCGTAATGTTGGCTTTGACATTGTGGGACACTGCTACTATCTAGAGGATGGTGTTGAGGAGAACAACACCGTTGCCTACAATCTAGCTGCCTACGTCCATGTAATTGGAACACCTGCCGCAGGAGATGGACAGGGTGGAGACACCTTTACCGAATCAGACTCACTCAAACAGCCAGCCGACTCTGCAGCAGCCGGCTTCTACATCACCAATGCATACAACAGGATCATTGGAAATGCTGCAAGTGGTGGATGGGCTGGATACGCCTTCCCCAACCTCCACAACTCTGTTGGTGCCTTCCAAAGTCAGACGTTTGGTAAGTTGTCAACGAGCTCACCAAGTTAACTTCAAATCAACTAACACACCACCAGACCCCTCAAGCAGACCCAACCTCGAGTTTGATGGAAACACGGCCCACTCCTCTGGATACTTCTGGTCTGCTGGCGCATGCATCTACACTGGAGGTAGCCTCTATTACTCTGGATCACTTCTTCAGTATCTGTCTGGTCGTGATGCTCGAGAGACAACTGACACCAATGGCAATACGGTCTGGATGAGATTCACCAACACCAAAGCATTCCTCTGCAACCTTGGTGTAGGCCACTGGGGCAATCAGATTGAGATTGACTCTTATGAATCACATGACAACAAGCGATCTGCAATGCTCTTTGGCTCGGCCTGGATGAACAATGCCATTGTCAATGGAAAGACCAACAATCCTGTCGCTGAAGTAGAGATACGTACTGGTTTTCAGGTAACTATCCAAGCATTTTGATGTTGCTCATACATACTAATGCTCTTTCCGCACGCACAAAGTTCTATGATACCCTTACCCAAACAATATTGACCAACATCAACTTCCGTAACTTTAAACATCGTCCACAAGCCACTGGTCCACTCGATGACAACTCTGTCATTCTCTCAATGGTCCACAGTGACAAGTACAAGCCACAGGGTATCTCTGCCTCCAAGAACATTACCTACACCAATGTCGATCGTCAGGTCATGATCGCACATGATGCACAGGAGACTGGCTCGAGCAGATACTTCAACTTTGTCGATTGGGATGGCTCTGCTACTCTCCGAGGCCGTCCTACCATTGTAGGCTCCTATCTCAACTGGTGGCGATACGATGACAGTTGCACCTATGAGGCAGCTTGGAAAGTCTGGGTCTGCAACCAAGATCCTGCCACGAGACAGATCGCCAACATTGATTTCCTCATCCCCGGAATGATCGAGTGGGACGGTCCAGAGATGCCCGAGGACAGCTACATTGGCAACCATACTCTCTTTGGAGCAGGAATAACAGGCCCAAGAAGGTCGTGTCTCATGACCAAGAATCCAGGCATCACTGGTGTCACAAACAATGGATGGTACTTCTACTTCACGGCGCTCTCTGGCTCACCCTCGAGCTTCAAGATCAAGGTTCACCAGATGCCCCGTGGCACCTACGTCTTGCTTGCTCTCAGATATCCAGCCGGTACGACCTTCACTGCCAAGGGATCTTACGAGTTTGGCAACCCTGTCAACACAATAACCTCTGTATCATCACGTGATCAGGTGGTCAATGGAAATGGAAACCAATACTACTTTGACGGTAACCATCTCTATGTCAAGTTGCTCAACTCCATGGACCTTGCCACCAACACCTTTACCCGAGGTGGAGTCTCCATCTGGGACTACCTCTGGGGTTCATACAACTATGACATCACTGCCAAGTGTCCAAACAACAAGTGCAATGCTTCTGATGTGCTTCCAGTCTGGTAGTCATGTTATACCTATCCAATGGTCATCAAATAAAGGTCAAGATCAAATTAATAAGTAATGATGTGATGTTATTACATTGTTGTTGTGCCATTGGCACAGTATCTCTGACTTAGTGATGCTTTTCATGTTTCTTGATGTTGAAGGCATTCTTTAGGAACTCATAGGTGACGAATGTGATGCCATGACTTGGAATACTCTTCATAAAGTTGGGTACAATTCCTCTGTACAATCCCTTGAATCCTTCCTTCTGCACTGTCTTGGTCAGTCCATCTATTAGTCCGCTGTATTTCTATATCGGGTTATGTTTTGTCGTTGTTAATGATGGGAATGAATAGACACCGGAATAATAGATGAACTTACTTCTGGGTTGGCCTTGGTACCACCAGTGACCAGTCTTGTCTTGATCACATGAATTGGGTATGACACCAATTGACCCATCGTTGAGGAGATGGATGCGCACGTCAATAGTTCAAGAGCAGATGGATCCTCTCCATGCTTTGAGTTGATCACTTGATGCTTCAACGACTCATAGACCAACATGTTGATACCAGAGTGTGGAATAGTCGAGAGGATTGAAGCGGTAAGGCCTCTGTAAAATGCTCTGAATCCTTCGGCCCTGTACGTCTGTCTGAAACAATCGAATATACCACTGTATGTTCCAACTGGCTCGGCAGAGAGACGTGTGCGAACCACCTCTAGAGGGAAGAGCGACGCATGAGAGACGACACCAGCTGAGGCACCCGAAATAAAACGTTGTGCTGAGGTCAACTCGGCGTCAGTCTCTGCAAACATTCTCTTGACAGCCTCGAACGTGGCAAACTTGACGGCAGACTCTGGACTGACCTTGAGGATGTTGGCCAAGTTACCACGGAACAGACCACGGAGACCACCATCAGCATACACCACTCTGAAGGTCTCAGCAATGGATCTGGGAGCACCATGGTTCAGCTGGTAGGTGAGCTTAACTCTTTCGATTGGTGCTGTGGCTGTACGTGAGACGATACCAGCTGCAGCTCCTGCACCCATGTATGTTAGTGTACGGATGATGGCCACTCTGGTGGTTTCGGCCAGTGACCCAGTGGTTGGCAGTGGGGCCAAGGTTGCTGGGGGTGGAGCAAAGCCACCACCATCATCTCCGCCATCAAGAATCTGAGCATCCTTCCAATAGGCCAATGCTGCACTCAAGTTTGAGTTTGGTAATAGTACAAGTAGTTCTCTGATCAGTGATTAACATAGTTAGTGTCCGTTCATTCATCCACTCTTGTACAATTAATAATTACAACATACCTCCATTCATTAAAGTCTATCTTGTTGTCATTGTTAGTGTCAACTCTTTGGAACAGACGAACCAACTCTTGATCAGAGTATAGCTTCAATCCAATCCTGTCAATTGACTGTTCAATCTCTTTGATGTCCAAGTATCCACTCTTGTCAGTGTCCAAATCATTGAACAAAGTCTTTAGTTGTACTAGGTTCTTATTGACAAACTGTGAGAACTCCTGTTTGGTTGGTACATTGATTGATTAAATAGTTAATACATTGGATGGTGATCACCTCTATTGGCATGTAGTACAGTACATACATCGAATGATACATTGCCATCATGATTGGAATCTACAGCCTCTAGGAACTGATCGATGTTTCTTTCAGAGGATGGGATGTGCAGCTTACGAAATCCTTGCTTCAGTTCATCCCTTGACAGTTTGCCATCATTGTTGTTGTCCAATGATTGAAACAGTGTACGAATGTACTGGGTGTCTTGATTCACATGCTGTGCTTCAGTAGATGGTAAACTCATTGTTGTTGTTGTTGTATCTCTTTGAATTAATTAATGGTAAGATTATTATGTTTAATGATGTTGATCATCACCAAAAAAAACCTCTTGAGATTTTAAATATTAATTTAATTTAATATGTAAATAAGATACTTACTTTGAAAGGATTGGGTTCGATGGAGATCATCTTGGGTAGATGAGAGGAGGCACAATCATGTGAACATACACCCCGATTTTTTGATGGACAACTGAACGTCAAGAAAGCTTTCGATTATTCATTACACTACCAATCACAATCAAATTGTGTAGACTAAAGTTTGGATTTCCATCTCTAGTTGTTTAAAGTATGGCAATAATGTATACTATGATGGTCCACCAGTGTTGGAATATCTCATCATCCTGTTGCACTAGTTGAGACAAATCTTTGACCCGATATGGCCTAGATGGGCTTTTCGTCTTCTGATCTCCAACACCTTCTTCAAGGTCATTAGAATACGTGGCATCTCGACCAAACTGCTCAACACTCCTCGTAAGTACAGCGCTCTAGTATTCAACGTACCAGAAATGACGATATAAGATTGACAGCGAGGTATCTCGCACTCGACAGTCACCACCATCACCCTTCTGGCTTTGTCCATCAAACCTTGCTAACTTTGTAACCAAACCCTAACAATGCCAGGAACATAATGTTCCTAACATTACCAATATCGATTGTGCGCATTGGTATCTTGTTTTTTATCTTTGGATTCTTCTTTAACTCTGCCATCAACTTGTTGGAATAGTATTCAAGACTACTCGCATCACCATCTCGATCTTCCTGTACTCGTCCTCTTTGGTTGGATAGTATGCCTTGTTAGTTGGTATTGTTTGTTGCTTGCTAAGTGAACTACTTTTCTCGCAAGTCAGAGAACTCCTCTATCGTTGGGTCACAGAGGAGGGGCTTGGGTGCAGCATCGATGGAGGTTGCTGTATCTGTACATCAGCCTGATCCTGTTGTTGCTGTGATATGTATTTGTTGATATTTGTTGGATGCATCTTGATTTGCATCAGCCATCGAAAGAGAAGCTAAGTTTATTTCTGTTGTGCAGTGAGGTGAAGTGTAACCTGCGTAGCGAGGGACTCTTGCACAACATCGCCACTTGTTGGAGTCTGAGGTCTTGATCCTCGATGATTGGATAAGAGAGCTCCACAATATGGTTGTTGGAGACGATGGCAGGAGTCAGCATATCAAAGAACTGCTTGGCAGTGCATAGATGGCGATGATAGGACAGTGACTACGAACGCAGATTGGTGTTGGTCGAATGTCCAATGAGTCGCGCCAGCGACTGAAGCTCGCTATCTCTCACTCCATGAAGAGCAATGAAGCAGAGCGAGTGCATGGATTGACGCAGAAGATCGTAGAACTCTCGATCAACCAAAGTATAGAGCGATTGGTCCATCTCCAGATGCCGGATGCCAGTGTTTGGTGTCTGGTCGAACATTGTCCACAGTATATCGTTCCAGATGTTGCTGAAGTGATAGGACTCCTCAAAGGATGCGTCAGTGATCTCTGGAGGCTGGAATCGTCTCGAGCAGAAATTGCAGCGGTACTTTGTCGTCGGAACGGGCGTTGATAGTAGTGATAGCTCTGTCATTGAGGAGTTGCATAGGTATTGCTTCAACTGGCGAGCTAACTGGACCGAGTCTTCGTCGTGGTCGTCATCGAACCATTGGCTCATCCGACGAGATTGTCCATCGTAGTGCGATAGCGGAAACAGAGATCCAATGCCAAGAGAGGTGAGACGCGGATGAATTCGGACAATGTCCACAAGCTCGGCCAGAGACACAGTGCATTGGAGCGACAGAGCAGTGATTGTGTCCGTACAGAGTTCAGGGTCGGCAAAGCATAAGAGCATCTCGTAATGTGTCACTTGGAAGGCACAGGTAAAGGGGGGATTGAGCCAGTACCAGTTCCAAAGTGAAGATTCAAGTCCACCTCTCTGAGTTGGGTCAGATGGTCGTAGCTGAGGAAATCCTCGATAAAGAAGATGGTGCCCACCGACGAGTTGAGTCGGCATTCGTCCTGCTTGAATCTAGTGATGGAGGAAGGCAGGCAGGGCAACAGCGGAGCATTGGTTCCGCCTTGATAGGAGCTCTTGATGGTTGCCAGTGAAGTGCAGTGCGTTAGACTTGGAAATAGTTGGATCCAGCGCTCAATAGATGTCGCATATCTGCGGGTATCTATGTGAAGGGTATCGATCGCTGTGATCAACTGGAAGAGGGAAGGTCGCGGTGGTGAGCTGGCAAGACGCTTCAAATCAGCAATGCTCTCCGTTGAGGAGGTGTCCAACCGGAAGGAGCGACAGTGCCTTCGCACATGCTGAAACCATCGCCAACAAACCAGGGACAGTGTGAGAGAAAGCATTCGCTACGATCTCCTAGATGGCCATCTCTTTGTGCTCTTGATCACCAAAGATCTTTCCAGTCCATCTCTTTGGAAGCACCAGTCTATGATGGAGGTCTGCAAGTGATGAGGAATGTAGATAGACATATGATCGTTTGAATGTCGCAATAGAGCACACCAGATTAGAGTTTATAACAAAAAAGCCATATTTTCATTATGTATCTTTTGTTTAGAGACAAGCCATTGGAGACCTTGGTCTTGATGGCAGCCTTGCTTGCAATCGCAAGCTGCACTTGTATTGATCCCAAAGGGCCTTATTTATACAAACTCATTCGCAGCCTTCTGGACATTGATGTGATGTATATAAGTATTGAAAGAATGAATTGTAGACCACGAGAAGATAGTTTAGTTGACTCCGACTAGTCCAACTGATCACTCCTTTCCACGAAGATATTTTCAAGATTGATATTTATCATTCGTCTTTGCCAAAGCTTTGATTAGTTGTTCTGGTACTGTCACACCTTGACATCGCGCGCAGATTAGTTATTAGTGCATTGACTGCCAATGTATGATGTTTGATGATGTGATTGGACCACCACCGCATAGTGATCGATCACTTGGATTGAAAGAAGTATGGTACGTCGATCATTGCGAATGGAAGAGCGATATATCGTGCTGACTTCCATGCATAGGAGAAGATACCAAAGTTTAGCATTGGGAACAGCTGGTTCATAACAAACAGTGAGCTGGGTGAGAGTATCACCTTCTTTGCTGTGCTCTTGAATGCACTGGGTGTCTCATTTGTCACTGCTGTTGATGTTGTTGTTGTTGTTGATGTCAATGATGATGTAGCTGCCTCAATTGTTGGCTGATGTAATATATCACGTTTGATCTTATCATTGACAATCGAAGTGTAGTAATGAGGATACAAGCTGATCGATGTCAATGTGCCAACCAAGAGTATGGCTATTCCGCCTGCCATGCCTTTAGCATTCCTATAAATCTATGTAAATGATTGTATGAGTGAGTGAGCGTGTGTCTGATGAGTGTGTCGAGAAGTAAGTTGTACTTACCACATCGTTGGTATGCCTAGACCATCGATAAGAGCAATAGTAATAGGTGAGTGGTATCAAGAAGGCATTGTATGATACGTGGAATCTGTAGGAGTTGTCAATGTACTCCTTGTTACGAGAAGCTGTTGAACCGACCGGTGGGATAAAAGTACCGCGCAACACACCAAGGAACTGCTCACAATAGTTGGAGATGAGTTCGTTTCTTGACTTGTGGAGGTATGTAATGATTGGCTTGAGCTTTGGAAGCAATGTATAGTTGTCACCTGTTGATTTGTGTGTAAGTGTCCAGCTCAACTCAACCGTCATCAAGTCGTTGCATTGTTGATCAACATACGATTGGCAAACATGAATATAAAAGTCTGGATGACAACTTGCTTCATATCAGAGTGAGCTAGCTTGTTGAGGTCAGAGATAAAGTCGGCAGAGTTTAACAAGTACTCATGGTTCGACTCTTTTGATTGATTGATGAAGAGTGTGAATATGGTGCTCATGGCTTCCAGGCATGACTCCAAGTCTGACCTCCAATGCCAAGTACTTACTGATGCTCACTAGACATAACCAAAGGTTTGTGGCAGCATCGCTATTCATTCCTGATGCCAACATTGACTTGAGTACAACAGAGGTAACGTTGTGCTTGACGGCCTCCTCACCAAACACGTCTAGACGTATGATTCGCGACACAACCAGTGTAAGTAGAATGATCCTACCCATGATAATCGAGATCTCGATTACACTCACCATATCCAATTGTGATAAACCTTTCAAGGGTTCTGATAGCACTAGCCTGGACGGTTGGATCAGAGTCGTCTAATGCCTTGACCAACACTTGGACCACGCCATTCTTGAACATCCTCTCAATTGTTTCGTCTAGAGGTGAGGTTACATGTTAGAATATATGTATCTCGAACTGGTTGCAATGATACCTACAGTTGTTAGCCCTGCCATAGATCCTGTCCAGTGCTTCATTCCTTTCCAGGGGATCGATGTTATTCAATATACACTCAAAGTCCTCAATGATCAAGTCCTCTCTGAACTTGTTGTAGGCACTGTAGACGCTGTAGGACAAGGCGCCAAATGCAAAGAAGATTACCTCCCAGAAGAACTTGGGTAGTCTCTTGAACTCTAAGTTTGATGATTGAGCGTATGAGTTGTTGACGTGTGAGTGAGATGGATATCCATAGTTGCCCAAAGTTGGATTTGTCCAACCTACCCTCTTGATCATGATTCACAAGTGAGTCCTCCAAGGAGTCCAAGTGATCACTGTTGTTTGCCTTCTTGGCAGCGACAATTGTTTGTTGTTGGGTAGTAGTAGTACATAGTCTGTATGTATAAGAGTTGTTTGTACAATGTGTAACACAGTCGGAGAACATGACAGATGGACGATGATGTCGTTGTTGTCCAAGTGTACCTGATGTGATACTGAACGATGATAGAGGTGGGGCAACGACATCAGACCTATTGACCCTCACGATGATACCATGACATCTATTCCTGACACCACTACTGATGATATGTTTGATGATCATTCTATCTATTGTTGTCTAAATAATATTGATTGAAACATTAGATTCAAAGTGAAGATCAGACAGATCTAAATGATTGGATGGATAACGTTATTGAAAAATGAGTGGTATGGAAATTAAATTGATTTAATTAAAAATAGTGGGTGTAATGAACGAACGACCGAATGTATGTATTTTGACCAAGATTGACATTCTTTTTTGATCAAAGAAGGGTCATATTACATACTTATATTTAAACACATACAATGAGTCAAAGTATGCTTGTAGACCATAACGAACATTGTTTGATCGAACTAAACTAACATCATCAAATCAATCAATCAATCACATTATCAAACATAGAGGGAAAGAAATCAACTACCACCGCCACTCCAAAGGCTGTAGTAGAGGAACAGGTTAATGTAAAGAAGACTAAGACTACAACAGCTGCTGCTGCTGCCCCAGCATCTCCAGCTCCAACACAGACAAAGAAGAAGGCTGCTGTTGCTCCAGCTGAGCCAAAATCAACTACACCAACAAAGTCAAACACAGCTCCAGCCAAGAAGCAGACTACTACACCAGTCGACGCTCCAGCCAAGGCTGCCGCAAAGTCTCCTTCAAAGCCAGCTGCTAAGGCTGCTGCCAAGGCTGCTCCAGTTGTTGCACCAGTCGTTGCAGCTTCCCCAGCCAAGCCAACTGCTAAGGCTGCTGCCAAGGCCCCAGCAAAGCCAGCTGCCAAGGCTGTTGCCAAGGCTGCTGCTACTACAAAGGCCACGCCAGCACCAAAGAACAAACAGACATCAAAGAAGCAGGTTCAAGAGGAAGTTGTGGAGGAGGATGATGAGGAGCTTGAGGAGCTGGATGATGAAGAGATGGCTGCTTTGGAGAAGGAGTTTGGACTCGACAAGGATGACGATGATGTAGAGCTGGACGACGATCAAGAGGAGGACGAGGATTTGGACGATGATGAGATTGCTGCTTTGATGGCCGATGATGGTGATGACGATGATGATGACGAGATCCAAGACGATGAAAGTGATGATGATGAGGAGGTTGACGATATGGTCGAGGAGCAGAGCAAAGTTGATGTTTTCGCCAACTCTACAGAGATGATCAAGCTTGGAAAGAAGAGAAAGGCAACAGCAGTCAGCAGCACAGAGGGTCAGGTCCAGAAGAAGATCAAAGAATCAAAAGAGGTTGGTGTCTTCTTCACATATGCACACATTCAATTGAAACTATTCCATTAACTAATCACACCCAATCAATCAATCATATACTTTATATATAGGATCCAGAGAAGATTATTTATATTGGACATCTGCCGCATGGTTTCTTTGAGGACCAGATCAGAAGCTACTTTGCTCAGTTTGGAAAGGTGTTGGCCGTTAAGGTGGCCAGGAACCCAAAGAGCCTTCAATCACAAGGCTACGCCTTTGTAAAGTTTGACGACAGGGAGGTGGCCAAGGTTGCCGCCGAGACCATGAATGGATATATTATGTTCAAGAAGAGAATGATCTGCAAGGTCACCCAGTCAGTGCCATCCAATCTCAGATGGTTCCAGACCAAATCATCAAAGAAGGTCGTCAAGCAAGTTGCTGGAAAGCAGGCACCAATCGAAACAATCAACAAGCGTACCAACCAGAACAAGGCAAAGTTGGCCAAGCTGGGTATTAACTACACTTTCCCAACTCCAGTTGTAAGTAATACGAATGATCGAGGTGGAGTGGACAATAGACAGGCAATGAACTAACAACACTCAATCATCATTAATCATAGATCGCCAGCAAGTCTAAATAATAAACTTTAAAGTTGTTCGACAAAGAGATATAACTGTTTAAATTATCATTATACTATACTATACTATATTTTATTACAATCGATGGTGGATTGGATGGACCTGGTCCTCAATCACCTCACCCTCCACCTATATCTATATGTCGCCCTAAGAGTTATCATTCGATGTATCCTTGAGGAGGAAATGGTCTTGGGAAATTAGGCTGTGTGAATAGATGTGCGACGACAGGACCAGCGATGGCGAGTGTCTCTTGTATGGATGCAGACGGTGGTCTGACTCGGACTCGGGAAGCAGATAGTCGACAGGATATTTCTGATCTGAGACCGAGTAGCGGTAGTTGTCCATACGGTCAAAGATGGGAGAGCAATATATATAGGACGACTGTAGGACACTCTTGGTGGTGCACGACACCTCCATCCAATAGGAGTTCATCGACAGAGACTCGATGGTCTTGAAGTGTGTTGGGATGCCAGACTCCTTGTCCCACGTGGTCAGCAACAGTTGTGTCTTGTACGGGTTCAGTTGGCGGCCCAGTGGTTGGATGTCCCAGCGGAAGAGCTTGACCGTGTCGACCGTGAGGAAATCTGGTTGGTTGTCACTGAACTGCAGCACCCGTCTGTGAATCCTGCCAATGAAGGGCTTTGGTGCGCGTTTGATACGCTTGATCTCGTTCTCCAACTGAAGGAACTCGGCATACTCCTTGAAGATGGCCTGAATGTGATTCTCGTCTTCAAAGTTGAGCCACCACGGTATGGCACTGGTGTTGAGTCCGTTGTTCATGGAATAGCGCAGGGCATTGTGAATGACTTTGTCCGTTTCCTTTGTCTGTGGCTGAACGCTGTTGTTTGCTCGTCTCGTTGAGCATATATAATAATCGTCATCATCAGATTCGTGATAGTAATGAGGTCTGTTACTATTGTTGTTGTTGTTGGTGCTGTTTACGAGGTCTCTGATTGGACTCGAGTAGTTGATCGAGAATGAAGTGGGTGGCATCAGATCAATAAAGTCATCCAGGTTGGAGAGGTCACTGTCTGAACTACAATCGCTACTGCAGTTTGAATCTGAATATTCATCGTCCTCATCCTCGTCGTCCTCCTCCTCTTCCTCTTCCTCATCCTCATCGTCGGATTGACAGAATGTTGTAATATATCTTGAACTCTGGCGCAAGTTAATGTTGTTGTTGTTGTTGGCTGTGGAGGGTCTTTCGACCTCCTCATCCTCATCTGACTGGTCTGAACAGTCAGACTCAGACTCCATGTCTTCTTCTGTGTATGTGCACTGCTCAGAGGAGTGACAGGATGACGAGTCGTCAAGGTCACTCTCCTCACCATCAGTGGCACTGGTGAGGGATGACTCATCCTCTGAGCTCAACTCTGTCACTTGCTCCTCTGCCAAGGAGAGCGAGTCAACAGATAGAGGTGGACATGTGTCCAAAGCAGTGTGTTGGTTATTCTGGCCACCACATTGTACGTGCTGGTGCTGTTGTTGATGGTCATTATTGTCGGCCTCTGTGGACGATGAGGGTACAGAGGTGGTAACGTCGTTGTCCGACACAGACGTGGGTTTGGAGAACTGGAGGTTCAGTTCCAGTTGGTAGTTGGCCGTTGGTGACATTTGAGCGGGCGATGGCGAATTGTTTGGCGAACACAAAACAAGTGAGTCGGCAACGTTTGATATTGCGGCGGCTGTTGATTGATGATTATGATGATGATGTTGTTTGATATCTGTTGTGAGATGAGGCATCACCGACTTCATGAATGAGTGCTACTGCTTGGATGACTATGGCTTAAGGTTGTTGTTGCTTTACCAAAACAAGTTGGTCTTGAAGTAGTTGCAACAATGATCTGAATAATGCTGGCTTTGATGTTGTTGTTGTTGTTGATACTCTGAATGATGAAGATCGAATGTAATGTTCTTGGTGTCAACTGGTGTAAAGGCCATAGTAATGATTAGTGAACAAATGTGGCTTGAGATTATTGATTGTGTTTGTTGTTGGATGGCGCTGGCTGGCTGAAGTTGCTGGCTGCTAATTATTCTTATTGTTGTTGTTGTTGTTGACAAATGGATCAAAGTGGAGTAGAGATTGAGCTATCTGTCTTTGATTGTCTTTAGGTGGCAGTCTGCTGCGGAACTAATTCTATTATACAAAAGGTTGGTTGATTGGTTGATTGAGGGAACTGGTGGTAGTGACACTGATTCCTATTCTTCTAGATTGATTGTCCTGGTTATGTTGTCACTCTCGTTCGATCGCCTTGTTGATTGAATTTGATTGATTAATTGATTGATTGATTCTGAAATGTAGTACTGCTTGCTGTCTCTATGTGTTTGACTGTTTGGACAGCTGTTGATTGATGAATTAAACAATAAACGTTAGTCGACTGCTGCTGCTGTTGAATATTGTTGTAAATGTAGTAGTAGAGTAGGAGGGAGTATGAATGAATGAGTGAGTGAAGGAACTTTGTTTGAATGTGTGTTGTTGATGTATGTATGTATGTATGTATTTGTGATTGGCGCGTTCTTCTCAGCATGACACACTCATTCACATTGTTTCGCAAGTTGTTGGGAAGTATTAGAGGTGGTTGTGTTTGGTGGCACTTGGTGACAACGTGGTGGAGTGAAAGGGGAGTGTCACTAACTCACTCACTCACCCAAACAAACGCGTTGATAATGAGATTAGACGAGATACTCTGTTGTTGTGTTTGGTATTGTTTTGTGTTGAGAGTGATAATCTTACCTACCCGTTGTTGTTGATGTTGGAATGTGATGATGTGGATAAATTATATGTTTGTGTATGTAGGTAGTGGATGACGCACTTGAATAATAATAATAAACCTGTTGGGGAGCAACAACTCAGATGTGCTATGGCATCGACTCATTCAACCAAGCGAATGGTACATTATATTTTTTTATGTTTTGAATATCCATGGAGGCGTTGGAACCCAACACACTTCACAGAATGGGCTTCGATGTCACGTGATGGGATTGGTCAGTCCTTCCAACATATACAGGTTGCTGATTGGACCTTTGTAAAGCCATGAAACACAAATAATGGACATGTCGATCCAATGTTATTGACACCATTTTTGCAAAAGGAGGTGTATTGTTTAATAATTGACAGTTTGTTGTTGGTGATGGATGGAGTAGATAGATGCGTACTTGTTGTTGTTGTCGTAGTAGAAGTTGCGTCGTTTTAGTTCAATGTGGCTTCGTTTGGAAGTTGTCTAAACAATGACTGCCAGAACCTTCTTGTCCTCTACTATCTCATTGACGTTAAAGGGAAGCGACTCTACCTTGCCATCGATTGGACTGCGTATGGTGTGCTCCATCTTCATGGCCTCCATCAGGATGATTGGTTGACCCTTCTTGACCTTGTCGCCAACATTCACCATGATCTTGGTGATCTTGCCGGGCATTGGCGAAAGCAGTGAGCCTGAGCCACCGTCTCCACCCTTGACTGCCACATCGATGGGCAGCTCAATCTCGTAGCTTTGTGCGCTGTCGTCAAAGATGAAGATCGAGTTCTTGGAGCGCACGGCGCGCACCTCGGGGAAGTGACGATCGCCTATAAAGGCACGCATCAAGCCGTTGTCGTTCAGCAGGCTGCCGTTGCACTGCACCGACTCGCCAGTGGGCAGACGCATCGAGAACGATCCGTTGCGGTTGTAGGTCACTGTGACACTCCACTTCTTCTGGTTGATCGTGAAGTTGATGACACGCTCAGAGAGCGTGTTGACTCTGAATGCGCCGCTGGTGGACCATGGCGAGGCCATCTGCTGGGCGGCCAATGTCTGGCGCTTGCCCTCATTCAACAGCATTGACAACACTGCCAGACAAACAGTATCGTTTGAAATCTGCTTCTGTGGAGCCATCAGTGACTCCCTGTGCATTGGGATGAATCCAGTCTCGACATTTCCAGCCTGGAACTCTGGATGCGATGACAGACGCTTCAAGAATGATATATTGGTGTTAAGTCCTACGATCTATTTGGTTTGGTTTGGTTAGGATGTTAGTTTCAAAGCCTCTTCCACATGTTTCCGTTCAGCAACAAACATACATGATACTCGTCCAAAGCATTTCTGAGGTATCTCAATGCCTTCTCTCTGTTGGTGTCCCATACGACCAACTTTGCAATCATTGGATCGTAGTAGACAGTGACTTCGTCACCTTGACGAACTCCAGTCTCAACACGCAGTGTGCTGGAGGGCTCTGGAGTCGAAAGATGGACGAGCTTACCAGTGCCGGGCATAAAGTCGTGATCGGGGTTCTCTGCATAGATACGGGCCTCAAAGGCGTGACCGTGGATGGCCAACTGAGACTGCTCCAATGGCAGACGCTGTGACTCGGCCACCTTGAGTTGCCACTCGACCAGATCCTGCTTGGTGATCATCTCTGTGATGGGATGCTCCACTTGGAGACGTGTGTTCATCTCCATGAAGAAGAAGGTGCCGTCTTGAGACAGAATGAACTCGACTGTTCCAGCACCGACGTAGCCTACAGCCTTGGCGGCGGCAACGGCAGCGTCACCCATGCGCTTACGCAGCTCTGGTGAGAGATGTGGAGCGGGAGCCTCCTCAATAATCTTTTGATGACGACGCTGCACCGAGCAATCACGCTCAAAAAGATGCACACAGTTGCCATGACGATCGGCAAAGACCTGGATCTCGACGTGACGAGGGTGAATCAAGTACTTCTCGACGAGCACTCGGTCATCGCCAAAAGAGGCAATAGACTCTCTCTTTGATGAATTGATTCCATCCTCCAAGTCCTCCTCCTTCTCTACGATTCTCATACCCTTTCCACCTCCTCCCATGACTGCCTTGATCAATACTGGGTAACTATACGTGTTTGTGTTGCTTGAGTAAGTAGGAGAGTCTATCATTCATTCGTTTGGTTTGACTACATTACCCAATCTTTGCAGCCTCTGAGCGGAGTGTCTCGTATGCTTGGTCCTCACCGTGATAACCTGGGATGGTTGGGACGTTGGCCTTGATCATGATGTCCTTGGAGGCACTCTTGGAGCCCATGGCAATGATGGCCGATGATGGTGGACCAATGAAGATGATGCCCTCGCGCTCACACAGGTCGGCAAAGTCAGAGTTCTCCGACAGGAAACCGTAGCCTGGATGGATGGCCTGGGCACCGCTGCGCTTGGCGATCTCCATGATCTTGTCAGCGCGCAGGTATGAGTCCTTGGCGGGTGCTGGACCAATGAGGTATGCCTCATCGGCCATGGACACGTGCATTGAGTTCTTGTCGGCCTCACTGTACACGGCCACAGTCTTGACTCCACGCTTCTTGGCAGTGCGCATCACACGACAGGCGATCTCACCACGGTTAGCAATGAGCACCTTGGTGATTGGTGTGATCTTGTCGAATGATGCCACCGACGACATGAAACGCCACTGTCCAAAGAGGTAGGCGCTGTATGCATTACCCTTGACCGGTGATGGTCCGAGCAGTTTCTTTGAGAAAGATGACAACATTGTTGATTGTTTTTGATCTTGATTGATTGAATGCTTCTGTCTGTCTGTCGATGATGATGACTTCTGCTTTCTCTCTGTTCCTTCCTTCCTTCCTTCTTAATCTGTATAACTACAAACAACAACAATCACAACTAATTCACTCATGTCGGTCATGATGATCCTGCTCACTCAACTCTTCATTCACCAAAAAAAAGTTGAAATTTCCCACACCTACAAAAACTTATTATTTTAAATATCTTTGATTGTTTTTTTAGCCGTTTTTAGAGTCCTTGTCCCATTTGCACCAACACCAATGATAAATACTACAATTATTCTTTGTAGTTCTCACAGTTTATCATCACATTGGTCAATCGTTTGAATTGAGAAGAGTACTCATTGACCAAGTCGAATTGTGGATTCTCTTGTGACTGGAATTGCTCGCCTCTAACAGTGAGCTCATCAACATTGAACACTTTGTCATGATTATATCCAACCAACACTTGATTAACAGATTTGGACTCGACATAATACAACTCTTTGAATGAATCCTGCAAGTTACGTACAACACCTCGATGTTTAGACATATTGATCAAGTTCTGAATGTAGATACCATGTGGTGAGAGTAGGTTGGACATTGTCTTCAAAGAATCCAATGTCAACAGATCACATGGAGTTGATGCACAACCATCTTGTATGATTAAGTCGAACTTCTCATCATCATTCAGTCTCTTGATGTACTCCAATCCATCACCGATATGTACAAGACAATTGTAGTCACGTCTAAAGTTAGCATACTTCTCTGCGATATCCAACATTATCTGATGTAGCTCAACGGTAACAATCATTGATTTTGGAAAATGACCCTGGAGATATGTTTGAATTGATCCAGCACCCAATCCAATTAATAATATCTTGTTTGGCGTCTTATTTAGGAATGTCAATGAGGCCACCATTGCCTTGATATATGACAATGATAAATACTCTGGATCATCAATCTATTCAAATTAAGTTAATTATTTGATTGACAGGCTATTTGGAAATTATTATTATAATTTAATACCTTTATCTCTGACTGTCTATCACCATCCATACCGAACTTGAAATTCCTAATACCATGTCCATTATCAAATACATGTATAATACCATCTTGATGATCAAATATTAGTTAAGTTCAGAGTGATTAGATTTTTAAGACAACACATACCAATATGTATTAATTTAAATGGATGATAATTAATCCAAAAAGATAATAATAAAATAATTAAGGTAGGAATAGTTATAAATAATATATTATTACCCATTTTGGTATTTTAATAATAATGATACAAAGGATAACCTTTTATCATGTTTCCTTTGCCCCTTTGAAAGGACACTTGTGGACTCGACAAAACACATCTCTGTCATTTTGATGAGTCGACAATGTCACAACATGTAGCAACAACAACAGCTATTAGTGGTAGTAACGATAAGAAACAACAACAACAACAACAACATGTCGTTATTGTAGGTGGTGGTATCACTGGTATCACTTGTGCCCAGGCATATAGGACACTCAAACCAAAAGATCGCATTACTCTAGTGTCACAGACACCTCTGTTAAAGTCGGTGTTCAATGTTAACAAGCTATCAAGGACTTTGGAGGAGTTTGATGTCAAGGAGTGCTCTCCATCAGATGTCTTTGCTGATGGTGATATAGACATTGTCATTGGTACTGTCGTACAAGTTAAGAGCATCACTCGCATCATTCATATCTCAACGTCGTCATCATCAACGTCAACCAACAGTACACTACACTATGACTATCTATGTATGTGCACTGGTGCAAGGCCAAATGTATGTAAGATAGACATGTCGTACGACCTAACAATGATGATTGACATTCCTCCTCCTTAAAGGTCATCAAGGTTAATGATCAGTTACAAAGCTATATAATAGGCATCAGAGACACTGAGACTGTGAACGATTTAAAGAATCGATTGCAGGGTGCTCAAAGAGTAGTCATCGTTGGAAATGGAGGAATAGCCATGGAGTTGGTGTAAGTCTAAGTCATGCGTTCTTGATGAACGTACACATGTACTGACCTCCCACCACCTTGCTATCAACAGACACGAGATCACATCATGTCAAGTGATATGGGCAATCAAGGACGAACACATTGGCAATGCCTTCTTTGATATGGACGCATCAGAGTTCCTCACTCACTCACGACAGATTGACTCGGCTGTGGAGGAGACTCCCGCTGAACCAGACAACTTTGTGGTCGTGGACAGGTCTTCCAACGAACCAGTGGTGATGTCCAATGATGCATCGATTGGACCGCAGTGGTATGATCGATTCAAGTTCATTGGATGCGTGGATGGCAGCAAGATCAATTCAAACAAAGTAGAACCAATCATTGAGTATTGCACTACTGTTCAATCTGTTGACAAAGGAGATGATGAGTGGCCAGTATACGTTAACTTGTCCAATGGCAAGCGATATGGCTGCAATTTCATCGTGTCGGCAACTGGCGTGATACCCAACGACAAGATAGAGTTTGTACCTTCAACAACAGCACCAACAACAGACAACATGGGTTACATCTTGGTCAATGATACGATGCAGACGAGTGTGGGTTGTGTCTTTGCAGCTGGTGACGCCTGTCACATTCAATGGAGTGCACCTGCGCCATATTGGTTTCAGATGAAGTTGTGGAGCCAAGCACGTGTCATGGGCAGATACGTGGCTCAATGCATGGCCACACAGAGCGTCGGACCAGACAGAAAAGACTCAGTCGATGTCATCTCAACAGTGTTTGAGTTTGAGCTGTTTGCCCATGTGACGCGATTCTTCAACATGAAGGTGGTGATGCTCGGACTGTACAATAGCAACGATGTGGCCACTGGCTTTGACCCCGAGACTATGGACGTATATCAACGAGTTATTCCTGGAAAGACATATGTCAAGGTGATACTAAAGAATGGACGAATGCAAGGAGCACTGCTCATTGGTGAGACAGACCTCGAAGAGACCTTTGAGAATCTAATCCACAATCAAATAGACCTGTCACGTTACGGTGCTAGTATACTAGATCCAGACATTGACATTGAGGACTACTTTGATTAATCAAACATAAAGTTTATTGTATCAATGTTGTTAACAACATAAAGAGATGTACTCTGACAGTCTTATCACACCGAGGTTTGATCAATACCAATAATAAACAAAGAAACCTTTATTAATATCACCAAGGGCTTGGATTATTAATCATCATCATGGTTATATACAATTACACAGTGGCAATCCAATGTCGTTATGCTCGTTTGTTGGTGTAAGAGAGCAGCCAATCATAGACATAGTTTGGTGAGGACTTGTCTGGATTGAACGCTGCCGTCCAAGCATCGTGTCCAGTGTTGTCTAATATGGTCAACTTTGATTGAGGTGTGATGCCACCTTTGTTGTTAAGGTCAACCCAACCTTTAGAGAAGTTCATCGGTATAGTGTTGTCCTTGTCATTGTGGAAGGCCCATACGGGTAGATTGGACAAGACCATTCCATTTCCATTCTTGGGCTGGGCATCAGGTGGACTGGCAGCGCCACACACCACGATTGCCGCTGCGAACTCATCTGCCACCTGTTTGCTTTGTAAAAGGTATCTCCAAATACCGCCACCACCCATGCTCTGGCCAGTGATATAGAGTCTTGAAAGGTCAGCATTGTCCTCGTACTGCTTGATCAATCGCAGAGCTAGCATGATGTTGTCGGGGTGCCAACCATCGTAGACCTGTGGACAGATGACCAGGAAGGGAAGGTCTCCCCATTGGCCACCCTCAATGTACTTTGGAATAACTGCAGTTCGCAGTTTCTCCAAGTCCTCGAATGAGTCTCCTGATTTGCCTGTTGTTAATAATGAATAGATGATGGGTGAGGTCAGTAACATACTCCAGATGATTATGGAGGCTCAATCAAGTTGTTGAGATTACATACTTGCACCGTGTAGAAACAGGAGAACAGGTAGATTACTAGACTCTTCCATGGGTTTTGGACTGTGCAATAGGTAATGCATTTGTGATCTACCGAATGGTGTGTTGTTTGTGAATGTAAGTGCTTGCATTGTGTTGTTGATGTTGATGTTGTTATTGTTGTTGGTGCTGTCGTTGGTCTCTTTTTTAGAGGATGTGTTGAAGTTATAGATAACAAAAGTATTGAGGAGAAAGAAGAAGATGATCAAATGTGATGATTTGAGTTTGGGCATCTGTTACTAATAGTAAAAGGAAGGAAGGAATGTGAAAGAAACCAACCAAGTGATCTTCATTCACATACTAACACACAACAGGTATGTTCAGCGAATGTAACAATAAACTGTTTACAAGACCCATTAACAGATATTTGTAAACAGGACATTCCCTCATCAGGTACTGATGAAAATGAAATAAATCAGTCCACCAGGGTCTTGTTGAGGTGTCAAATTGTCCTTTCGCTTTATCTACTAAGTTGCCTTTGGTGTTTGAAACTATGAGATGGTTTGTGTGTTGCCAAAGAAGGAAAAAAACACTTCAACACACTAAATGGGGTATAATTAAAGCATACACAGGTTGTATTCAAACACACACTCACCAGGTATCCCCATAGTGTCACTCAATTTGGAATAAAGTTCGCCTTCAGTGATACAGATGCTGGTATCCAACAAGACTCTCTCCATCCACTACAACTAATACTTGTTTGTTTATTGCTATTGCTCTCCAAAAATATTCACTTTACATTATAGTTTACTACAGATAACAAAAGAAATGTAAGTTTATTAATATTATTCTTTTTGATCTATACTCAATAATAATAATGGATAGATGGGAAGATGATAAAGACTACATATACTAATATATATATTCCTGCTTTCTAGAACTAGTTATTATCAATAATATTATTAATCAACTTATATATTACAATGTCTGATAATTTGAATTCATCATTCGAGGTTGACTTCAAGTCACCAAAGAAGTCACCTCCTCCAAAGAAGACTGAGCACTTGTTTGCTCCAAAGCAGGACAGCAGTGTTCTGGTCGAGCAACAGAGAATGGAGGATGCACAAAAGATACATGATCAAATCATCCAAGACAGGAAAGAACGTTGTTCACTCGACTTCCAACGTTCAAAGGAGACGACCAAGCGCACACATGACAAGGAGCAAGAAGAGATGGCCGAGAGGAAGAAAGAGTACGAGTTGGAGCAGGAGCACGCAGAAAAGCTGCACGAGAAAGAGGTCAACATTAGAAAGGAGAAGGCAGAGGCTGAAGTCAAGCATGCCAAGGAGGTTTCCCAGAGAGTCAAGGAGAGCAAGCTCAATGGAACTGCCGCTGTATCCACTTGAGCTGGTCCCTTCGTTGGTGAGGTGAATCGCTTACAACAACAAAAAATAGAATACAGAACAATGTAAATAGCAATAGATGGGATCTACTCCTCTAGTCAGTCAATGATTTTATCTTATCATAGAGTGTCTGTGTCTTGGTGTCTACCGATCCTTTGCTAAGCTCATCATTGCTATGACTGAGCAATTGTAGCTTGCATTGGTCAAGTATTATATGACATTGGTCATCTATGGATGTAGTTCCAACCAGTTTGTCTGCGATGGCAAGTATGAGTATGTAGAAGGATTGTTTGCCATCATTGCGCTGATCAATGCTCAGGTAGCATTGGATGCATAAGAGTAGCTGGTGACACACCTGAATCGTGTCTTCTACGTCTGGGATGGGCGGGGCTTGGACAATCCATTTCTTAAACTGGTTGGCCACTCGTTTTGTGAACTGATAGCTACTGTTGATTGAGTGTGGATCGAGGGATGAGCGTTCAGAGAAGATCTTGAGATGAATCTTGAGCAAACGTAGCATGAGTCTGTGGACGGATGATAATGAACTTGGCAATAGGTCGACACTTATCATGCTAGGTAGTAAGTGTTCGGCAACCAACTCAAAGTGCTCTTTGGGTGCATAGGGGAGCTGGAGTGCAAGTACCAAGATGAGTGTTTGAGGGAAACGGTCTGACATGAACGTGCGTACAATGTGATCGTGCAGTGTTCCAGAACTAGACTCAAGTCTGGACATAACGATGCCTACCATTGCATTGGCATGTTGCTTGGAGATACATGCCAGTTCTATAAAGTTGTGAATGATCGTCATTACCAGTGGATAGTTGGTTGTGGTGGTGATATCGATTGGTGCCTTTAGGATGTGATTGAGATTGTTGGACAGTTCATGTTGCTGTTCTGGTCCAAAGTGAAGTGTCTGGTAGTGTTGAATGCGATACTTTAGAATAGGTGATAGTGACCAAGTATCGAGCTGTGATTGTACAATATCATGATGTCCATTCCTCACGAGCACCAATGTAAGTACACGCAGCAAGTGGAGTAGTTCCGATTGGCATGTATCGTAATTATGATGATTGAGTGATCCTATCATTGATTGGTACAATGATGTGATGGGTCCCATTGATATCAATATGTCTATCCTATCTCCAGGTACGACATCAACGTGATCTCTATAGCTGTCCTGTGAGCTTATCCATTGATATATTCTATGATCAAGGATTATAAAGTCAGAGAACATGTCCTCCAGGATATGAAGTATGAATGAGGCTGCTCGGAACTTGGGTGGGGACTGTTGATCATCGCTGACACTCAGCATCTGTATGATTGGGATTACAAGGTCCATTATGATTGAGGTAATGTAACGCTCTCTGATTGGTAGGACGGTGACGTTTTTCAAGAATGATTGTATAAATGTCCTGCAGCTGACACGACCTTGTTCTGATGACAATGGACCAGTACCATGATATTCATCCTCAATGCCAACAGTCTGATGAAGTCGCTCAACCACGAAGCTCTCTCTTCTCGGACAATATGGCAATAGATGATCCACCATCAGCCTTGCCAAGAACTCTTGTTGTCCCTTGTTTTTGATTGACATCTTGATAATCGTCAGAATAACATGATCTGGATCCAATAATGTAGCCTAACATTGATTGTTAGAATATATGTTAGTGATGGATAAGCAAGGTCATAGGCACTAAACACATACCATCTTTAAGGAGTCAATCAGCTCAGTCTGTCGTGCAGTGTCAGTCAGGTCACCATCACCACTGATATCAGATGTTATGGTGATCTGATTGAAACACCTGGTAACAATGGATTGAATAGATTGCTTTTCATTCTGTCGTTGTCTTAACAATGTGAATGGAATTGTTGTGTTGAGTGTAATGTCTGTCAGTCTGTACAATGATTCAATAATGGCATCGCCACCAGGTGTTGAGATAAGTCTTGGAAGCAATGCATGGCAACGAGTAGTCATTTGATCCAAGAATGGTATGTCAAAGTGAGTTGACATGAATGCCAAGAAGAAGTAAACATTGAGTATTGGTTCAATCTCCAATGAGTCAACTTGATCAACATTGACTATTCTCATGTCAAGGTACTTGTACCATCTAATAAATGTTGTGGGGAGTATGAAGTGAGTAGATGGACTGTCATGCTACCATGATCAAACTTACACGCAAACAAAATGTATGTATCTTGTAGGTTGTTTGTCCAATCCAAGTATTACTTTGGATAGTGAGTATGGTATGAATATGAAGGGCGTGGCGAGGTAGTTCATGTCTGACTTGTCCAGACAATTGGCAATGAAGTGGATGTAAGACTCTGCATCCTTGGTATCTCGTGACATGAACAGAGCAGGCTTCATCATTGCCAGTGTATGTACATATGTGATAAAGTTGTAGTGTTGATCGCAATAATGTCCAAGTGATGGCAACCAAGTTATTGTTGTTGGTACATGTTGCTGATTGATCACTGCCTCATTATCCAGCAATATTGACTTGATGTCCAATTGTGGTGGTAATGGAGTGGAGACAGAGAGTTGTTCAATTGATGCGCTCTTCCTCTGCAATAGTGAGTATATCTTAAAGTTCATCATCCCGACCGTAACTATTATCGATTGGAGGATAGTGAGTTAGATTTGGTTCATTAGTCTAATTGATCAAGGATACATGGAAACACATACCATTCTGGAACTTCTCTTTGGATATCAGTTGGTGCAACTGTTCGAGTTTGTCACGGACTATATCTTGGTAAAAGAATGATTCAGTTATCCAGCTTTCAAACAGTGCGTGGTGTAGGCTCTCCAAGCATTGTATATATGATGACCTTGCATCAGGCTCCATGTCAGGGTTGTAAATCTTGATTATATATCTAAGCATCATCATCGTGATCCTGTATCTTAATGTTTGATCTGTGACGAAGAGGTTAGTGAATCGTACCATGCATTGGATTGATGCCTTCTGGATACATACCTTTGATGTATCCACTATACTGTCCAAGTGATTTGAATGTTGATACACTCATCAATGATGATACATTGTTGATGCAATGAATGATTGGACGTAGCATTGATTCAAAGAGTGATGTATTCTCAAATCCACATTGACCAATGATTGATTGTAATGATGATTTGATTAGATCATTGGCAACCAAGAAGTGATACTTATTACCAATCTTATATCGAACGAGTGATGACAACTGATTGAAAAGACCAAGTCGATCAATGATGTGAAGCAGTAAGTGCAGTGGCAGTTCAAGATTGTAATCATTGCTTGAGAATACATTGTCAATGATGCCATCATCCAGTGAGTCAGCAGCGTCTGTGTCCTTGAGACACTCTGAGTATCCATCACGATAAAAGATTGAATGCTTGAACAAGAACGACATTACTTTGCTCTCAACTCTACTGCCACAGTCGCCGGCGGTGATGACTCGCCGCAGTGCTTCAATGTTAAGGTTGACACTATAGCATGGTTTGTTGTAGTAGTCTTGCCAAGATACTCCTGACTCCATGTTGTACTGCCTCAGGGACCATACCAATGACAGAGCAATAGGCATCAACTCCCTCTTGAGTCTATGATCTGCATCCGATATATCATGTTGTATCGCATCGAGCAGTGAGTTATGAAGATCATGTTTAGATGTTCGTAGTTCCAACAGTGTCTGATCGCGCAGTCTCTGCTGCTTCATCGACTTGGAGTTTGATAATGAGACTAATGTGAACATCTCTCTATCTATCTGTATAATGTTATTTGCTTCGTTTGATGAATGAATGACTCGGTGGAACATGCAGAAGTGGTAGTTTATTTGATGGAATACACCCATCAACAGTGCCTCAAACATTGACGTGATGGACAGGATGTCGATGGGCAGGTGTGAATATATATGGATGTTGATGACTACTTGAGGAAGTTGGCCAGTTGCTCCTTGGCAGACGCCAGTACATTTGAGATGTTCTGGTCCAGGTCATCGGCATCGCCACCCACTCTGATTCCTACACGGTTTGCAATAATGGATGGATCATTCTCCAACAATATACCATCATCAATAATCTCATCAAGTGCCAGCAGTGTCAAGTTGATGCCCTCCAATATAGTCTGCTTGTTGATGTTGTTACTGTTGATTGAGTCGTATGAAGGAAGGGTAGTGAGTATGAGTGCATCATTATGGACATGACAGTGTGTGCAACATACTCCAACAGGTTGTGCAGTGTCTCTGTAAAAGTGTTCAATACATTCAACAGGGCGATCTCATTCTGGTCCTTGTCACCTACAAAGTAGATGATCACATTGGTGTACTGTCTATATACAACGATAAAGTTATCCAGCATTGTTATCTCGCCTGTCATCCATCCATTCATTCATAGTTAGTGAATGATCATATGTACAACTAACTCTACATTTATACTTTACCATTTATCTTTGCAGTCTTATCAAACACAGATCTTTCAAAGGCCTTCTGCTTGTTGACACCATCAAAGTCGTTACTATAGTACTTGGCGATGATCCTATCTCCTTTGGAGTCCAACACAAAGAAGTACTTGACTGTGTATATCTATATATAACATTGTGATGTTTGAATGAATGATTAGTATTTGAACAAGGCCTTGTGTCATGATATCTGATATCGATTGGTCATACTTACAAGTGATGACATTGTGTTGTAGATATATGATTGGATTGATTATAAGTATATGTTCGACTGTCACATCATCCCTAAAGTGATCATCATCTCTGTTGAGTGTTTGGGAATCCCAAAAAGATCTGACAGGGTGTGATTCGTCAAAATCGCCAAGTAAGAGGTCGAGCAATGCACTTGATGTTCATTTATTCATTCATTGTCACAGCATTATACAAGTCATTGTTACATAACAAACAAATATATTTTAATTTATGAGTGTAACTAATATCATTGGTAAACTACCATCATTGAAACTATTCCAGAGAGCACTGGCTAATGGTGATAGAGTGGCCATCGTTAATAATGTAGTCGTCCACAACAACAACAGTACCAACAATCAATCATCATCATTCACTTACAATCAATTACTTCATGAATCATACTTGATACAACAACAACTCACACATAATTTGACATTACGTAATCAGTCACCTGACTTGGAACAACAGCGTGTGGCATTCATTGCCGCACCTGGCTTTGACTATGTTCGCACACAGTGGGCTGCATGGCGTGCTGGTGGCGTAGCTGTGCCATTGGCCATATCACATCCAGAGAGGGAGTTACACTACACACTGACCAACTCGCAGCCCTCACACTTGGTGACCACATCCGCAATGCAGGACAAGGTGTCATCATTGGCTAAAGAATTGAACATCCCTCTGATCGTACTGCCTCCACCTTCAAATGATAGAATTGTTGTGGACCCTGTTGAGGCAGCCCACCACAATACACCATTTGACTCGAGAAGGAATGCCATGATGATATATACAAGTGGAACAACGGGCAAGCCAAAAGGTTGTGTGACAACACACAACACGGTCCAAGCTCAGGTCACTGCATTGGTCGACGCATGGAAATGGGTCCCAGACGACAGGATACTACACATACTCCCTCTGCATCATGTACATGGTGTAATCAACGCACTGACTTGTGCCCTCTGGAGTGGCGCCACAGCTGAGATCATGGACAGATTTGATCCTCACGCTGTCCATGACCGCATCATCGCTGGAGCAAACCCTGGAAGCGGTATGTCGCCAATATCCCTGTTCATGGCCGTGCCAACGATATACTCAAAGTTGGTGTCAACGTTTGATGCCACTACCGATGCAGCAACACGTCAAAGGATGTCGGCTGCATGGAGGACATTGCGACTGATGGTCAGTGGATCGGCAGCCCTGCCGGCGCCACTCTTTGACAGATGGGAAACCATCACTGGCCAGCGATTGCTCGAGCGCTACGGTATGACAGAGATTGGCATGGCCCTATCCAACCCTTACGAGATGGCCGGACGACTGGGGGGAACTGTGGGCTATCCGCTGCCCGGAGTGGATGTGCGTGTCGAGGACGATGGCCAGCTCCTTGTGAGGGGTCCACAGCTCTTCAAAGAGTACTGGCAGAGACCGGATGCGACCAAGGAATGCTTCACAGACGATGGATACTTCAAGACTGGTGACACGGTTGCAGTGGACAACACTGGCAGATTCAGCATCCTTGGACGAACAAGTGTGGACATTATCAAGTCTGCTGGATACAAAATCAGTGCACTGGACATTGAACGTGAGCTACTCGCACATCCATCCATCCTTGATGTCGCAGTCATTGGTTTACCAGATGAACAATATGGACAAACAATTGGTGTCATCCTTGTTGCCAAACCTGTAAGTGTGATTGACTAATTGATTGATTGGTTGATGGCTAACAATGGATATAATGACAGGGACATGATCAATTCAATTTGGAGGAGCTTCAACAATGGTGCAAACAAAGAATGGCACCGTATAAGCAACCAAGACAACTGTTGTGGCTGGTAGAGATACCAAAGAATCCAATGATGAAGGTCAACAAGAAGTCATTGGTCCAGTTATTTGCCAACAACAACAACAACAACAACAATAGTGGAAGTGGCAGCTCATAGTCACTCAGTACCAATCAATCACATGATGATCATCACATATTGCCTAGTTTAGAGAGAAGTGACTGCTCATCTCAAAAATTGGGCCTTAGATGAGCCCCATCATCTCCAATGTCATCTCCTGCGACGCACACTATTTCAAAGCAACGCCAAGCCACGCCACGCAAAAAGACACCCCAATAGCTCCAACCAAGATGCACGCGTATGTAAACAAGTTCCCATTCCTGATGACTGCCCTTCACGAACTCATCACCAACCAGACAGTCGCACTTTTATGTTTCCTCAGTTGTTTGTAGAGTTATCGCCCAGTATCAATCACATCACACACACTCCCGATCAGGTGATTATCATTGCCAAAAGGTCCGGTGAGTCAATCATTTCCCCAAGGCCTGATGGGGGGTCCGATCACCAACCCCAACCCCACCAACTTATCAATTTACACCTTATATATATTTCCAGCCACATGAATAATCAAGTGTGTTAGTAGTTGGCTATTATCCCCACATAACGGGCCTCTGGAAAGGCTTGCAGGGTATCCTTTGCACCTACCTTCCTTCCATCCACCAACACACACTTTTTAAATGATTGATTGAACTATCCATCATGCACATCAACTCTTCAAATAGTGAGATATATATTATATTTATATATATATATACTAGCAAGCAAGAGTTTAAACCATCAGCAGTACCACGACCATCAACACTCAACCCCCTTTGGCCATCATTACCACGACACGATCCCTGCTACTGGCCATCAAGTCCAACTCACACACACACACACTCTCACCAATCCCACACACACACATTTACATTGAGTGTGCAACTCACTCAACCTAGAAACACACATTGATTGATTGCTATGCTACAGTATCATATGATGATCGATGTGTTAGTGTAATCCTGCCTGACTGACTATATGATTGGTTGACTGACTGACTGACTGACTGCCTGCCAATTCACACCACCACCATCAATCAATCAATCAATCCATCCTTCCATCTCCATCTCAACATCCATCGCCAAACAACAACAACCAATTATTTCAACAAACAGTACCCAGCCATCAGTCCGACACCTTCACATCACATAACTTCCTATCTCTTCCTTTGACTCTCTATCTATCTCTTTCATCTCCAGTCATTCAATCAATCAATCAATCAATTCTCTTTTTTTCTAACTGGACAACAACAGGTCATTCAACTTTGGTCTCAATCTCACATTTGGTTCCAACAACATAACTGGACCACATTTTGGATTGGATTCAAACAGACTACTAGTATTTGGTACAGGTAATGCATCATCATCATCATCATTATGTGTTGGACCATCAATATATATACATTCTATAATTCATTGATTGATTGATTGATTTTTGGTTTGATTGACACAAACCATCGTCAAGTAGTAGTAGTGGCTCTCCCTCCCCTCGCTATCGGCCCCAACAAACTTATCCCTTCATTCAGGGATATATTCACCTGTACTGCCCATCACACACTAGGGAACTCCTAAACAGTACCTCTTTACCACACACACACACACACACACATAGATTGATCAACAACAAACCTACCACCATTCATATATCTATCTCTCTATCTATTAATCAATCAATTAATTAATACACACAGCTCCGTACTCACTCTCTCACTCAATTGATGTTGATCCTGAATCAATCAAACAACCAACCAACCACAAAAGGTTAGATAAATAATTTCTTCCTTCCAATTTGGTTGACCTACCTACCTACCTCCTCCAACTATTGTTGTACTTTGTATTTTCCATCCATCCATCATCCATCCATCAATCCATCAATCCCATCCATATATATATATGTTTGACACAGCAGTAATCTCCTACTCTCCCTCTCACTCTAACTCTCTACCTCTTTCGGACATCAAAACCAACAACAACAACACACCATCCTCATCACTCACTCACTCACTCACTAGAATATTAATTATCATAATGTTGTAGAAGTAGTAGAGTCTGGTGTCACAATAATTATAATATTAATATTGAATATTTAAAAATATTTATTATTCAGTTGTTATTGGTTGAGTAACTCACTCGATCATATTCTCTCGCTGTACATTGACACGAGTATCTAATCTCTCTAACTCTCTTTTGCTTTCCGTCCATCTAATCAATATTTCCAGGACTTCCAATCAATTAATCAATCACATATATACATTAATCAACATAATCCTCATATTGTATTATTAATCATCAACCTAATGCACAACTTGTAATATTTATTACCAATAACTATAACAATATATATATAATATATATTATATAATCCATTTAGTATCAAATGATGATGGACCCTATATTGGCAACGACGCAGCCACCTCCACATCAATTGGACACTATATCATATGGCCTACAACAACAATCAACAACATCAACATCAGTTGGAAATATCAATATAAATATCAATATCAACGCACATATAAATATCAATCCTGATCAGCAGTTTGAAACACCAACAATTATTGTCGACAATAGTAATAATGGTGATGAAGTTGTAGCCACAGACAATAATAATAATGGAGATGATACACAACAACAACAACAGCAACAACAAGATTATGGCAGTCTGTCACCTGGACGTCTGTCGAAATCACAGAGTTTCCTGTCACTCAAACTCACTTGGTTTGGCAATATGATTGGACGCAACAAGCGATTGAAACACTCGACTAGCTTTGGCAGCTACAAGAATGATCGCGATTCAAATAGTAATAGTGGTGGTGCTGGTGATGACTCCAATCAATCATCATCAAACAATGAGAATAATACTGCCACCTCTATATCCTGCTCAGTGCCAACATCACCTCCAATGTGTAGCAGCACAACCAATGGAGGAGGCGACAGCACCAACAACAACAACAACAGCGGCAACAATATATATGATGAGAATCGATTGAGGAGCAGTAGTAATGGTCCACGAAGGAAGTCATCTTTCCGTGGATTCTTCTCATTCCTCAACAACAAACCAGAGACTGCTGCCACACCAGCACCAATCAAGAGTCCAAGACCCAGGAGTCAGAAGCTGAGTAGCAGTCTGAGTTGTGGCAATTTGCCAACGATAAAGACAATGTCCAAGGGTGCAGGCGGCAGTGGCAATTGTAGTGGACAAGGTAGCAATGCAGGCAGCAACTCTGGAAGCAGTCGCAAGATCAACAGAAGTAGCACATACAGCAAGTTGTTCAGACAGAATACAATGAGCAGACTCAAGAATCAGGAGCGCAACTCCCTCGACCACCCTCTGCCACCATCTTCATCGTCATCCTCCAACACAACTTCATTCATCAATCGAAGCAGTGATATGTCATCCGATGATCTATTGCCAGTTCCAAGGAAGATGGACGGTGACACATCAGGATTCAGCATTAGCAGTGGTGGTAACAGTGGACTGAGCAGCAGCGATGGCGCAAAGAACATCACCCCGACATTGACATCATCTTCGTCCAAGCGTCCACTTCAGCGCGCACAGACTGACATCAAGTCATTGAAGAAGGCAGCCTTGGAGCTTGGTGGTGGACAATCTGATCAGACGATCGCCGGCAGTGATGATTTGAGAACACCATCACCCTCAATCGACCTTGACTCGTGTACTTCAAGCCAGAACAGCTCACCATCGTCATCTGGTTCACACACATGGTCCAAGCCCTCCAAGATTAAAGTGTTGCTCTCCCGCACATCAGAGCCACAACTGAGCAGCAGTGGACCGCCTACACCGAAGAGCACCGACAACATGTCCCCACTGATGCTCAAGATTGGCCACCATCACTGGGGTGGTACGCCACCAGACAGCATCAGTCTCCATCATGTGGTCAACTCCAATAATAAGTCTGGCCTGGCACAGCTGGGACAGAGCAGGTCGCAGTCTGAGACCCACATCCACCGAACATCGTCCAAATGGGTGATGGCTGCGCCATCCTCACCCCCACCCAACTATGTGCCTCCACGTCCTTGTGCCTCACCAACCGATCTGTCACCTGACAACTGTCTCTCGCCAATCTCATCAATGATCCGTGTCTACTACGTACCCATACTAGAGGATGTGGCATCTCCATCACATGCGGACACCGCCATAACCCTAGCCGCACTGTCCCCACCAACAACCAGTGTGAATGTGACCGTGACTGCATCCGTGTCACCAGTGTTCTACACCAACTTTTGGACACAACTTATATCCAACGTGACAACCGTCAAGGAGGTGATTGAGCAACTGTCCACTCGAGTCGATCGTCCAGTGGATGGCCTGCGCCTGTGCTGCACGCCCAACATCTACGACTATCTGGACGACGACAAGATGCTCAACACGCTGAGGATCAAGAAGTTCTACCTTATGGAGGTGGCCGTCGAGATGATCGTGCACGAGCGCGAGATCGCCCCCAACCTCAGCTCACTGATCACGGGCAGCGGCGAGATCCTCAAGGACGCTGCTGGCCAGCCTACGCTCAACGTCAGCAAGAGCTGGTCGCCCAGTTTCTTCTGCAAGTTCTCGACTTCAAACGGTCGCGGAACCACACGCAGTGGCCTGGGCCTGGGTGCCAGTCCTGACTCACTCAGCGAGGACTACCTTATGGACGATGACGAGGATGACGAGGACGACGACATTGATCCCAGCCATCACAACAACAATAACAACAACAGGGCAGCATTACAATCGAGCAGCTACACACCGATGGGTCTGGCGGCGAGCGTGGAGCGAGGCAACGCCGACCCTCAAGAGGAGCTGTCTGCACAGGCCAAGGAGAAGATCAAGATCATGGACAACTACTTCCGCCACTACTACCGCGAGCTGGAGACATACCTCGCGCAGCGAAAGAAGCGTATGGAGAGTCTGGTGCAGGCACTGTCCGACTCGAACATCAAGGAGAACTCGATCGCCTACCAGCGATGTATCCGCGAGAACATCGACAAGGAGAGCACGTATCTGCGACAGAAGCGCGCACACATCGGACCCAGTGACTTTAGGAAGCTGTCCATCATTGGCAAGGGTGGCTTTGGCATCGTGTACCTGGCCATCAAGAAGGACTCGAACGAGATCATCACGCTCAAGGTGATACGCAAGTCCAACTACCATCGCGCCAACCAGATGACATCCGTGTCCAAGGAGAAGGAGGTGATGATGATCCCCAACACCTGTCGCGACAACAACTCTCGTCACTGGATCACTCGTCTACTGTACTCATTCCAGGATGCCAACTACCTGTACCTGGGCATGGAGTACCATTGTGGTGGCGACTTCAAGTCGTTGCTCTCCAACCTGGTGCGCCTGTCCGATGACATGGCATCATTCTACTTTGCCGAGATGATCTTGGCCATTGAGTCCCTGCACAAGTTGGGCTACATCCATCGTGACATCAAGCCCAGCAACTTTGTCCTCGACAAGTTTGGTCACATCAAGTTGATTGACTTTGGTCTGAGTCGTGATGGATTCATCTGTCACAACTCCAAGTACTACAATACCTGGAAGAACATTCTCAACAACGTAAGTCATCCTTGGTTCACTCATTCGTTCATCCATTCAATTACTAACAATCCATTGCCAACAGAGAGATGATCTCAAGTTGCCCAACTTGCCCAAGTTCAAGGATGCCAGGAAATATGTAAATAGCAAGGTGGTATGTATACTCAATCACTCAAGCAATCCAATCCAATGACTCACTCACACATCCAATCCATCACAAATCCCAGACTTACTCCAAGGTTGGCTCGCCAGACTACATGGGCCCAGAGATGCTCACTGGTAAGGGTTACGACAATACTTATGACTACTGGTCATTGGGTGTTGTATTGTTTGAGATGTTGTTTGGTGACACACCATTCGCCGGCGAGACGGCAGAGGATGTGTTCAAGAATATCATCGATTGGAAGAAGGTATTGGATTGGGACTACCTCGGCCCATACTTCTCAGACAATGCCAGGGATCTCCTGCAGCGACTGTTGTGCGAACCAGAGAAGCGATTGACTCCCGAGGAGTTGAAGCTGCATCCATTCTTTGATGGCATCGACTGGGAGAACATCAAGAACATCGAGCCACCATTCGTGCCACAGGTGCAGAGCGATGTGGACCTCAGCTACTTTGTCGATGCCAAGGACATCAACGAGGAGGATGGCGACTACGAGGAGGTGGTCGAGGCCGTCACCAACAATGCAGACAACGAGGATGCACCACAGGCGCCCGAGGAGCAGGACGAGACATTTAGATCGATGCCCTTTGGTGGCTTCAACTTCCAGCGATTCCCATCGATTGTGGAAGGCGCTCGAGCCAAAGGCCTGATCAAGTCTTTCTACGTGGAGGAGCGTTGCATGTCACGCGCGACCAGCAACTCATCGCTCACCAGTCCGGCCAACAGCTGCACGAGCTCGCCCACTATCCAGTCGGCCAATGGACCACGTGTATTGAACTCTAGCAACAACAGTGCCTTCAACTCTCCAATGGTCGTCATGAATGGCAGTGGTGGAAACATCCCCACCATGACGACACCATCCACGCCCTCTGGAATGAATCCAACCAGCCCAACAGCATCACCATCCCTGACTAGTCCCTCGCCCACAATGTCTGGATACACGCCAAAGATCCAGATACTGCGGGTGGGCTCATCGATCAAGCCAAAGAAATAAAGTCACTAAAAGGGCATGCCTTCACTTGATAGGTTAAGGTGTGTACCCTTGTACTCTAAAGCTTAGCCACCATTAATAAGGTGATAGATTGATTGATTGAAGTGATACAATGTACATTTGGATGTATTTATTGATAGTGATCGATTGATTGATCACTCCATGATCCAGCCATGGCTGACAATGAGTGATTGGCCAGTTAGAGCTTTGGATGGCGCAGAGGCAAACATGACGGCAACATCGTTGATGTCGTCAAAGGTGGTAAACTCACCGTCCACGGTGTCCTTGAGCATGACAGACTTGATGACTTGCTCCTGGGAGATGTTGAGCTTGGAGGCAATCTCTGGGATCTGCTTCTCGACCAAAGCAGTCCTGACAAAGCCTGGACAGATCATGTTGGACTTGACGTTGTACTTGGCGCCCTCGCGTGCGCACGAGCGTGTGAGACCCTCCAAACCGTGCTTGGCTGTGACGTATGGGGCCTTGAACTCAGAGGCGTACTTGCTGTGCACACTGCCGATGAAGATGAGGGAGCCGCCACGGTTGACGTCCTTCTTGAACTCCTGGATGCCGAACTTGGCGCACAGGAAAGCACCGTCCAGATGGACGGCAAGCATCTTTCGCCAGTTGGCCAATGACAGCTCCTCGATGGGCTCAATATGTTGGAAGCCTGCGTTGGACACGACGACGTCCAAACCTCCAAACTGCTTCACGGTGGCACCGATTGCTGCGCCAACCTGTTCCTCACTAGTAATATCAACAGTCAATGGCAACACACAACCAGGGTAGGTATCATTCAAAGTCCTGCACACCTGCTCTGTCAGTGGGCCATTCAGGTCTGCAATAGCAACCTTTGCGCCTTCAGCAAGGTATCTCTCTGATGTTTGATTAAGAGAGTGAGTGAGTGATTGATTGAATGTGAGTGATTGAATGAATGACTTACGTGCAATACCATGTCCAATGCCACCAGCGGCACCGGTAATGAAACAGACTTTATTCTTCATCATCTTGGTATGTGATGTACGTGGATCGGTTGTGGATGTCTTTGTTGTGCTGTAACTGTTGGCAATGCCTGTTGTGAGGAGTGGAATGGATAATGAACTGTTGTTGATGACAGTGTTGTTGAGACGTGTGACGTTGGTTCTGAACACAGCTGTCGAAGCAGGACCGTAACTCTTTAATAAACTAAACATTATTATTATTGATCGTATTGGATATTTCTATCTATGTTTGAATTGAATGATTGATAACGAATTTATAACTAAAGAGGGTGGGAACCGTGTGATCATCACCCAACTAATGACTAAATCGCGACTCCATTGTCGAACAGAGCCTATTCATCATGCATTTATCCCCACCCCTTTCAGTCATGTGATCATTCTTGTCGAATGATGGACCATCATTTACCTTTTTTGAAATTGAACCGAGGACATTTGTGTTTGGCGTTCAATCTCAGAGATAGAGCCGACTAGTGAAAGATATTATATTCAATAATCGACTTCTCCTTGACATTGTCCAAGTTGACCTTGTGTGTTTGTTTGATTGTTCCAAAATAGGTATCTTCCCGAAGTTCAACTATGAAAAATGAGCGGCTAGTTTAGCGAAACGAAAGAAGTTGTAGTTTCATTAGTTGTAGTGCACTCACTCATTGCTTGTTTATATATATATATATATAACATTACATTAATATGTTCAATCATCTTAGATCAAATGTAGGTAATGGCAAGCAACATAGCGACAGAGTGATCTACTTTGATGAACTTCAGGAACAGCTCTATCTTGATACCACACCACCACCGCGACACCAACAGCCAGATGAATAATGAACATCAAATGACAAGTTGTGTGACTGACCTATAACGACAACAATAACGACAGGCCAAGACATACTTGGGTACGATCACAGCCATTGGAGCATCGTTGACCACAGGCACATTGTTCATGTCCGATGACTTTGCTCAACCACCCGAATACCCATGGAACCATCGTTTCCCCTGGCAATCATTCGATCACGCTTCAATTCGTCGTGGTCATCACGTCTACACTCAAGTCTGTGCCACCTGTCACAGTCTCGACATGATCTCATATCGTCATCTCATCGACGTTGCCTACACTGTCGACGAGATGAAGGCATTCACAGCTGAGCTCACTGTACGTACAATACAATGTGTGTAAAGGTGATCCTCGACACTGGCTCACACTCAATCAATCAATCAATCCAATACATACATCTAGGTTGAGGATGGACCAGACTCAGAGGGAGAGATGTTTGAGCGCAAGGCAGCCATCACCGACTACCATCCCAAGCCATATCCCAATCAGAACGCAGCTCGTTTCTCAAACAATGGTGCACTCCCACCCGATATGTCACTGGTGATCAAGGCACGCTCTCGTCACGAGGACTACGTCTTCTCACTGTTGACCAGCTACGTCGACCCACCCACTGGAGTCAAAATCGTTGGCGGTCAGCACTTCAATCCATACTTCCCTGGCACCAAGATTGCCATGGCGCCACCCTTGTCTGAGGGTGCACTCGAGTTTGACGATGGCACTGACAACTCTGTGTCGCAGATGGCCAAGGATGTCAGCACATTCCTTGCATGGGCGTCCGAGCCTGAGCACGACGACAGAAAGAAGATGGGATTCAAGATCATTCTCGGTCTCGGCCTCATTGCCGTGCCAATGTTCTACTGGAAGCGTTTGAAGTGGAGCACAATCAAGACACGCAAGATTGAGTTCAAGGATTGATCAAGATGATTGAAACATGCAGCAGCAGCAAACAGGCAGCACAATATAAACTATATACTTTACGATACTATACGATGGTAATCACTTTGTGAGAGTGGTGTCTAGATTGTGCTGTTGAAGGGTCCTTACGCTTTATTAGAATACATAACGTAGACGATTGGGATTGGGCAGGCGAGGGTTGTGACTGCATGATGATGATGAATGTGTGTAAAGGGTGATCAGGGTTGGCGACATTGCTGATTGTTCCAACTCATTTGGTCCTGAGAGTATGTCTCTATCTCTATCTCTATCTTGTTCTCTTTCTCTCTCTCTCTCTGTGTGGTGTGAGGTCCTCTATATGTATATGAGTGATGATGATGATGGTGATGATCGAAAAGTGCTGTATTGATTGATAGTAGTGCTGTTTGACGCTTAGTATGAAGATCCATCGGGTGGCTGAGCCAGCTTCTTGTTGGCTGGAGTGTTCATCTCACGTCGCAATTCGATGAGGATAGCCTCAATGTTTGTCTTTGAGACCCAGTTGTTGAGCAATGGGAAGTTCTTTGGCTCGACGACGCCACTTTGAGCGTTAACGCAACCCATGTTGATCTTTGAGATGAACTTGACTGTTGGAGGCTTGTTTGGATAGTCCTTATCACAGAACACCTTGACTGTGTATATTCTATTCTCATGTGTAGTCTATAGTATGAAACATTTGTTAGTGATTGATTGATTGAATGATTGGGATTGAATGAATGAATATACACTTACACCATTCTGACCTATTATAGTACAAATCCAAGATGAAAGGAATGTGTCATCTGGTGATTCAAGACCATAAGATACGTTGCCATCGCCTACGCCCTTCTCACCCTTCTCCAGCTCTTCAAGCAGTCTGAAATTGCGTGGTACTGTTGCCATTACTTATTGTAATTATTGTTGTTATTCTAGTTGTTGTCGTTGTTGTAGTCCTCTATCTATATCACCTCAATATATATCTATATACAATGAATGAACAACCAACCAACTCAATTTTTAACGTAATATCTAATTTATGTATCTCTGTTTGGTAATAAATAAGTAAATGAATGAATAATTGTGTTGCAATAACATTGATTGGCTTGGTCCCCTCAATCAATCTCACAACACTCACTTCTTCTTCTTCTTTTTTTATTCACTCACAAAAAGACAGGTCTTTTGAAAACAACACTGATCCAACAACACACACACATTTACATATTTGATCAATCAACTATATTTATAGCTAGAGGTGTACAGATACTACTTGTAAATGATTGATACAGATAATGTTCAAATCAGGAATACATACAAGACAAGCAACTGATGATGGTTCTAAACGTTACCCCAGGTATTTGATCTTGTTCAGCCCAATAAGGAAAGAGGTGATTGGGAAAAAACAAAACAAAATTTCAACTGTGTCACGCATAATGATGATCATCATAGTGTGTGTGGGAAGTAGTTGGTGCTGCTCATACTGACAGACAGAGAGTTCAAAGTCAAACAACTGTGTGATACATTCATTCGTCTTTCGGACAACAATAATCATACTTATCTCATTCCTACCTATATCTTTTATAAATCATATCAACAATGTACAAGGGATTGTCAACTGGTTGGTATCATTCACTTCCACATGCTCATCATCATTCATGAATGATCAAGTAAATGAATGAACAAAACTAATACTCATTCAATCAATCAATCATCACACTAATGATCGATCATAAACTATGAATGTACAAATTGAATCAATCAATCAATCAACGAATGAATGAATATGAATGAATATCGAATGGAACTATATTAGGTGCCAGATTCTACAGCAGCACTGCCAACTTCTTCACCACCGCCAAGGGTAAGGCCCCAGTGCGTGTTGCCATCACCGGTGCCTCTGGTCAGATCGGCTACCAACTGTGCTTCAGAATTGCCAGTGGTGAGATGCTCGGTAAGGATCAGCCGGTCATCCTCCAGTTGCTCGAGCTGCCCCAGGCCATGAACGCCTTGAAGGGTGTCTCCATGGAGCTCGACGATTGTGCCTTCCCATTGTTGAAGGGAATCGTCCAGACTGAGGACCCAAACAAGGCCTTTGCCGGTGCTGACTACGCTCTGCTCGTCGGTGCTCGTCCCCGTTCCAAGGGAATGGAGCGTGGCCAGTTGCTCGAGGCCAACGCCCAGATCTTCTCTGTCCAAGGAAAGGCCATCAACAACAACGCCAACCGTGACAGCATCCGTGTCTTGGTCGTCGGTAACCCAGCCAACACCAACGCCCTGATTGCCGCCCGCAACGCCCCAGACGTCGACCCAAAGCGCTTCACCGCCATGACCCGTCTGGACCACAACCGTGGCCTCGCTCAGCTCGCCGAGAAGTCCGGATACGGTGTCACCGACATTGAGAAGTTCTGCATCTGGGGCAACCACTCTGCCACCCAGTACCCAGACATCACCAACACCATCATCAACAGCAACCCAATGTCCAAGTACATCAACGACAACGTCTGGATCAAGGACAACTTCATCCCAACCGTCCAGCAGCGTGGTGCCGCCATCATTGCCGCCCGTGGCCTCTCGTCCGCCGCCTCTGCCGCCTCTGCCGCCATCGACCACATGCGCGACTGGACCCACGGCACCAACGGTCAGTGGACCTCCATGGCCGTCTTCTCTGACGGTTCCTACGGCGCCGACAAGGGACTCTACTTCTCGTTCCCAGTCATCTGCAAGGGTGGCAACTACGAGATTGTCCAGGGTCTCAAGTTGGACACCTTCTCCCAAGAGAGATTCGACATCACCCGCAAGGAGTTGATCTCTGAGCGTGATGCCATTGCCAGCCTTCTCCCATAAAGTTCAATGAACTTTGAGCAGCAGAAGCTATGGGCTTTGTAGTCGTCGTCATTGTCGTCGACCAAGAAGCAGCATTCAACATTTTGGAAGAATAAACCAAGGTCTGTGTCCTAACCTATTATTAACATTTTATGAGGCCTTGACTTATCCTTGCTGCATGATCATCACTTCATCTCCAATCGGTTCACTCGTCCGACAATCAAAGCTCAAATGGCAATTGATCACGTGATTCGATGAAAGAGTAACCTAAGTCCTACGTCCGTCATCAGGTTACCTCAACAACACCCGGGGATTTGATGTATGAGTGTGGGGTCCGGGATACCATTGCCAGTACACACACCAAGTCTTAAACACTCCCCATTAGACATCAATCCATTCCATTCCATTCCGCTACACTACACATACAATCTCAACATTATCGATTTGCAGCATTAAAAACAATGATAATGTTGTCGATCACCTGGTACGAGAGAAAAGGGTTACATTGGATGGGCCAAGCCCTTACCGAGGTAGCTATGGGAGATGTGGATCGGACACCATAGATGATGCCCACATTGTCAGAGGGGCAATTCAAACCGATTTTTGAAAAGTCCTACTGCCTGACTAGTGTCTGTCTGTCATTGCCCAAGTCTGTTATCAACCAACCAACCAACAACTAATACCCCCCCTTTCACACACCCGACACGGGCCTCGCGGTCGTCCTTGTGAAACTTTTAATATCTGTTTGTTGTCTGGGGGTACGACTGTGGTGTCGGTGAAGCACATTGAGGAGACTCCTCCTTCTCTATGACAAACTCTAAAACAAGCCACATGATGTATCCTTACCTTGAATGATTATTATTATTATTGGTATCCACACACTTTAATATTTCAAACATACATAGATAGAACAACAACAACACCTTTTATTACAAAACAGTCTATCTTTCTTTCTTTGGTATGTATATATTCATTCAGTCAATCACTTTAAAGAGACGACCCTTTTGTTTGAAGACAAATCTTGATTGAACACACACACACACACCTCATATATCTCGAACGTGTCAAGCACTTCGATCGATCATCGTTAATGTTGTGTGTTGTGCTTAATTCAAATACAGGATATCGTGTGTTAATAACAATAACACACGTCTTGTTTGATTAATGTGTTTGATCATGTGTTTGATGGCATGGCACGGCAAGGCATAGTATGGATGCCAATAGTCCTGTCTCCTGGACTACAAAGGTGTTGTTGGATGGATGGAGGCTATGAATGGAAGCCCAGGCATGGGAACAATTTGACGACAATTACACACTCACAAACACACAAGGTTAACCTGTAACCCAGGAGTTCTAAGACTAAATTGACACATTACTAACTCTTATTTCCATATCCTTTCCACAGGTAGTAGTACATAGCTAGACCAACATCCCAACATCCCAACATCCACATACATACAAACATACAAACATACACATATATTGTCAATATTACAAGATACGAATAGAGAAAGAAAAGAAGAGATGACGACTACATCAGGTGATTCACAATCTACATCGGACAACAATATGCTCAAGTATAAGGAGCAAAAGTTGGTGTCCAAACAGATTGAGAAGCAGTTGAAGAATGAAAAGAAGTTGTTGGATCGCGAGATGAAGCTGCTGTTGCTGGGCACTGGTGACTCAGGCAAGAGTACCATCGTAAAGCAGATGAAGATCATTCACATGAAGGGATACACACCAGAGGAGAGGACCAATCATAAGTCACTCATATATAGGAACGTCATTGAGATATTCCGATCCCTAATCGAAGGATGTGACATAATCAACGTTCGCATCGATCCATCTCACGAACAACTATGTGATCAGGTATGTTTGTTATCGACTAAACTATATTTGCATTATACTCACTGGAACAATTCCAATCAATCAATTTGAAGATCTTGGATTTACATGATTCAAGGAAATACTCAAGCATGGATATAGGATTGATTAGATCGATTGTTGGACTGAGCAAGGATGCAAGTATCCAGCAGGCACTGATGACTGGTGGCGCAAAGTTCCAGATCCATTCATCGGCCAACTACTTTATCAGCTCACTGGAGAGGATTGCAGACGTCAACTACCTGCCAACCGATCAGGATATACTTTGCACACGTGTGATGACGACGGCCGTGTCTGAGACACGCTTCAACGTCAGAGGCATCAACTTTAGAATGATAGACGTGGGCGGCCAGCGTGGCCACCGCGAGAAGTGGATCCATCACTTTAGCGATGTCACTGCGATCCTGTTCATCGTGTCGCTGTCTGAGTACGACCAGGTGCTGGAGGAGGACACCAACACCAACCGCATGATCGAGTCGGTCAAGGTGTTCTCTGAGATCATCAATGGCAAGTGGTTCACCGAGATCCCCATGCTACTGTTCCTCAACAAGAGTGACCTGTTCGCCGAGAAGATCAAGCGTACCAATCTCAACGTCTGCTTCAAAGAATATCAAGGTGCATCCAACTATGATGACGCTCTACTCTACATCAAGAAGAAGCTACTCTCTTGTAACAATAACAAATCAAAACGTAAGTATCACACTGATGGTGGGGCTGGGACCATTCCAGCCTCAGCCCCACTCACTCAACCAATTATTCAAGTTGGAGTCATTCCACTAACTCACTCATTCAAACCAATCAATCAATCAAACAACAACAGAGATATATACACACATTACTACAGCCACGGACACTGGCAATATCACGGTTGTTTTCAATGCAGTCAAGGACATCCTCACCAGACAGACAATGGAAGAGGGTGGTATCTAAGACAAATACACATATTTATAGGCGTTATCATTATTTGGATTAAACTATATTCTATATTTATCCTTTAATCAATCAACTACCTAATTTGGCAATGAATGAATGAAAGCCCGGGCTTTTATTTTGTTTGAATACTGTGAGTGGACCATGAATTTTTATTTAATTTTGAATTTCTTAAATGTTTTGTGAGACCAGTCGTTTGTGAATGGTGTGGTGGGAGGATAGATGCACGCGAATGACTAGATGATCAATCCTCTTTTCAAGTCGATTCTATTTGTTGCCCTTACCCAGATAACATCCTCCTCATCATAACAATGTATGTGTACTTGGAACATATGGTGATACACCCAATACCTCTACCTACTCAATCACTTGAGTGGTGAGAGATTGGCTATCCCGCTTGCACCCAAGTACAACCCCCAGGCACAAGAGGCTTATAGTCGCCTGGGGATATCCAAAGTATCCAACCATACTAACATCCCAACTTAATAACAACATTAGAAAATGGTCAGAGTCTCTGTTTTGAACGATTGCCTCAAGTCTGTCTTGAACGCTGAGAAGCAAGGTCGCCGTCAGGTCCTCATCAGACCATCGAGCAAGGTCATCATCAAGTTCTTGACTGTCATGATGAAGAAGAAGTACATCGGAGAGTTCGAGATCATCGATGACCACCGTTCCGGAAAGATCGTCATCGAGCTGATTGGTCGCATCAACAAGTGCGCCGTCATCTCCCCACGTTTCGATGTCTCCCTTGAGGAGCTCGAGAGATGGACCTCCTACTTGCTGCCATCCCGTCAGTTCGGCCACATCGTCCTGACCACCTCCCTCGGTATCATGGACCACGAGGAGGCCAAGAGACTGCACACCGGAGGCAAGCTTTTGGGTTACTTCTACTAAGCGGCTACTCCTTGGCTGCTTAGGTCGTCCCCGTACCCCTTTTGGCGTGTCCCGCTGGTCGGGGTCGACCGGTCCCAATCTAATTGGGCCGTGTTTGTTTGTCCAATCGATGGAACCACCAGCGTCCGCCTAGTCAGTCGATGGTCTTCATTGATCAATCAAACTCGACTCAATAAAAGAATCGATGTTTACATCAAACCAATCCTTATTCATTGTATCCTGCTTCTTTGTTTATGTTGTCACAACAGCCACACTTGGGCATTGAAGTTGTTGTCCAAGCGCTTCACAAAGCGTGAAGTTGAGGTAAAGTGTCTGATCATTCATTCAATTATGCTGTAGTTGCTTGTCATCTTGATGTTGTGTTTGAAGTTCTGATGTCTCTGGTACTTTCGCTCGGTGTGGTGATGCTCATCTCTCTTACCACTTCATTGTGGCAATTACTCTTCATTATCATTTCAAATACATTCAAAGCCTCTACAACAACATGTCACTGGATATAAACAATGACACCACCTCTCAAGCTATTGCTGATCACCTCCGTCTGCCTGATGGCCACCCAGACAGGATTGCAATCATGATTGGCCTCATCGATGGTCCATATTTACGGATCACTCGTACCCTAGGTGATATTGCTACAGACTTCCCGACGATCACCCCACGGACCAGAAGAATGTTATTTGCCCTTGTGCACCCTCCGGCGTAGGTGCAGCCATTGTGAGATTGTTCATTACTAACATTCTGACCATCAAGTGGAGCATTCTTTAATAAAGATGTCGGCTTTGTCAGGGTATTCTACAAAGATACAGATACTCAACCAGCCAAGGTCTTTCGTTGACTGGTCCACCGTCGCAGCTACATTTGGAATTAGTGGAGGCTCTCTGAAGAGGAAGGGTGAGGAGCACTATACAGTGGAACATTTCCCTTATCCATCAGGGGAGTATACGTTGACGAACACTGTAAGTCATTTTGTTTATTATCATGTTGTCATTGTGCTAATGACAATGTTAGCCATATTCATTCCAACTTTATACAGCGATTTCCTTTGGCTTTGGGAAGTTGGCTAACAAGATGGGTTTTCAACCAAAGATCCAACAACAACCTATTCAAGGCAATCTGGAATGCAACTCATTGGAACTTGAACCACCAACAACAACGCAATCAAACATTCGACACAGACACCAGGTAAAGTTCAATGAACTTAATTACATATCCAGGATTGTGGAACTAACAACTTTCACATAGGCTAATTCTACTTGATCGATGCCACTCAGCAAGTTGACTGCTCCCGTCTAGTCACTTGATAATGTTTGATCCACCACCAGCTTGTCATGGACATGACCTTGATAATGTGTCCACGACTACACTGATATCATCAAAGATGGATAGCCAAACCATTACTCAGGCGGATGATAAAGAGTAGCCCTTTAAGGGTTAAACTTGAAGAGGAAGTCAAAAATGAAGGAGCGCCAGATTCCAGAATGTGAGCGAAGCCAGCGGCTATGAATTATCCACACACATCACGATCTATACAATCAATGAAGAATGAAGTTACAACTTACATCATTATATAAGAAGAGAATAGATGATGGCTTCGAGTTCAATGTGTTGTTAGTTGGTGACTTGTTCAAATCAACAAGGAATCATCTATTGTTTGGTTGTACAGATGGTCGTATCATATTATATAGAGGTGATATCATCACCAATGACAACATAAACAACAACAACAACAACAATGACACAACAATAACAAAGATAACATCATGTATAGAAGAGGTATTAGAGTCCAAAGGTGCATCCATTCAATCACTATGTCTATCGGATATCACACGCTTTGGAGGCATTGACATTGTCAGTGGAGACAGTCATGGCAACCTCGTTGCCTTCTCGAACCATCAAATCATTTACCGTGACTCAATTGGCGAGGCCATATCTGCACTGACTACACATCACTCCATAAGTATGTTGTTGCCTGCACACTCCTACATCATACACTTACTTACTCATACATACTTAGATGGTGACTTTGACATTGTTGTTGGAGATCGTAGCGGTATGATCACTGCATTCAAACCTTTTCAATCGGTACAGTGGAAGGTTAGACTTCCGACCGTGGTCGAACTCAGACGTTTGAGTCTTCAACGTGGTGACACTGAGGAGTCGTCGACGTCGGTGGATCACACCTCAGTCGCCACCACTCTACAATCAAGTAGTAGTCAACGTATTAGAGATATAGTGTCATATCGTACAGTGGACTCTTATAATGTAGAGTGTAGCTATACAGTGGTCAGTGACAATACCAATGCCATTCACTTTATTGATCGTGGCAATCGTGTCAACACCATTGAGACACCGGCACCAATCAATTGTATATGTTCTGGTTACTTTGATGATGATCAACAACAGCAACTGGCATTGGGAAGTGAGAATGGATATATATACTTGGTTGGATCAGACATGAAGTTACGAACATATTGCAATGTTGGTTATCCAATCACAAAGCTGTACAGATATCAATCAAAGTCAATCAATACAAAACATCAACATCACAATGGTAATGGTAATGGTCATGGTATTAGTAATGGAAATGGAGTCAACAACAAATGCAGTAATAATGATGATGTTGGACTTGATTGTTTATTATGTATTGGACACTTCCATTCATTGAAAGTATATTACAACAAAGATGTAAGTTAACTTTAATTCCTGGATTTCCAGGATATAAGATCAGATGATCATTGACATATCTATCCTTCCAAACAATCAACAGTTGATTTGCGAGCATATTGCAGATGATTGGATACATACATTATCAATTGGCGATGTAATGAATAGAGGAGAGGAAGTAATAGTCATTGGCAAGTTGAACAACTCTATCGAATATCTCAAGCCAACTGTAACCCATTAAAATGTTGTGAGTGAAGAATGTGGTGTGTTCATCATAATTCATTCAATCTAAAACATAGAGATAGAGATAGAGATAGAGATAGAGATAGATAGAGATATAGATAGAGATGGATACATTATCAGATATAGTTATACTTGTTATATATGATAATTTGAATGATGTTATGGATGTTGCTTGTTTGGGTATGACTAATAAGAGGTATTATTCAAATTATCTAAAACTGTCATCTACGAATAATAGATGGTATGGGTTCCATCAACCATATCAACAGTTAGAGATCATTAGACAGACTTTGAATCTTGAGCCTATCAATCGCATGGTATCAAATGATCTATCTATACAGGACACAAGCAATGACAACATTATCAACAATACTACAACTACATTCACATTGATCGATACATTCAATCAACCTATTGTTCATGACACACTTCCATCCACCTTACTCAAACTTACATTTGGAAAGCAGTTCAATCAACCTTTGACCGAGGGATGTCTGCCGCCATCAATCACCAGTCTAAAGTTTGGATATAACTTCAATCAACCAATCACAGCTGGTTGCTTGCCTCCATCACTTTTAACTCTCAAGTTTGTCAGCGACTTTAACCAACCAATCATGCCAAGTACCCTGCCCGAATCACTTACCAAACTAAAGTTTGGATATCACTTCAACCAACCATTGCCCATTGGTGCATTGCCAGCTTCGATACAAACATTGGCATTCAGTAATGATCATGCTCAAGACATTATTCCTGGTTCATTGCCCTCCTCACTCACATGCCTGACCTTTGGTTACTATTACAATCAGCCTATCAGACATGGTGCTCTACCACTGTCTCTCATGTCACTACGATTCATCTACAACTACAATCAAGTGTTTATGCCTGGTACGTTGCCGCCGTCACTCACCTCCTTGACGCTGGGGCGTCGATATCAAGCATCCTTCATGACTGGAGCATTGCCAGCATCACTAGAGACGTTGACCTTCATTTGTAATCCATTCAGTATACTTGAGTGCGGAAGACTACCACTTCAATCACAACTTCAATCGTTGGCTATTCAAGTTTGGTATTATGACAAGACACATACATTCAATGATAAGGCACGATTGTTATTGATGTCATTGGTTCAGAAGGTGCCCACAGTCAACACGTACCGTCTCAGCTATTGGATCAGTGGAAGACGGTTGCCCTTCCTGGACATTCATCTACGTCGTTACGACTCTTCCAGTGCAATATGTGTCTCTCAATTCAACAACATTGAAGAACAATCCACAACAATCTCACTTCATTGGTTCGAACTACCAACACCATTACCAGAGCCAGTCAAACCAATCGTCGCCATAACACCAATGCCAGAGATGGATGAAGATACATTCAGACGAATATTTGATTGAATGATTGATTGATATACAAGTACAAAGACTTTTAATAATAATAATAATAAGTTGAATATACTTCATGCTCCCAGGTCACTGAGAGATTTAAAGAAGCAGAGAAAGGATGGCAGCAATAACAATTGTTACCAAGAGAGAAGATTGGGTCTTGGATGAAGATCCAACAGTGGTGCTGCCAATGGTGATGGTGGCAGTAGGTGGAGTTGTGGTGCTGGTGGTTGAGGTTGAGGTTGTAGAGGTCGATGGTGCACCAGTGGTGCTGGTAGTCGAGGTGGTCGATGGTCCAGTGGTGGAAGTGGTGGAGGTAGAGGTGGAGGTAGTAGTTGCAGGAGCAGTGGTGGAGGTTGTGGAGGTGGATGAGGTAGAGGTGGTGGATGTAGAGGTGGTAGTTGGCTGGGAAGCGGAGAAGTTACCCTTGACGATCCAGACAGAGTCGACGAGCGAGTTGTTGGCGTTGTCAAAGAACTTCCAGTGAAGATGGGTGGCATTGGCAAAGGTCATGGTCGAGTAACCAGTGTCGTTGATGCGTGGACCGGTGGACCACTCTGGGGCTGGGGTGCTGAAGGCAGCTACCTCACCACCTGGGTTACCACCCATACCGATGACGCAATGGATGGTGGCTCTGGGCGCAGCGTAGGTGCCCATGGTGACATTCTTGGAGATTGGTAGGGTACGCTCGTAGCTGTGGACGTGACCAGACAAGTAGATGTCGACGTTGTAGGTGTAGAGGATGTCCTCCATGACCTTGGCAAACTTGGCGCGTGGGGCACCGGTGCACCATGAGTCAATTCCAGAGCAGTACATTGGACGATGGGCGTACGAGACGATCCAGCCATTTGGGTTGGAGGCACGGAAGGTTGACAGGTCCTTGTGGATCCACTGGTATTGGGGTGAGTCGACAGCAAAGTTATCCTCATAAGAGAAGGCGATAAAGTGGACACCGTTGTAATCGAATGAGTACCAGGTCTATGAGTAAGCGTTGGAGTTCGGGTTAGGGTTAGGGTTAGGATAAGGGTTGAGGGTGGGCGGCTTGATGGGATGACATACGGTGTTTGGAACAGCAGCTGGCATGACGAAGGAGGTCAAGTAGATCTGCTCCTGGCTGAAGACATCATGGTTTCCGATGGCAGTCATGTATGGGAGGTGGGAGGTGATTGGGTTGGCGTCCATCAACCATTGATCCCAAACCGACTGGTTGCCAAGGGCCTTAGCAGTGAGGAGGTCAGCGTAGGCTATGATGGGAACAAAGGATTAGAATCACCTGATACTCAATCAATCAAACTTCAAGTATCATTCAAACAAACATACCAATATCTCCAACATGGAGAGCAAACATGTAGTTGTTCATGGTGGCAATGAGGTTCTTGAGGGTTGGTGCACCATTCTCTCCACCGACATCACCAAAGGCAGCAAGGGTGAATGGGGTGACGGTCGAATGAGTCAAAGCACCGGTGGTGAAGTTGAACACCTCAGACCAAACTTGGCTAGCTTGGTCACCGCAGACGTAGTAGTAGGTGGTCATGCCCTCAAGCTTATTGAACACAGCAGTGTTGATGTATCCAGTCCACTGGCTCCATTGGCCAATGTTGATGGAGGTGGCGTTCGAGGCGAGCAAAGTGGTGGTGTTCACGGTGTCCATGGCGAACTTGGTGCCAGAGAGCAACAGCTGGGGCATAGAGCCCTGGCCAGTTGTGTACCATGTGACACGCATCTCGCTGGACGAGTTGGTGAATGCCAGCTTGACGCTCTGTGGCTCGATGCTCACAGCCTGGCTACTGCCAGCGACAATCAAAAGAAGAAGGATAGAGGAAAGAACAATGTTGCGGTACATTGTATCTTTGAGGAGAGAGTAAGAGAGAGTGAGAGAAAGAGAAGAAGATAGAGACGAAGAGAGGGATGGAGAGTGAGAGAATAGAATGTTGGAGAGTTTGGAAGAGAGAGAGGGAGACGAAGAGAGAGAGAAGTAAAAAGGAGAGCAAGAGGAGAGAGGGAGAGAGAGAGGAGTAGGAAGAAGAGGTGTCAGGCCAATGTGATCTCTCACAGACATCTGATCAAAGCGTGGTAGTTTAACCCATACTTGTAAAATAGAGAGAGACAGATAGAGAGATAGAAGGTCCAGAGGGAGGAGATGAAGTGGTGTTTAAACCTGTCCACATTCCTGGTGTCCTTTAAGTACTGTGTGGACAGACATCACACCTCCCTAAGAACTATGAGTAATATAATAATAATAATAATAATAATAGTTTGTTAGCTATTATTGATCTATCATGTCAAGACTTTCACTGATGTGATTACTTCTGCAAAAGGGGGTTGGGCCAACACACTTACCACACACGAGTCGGTCGGAGATCAGGGACCACACTTACGTCCCTCCATATGAAGGGTGGTGTACCACCCATATGTCTGCCTTCACAGGGACCCGGTCCATTTGTCGACAAACCGGTTTTTGGATCTTTCTATCTATGATGACCCGTTAATAGGTTACACACGCGGCTACTCGCCCGAGGGATTTGTCTTTTCATTCATAGAGATACTAGTTCCATCATGAGTTGCATAGGATACCTACCCATCAATTTGAAAATTTGGTGCATCCTAGTCAGAAAACACTAGTCGGCATCTGATCACTTTGTTGTTCTTTGTTGAACAAAAATAATAACAAATAATAATATTTATTTGATTAACGTTACAATTAATCATGGCGCCAAAATAGTCTTTTGAACTTCAGTCTCATAAAAGTTAGGTCTTTCTTTTCACTCAGTGATTGGATATTCATCTTCAATATTGGTGATTACAGTCGTCTAGGTTCACATAACCAGGCCTGGACAAAACTTCACTCTTTCAGGGATTGATTGATGATGGGACTGCCCATTGATGATGAGCGCAAAAAGTTCCTTTCTATTTCCTTAAGGTGCATTCTGAATGATAAGTATTAAAATACAATCCTATCTTTCCAGGTGTCCGACGACTTGGACTCTTTATTATCACCATCTTTGTTTTCAAAGTGCTCAAACAGGTGGTGATACTTTCAAGATGATCTTATTTTTTGTAAAGATCAAAACAATCTATCAAGATATTATCTTTAAATGTTTTTTATTTAAACAACCCCCAACTAGTTGACATCATCAACATCTTCAGTATCAATATTAACTTCAACTTAAATGACATCAAGAATATATTATACTTTGGCTATATTTGTTTTGTTGGCCACTATAACCTGGTATCCAGTGTTGTCTTTAGAGCCATCATATGCATATACCTTCACCAACAAGTACAATGTTGAGAATTCAACTATTTACTCTCTATTCCAAACAGTACAATTGTCCAATGGTACAGTAGGAAATCAAACCCTCCTCCATCCTTTGGAGAAAACATTGGCTGCTTTTGTAGACCAAACAAACACTGATTATGTAAGTATGGTTTGTGAGAACTATAGTTCCACTTTGATTGATCAAATAAATATTAACATTTTATCAAAAATGGAATAGTTGGTCTACTTTGGATACACTGGTGAGGAGTTTGTTCTCCAACAACTTGATACTCAAAGTGGAGAAACAAATCAACTTGGAACTATTCTTCCTGGTAATCATCCAAATGAATTCTATCTCTTTGGATACGATCCAAAGGCACAAATCATTACCAATCTCTACCTTGATATTAACTATGAGCTCTACCTCATCCAATGGGACTTTGCCAACAACATCTGGTAAGTAATTGAAAACAAAAAGGTGATTAAATGGAATGATTCCAAGGGACTAACACAATCAATCAAACATTAGTACCAATACTTCACTTAATATCACCAACCCAAATGCTTTGAGTGGAGCTTATGATCCAGCTTCGGGAGAGTATTATGTATCCTATTACTTGAAGAATGATGTACAAAAGTTGATGTCATACAATATCTTTACAAAGACATTGTCGTCACCAATGAACACTGCTTTGGAAATGTTTGAGATGTTCATGGTCAATGGTAATCTCTATGGCACACAAGTGATTCAACAACCCAACACATTTGAGCTTAGTCTCATTCTCCAGAGCCTACTTCCAACACCTACGATCGTTGCCACCTTCAACTCTTATGTTGTGATGCCAACTACATTCATGGCAGACTCATCAAACGTCTTGTTCTTGACCACTGACTCCCTCTCGGCCACCAACATGACATTGATCATCTTGGATGTGGCCACTCAAGAGACTACCAACTACACTACTCCCTTCTTCATGGACAGTGTTTCGTTTGCAGTGTTGCAATAGACCATTCCATCATCACACACACATCATCAACACGATTGGACGGATAACATTGTTTGAATAAAGGCCTCTTCAAAGCCCTGCCCCCACCACCATTGCAGTGTCCTGATCCAACCACCCATCACAACCACACCTGGTCCAGCAACACATTAAGTTTTTTCAAACAACATGTTTGATGAGATACACCGATCATCGAGTGATCAAGATGTGTTGGTGAATGTGTGTGATCGAGTGTTTAGGTTGGAGAGTTCTGACTCTAGATACGTTCTTGATTTGATGAGGCACAGTTGTCAACATTTGAAAGCCCTTACACTTACTCAAACAACCATTATTCTTATTACTCATTACTTTATCTCTTTTTTAAAAGATATACTTCTATCTTTTTTTTTTAACTTTATATAGTTGTGGGCCTCCATCCCACACAACTAACTCACGAAACTCCGATCCAAGGTCCGATCCAATCAACCCATTTTACAAACTTTGGTATATATCTGGATTGGCAGAGCCATCACAACAATCACAACAACATCATCAGAACGACGATGGATGGTTGGGTGAAATGCATTCATCTAATCATTCATTCATTCCGCAATCCCTCTTACCTTATCCTCATACCTTACTCTCCTCCCACATACTACTCTTTTATTTTCATATGTGACATGTATATATAGATATAAGACAGATATAGATATAGATATAGATACAGATATATAGGATAGATGGATTCATTTCAATCATTTGGTCTTTGTGCCAAGGCACTCGAGTTCACACTAGAGTGTGAGTTTCCAGATCAGACCACAAAGAACTATCAATTCCATTCTAGATATACTGTCGATAAGATAAAGGTTTGTAATCATATGATTGATTGATTGATTAGTGAGGACCAAATACTGACAGTATTCTCCACAATTAGAGCTCAATATTGATGGATGCACCAGGTCTTTTCAAAAATGACTATGCATTGTCCATTGACAATGAAATGCTGACGATTGACTTTGCTCGATTCATTGTGGCCAATCCAAAGATTACACAATCGCTTGAGAACAGTCCGGTCGTTAAAGTTCAGTTGGTCAACAAGAACAGTTCACCAACTATTGTACCAAAGGAGTCAACTATAGTGTAAGTATTTGTTTGGAGATGGTCCACTAATGAATGGAAGGAATATGTTTGAACTGACATTCCTGCCCCTCTATTTAGACCTCCACCAATATCACCAATCAGTGAGAATAGATTATCAGAGCTTAAGTTAGCATTGGAGAGCTCGCCAGTGATGGGACATACTAAAAGACCTTCAGTTGGACCATCCATACTTGATAGTGCTCACCTCAGAGAGTTGAGGAAACAGCGTGAGGAAAGAGAGAAGAAGGAGCTGAAGGACCAGAAGAATGAGGATAAAGAAAGAGAGAAGGAGAGGGAAAAAGAAAAAGAGAGAGAGAAAGAGAAGGAAAAGGAAAAGGAGAAAGAGAAGGAGAGGGAGAGGGTTGCTGAAAGGGAGAGAGAGATGGCAGAGAAGAGAGCATCAGTCGCACAAGGTGTCACGATTGTCGTGTCCACATCGCCAGAGAAACCATCGACAAGTTATGAAGCCGATGCATTGGACAGTCCACCACCATCGCCACAGCAGGCAACAAACGCAGAGAAATATGGAACGTTGCATTCGTTCAGGAATCTGACCGTGGGCCAGGTGCCCAAGATCAAGTCGCTGATCTTCAACACACTGGATCGCAGGAGATCGATGAGTGCCAAGGGCCACAACAGCAGTGATGATCTTAGGTCGCCATCCATTACGATCCAATCATCGGAGCGCACTCGATCACATGACAGACTGACGTCGCACTCTGGCGGCTCGTCGCCAGTGTCCTCTTCGCCGATGTCTGCGTCGCCGCCCACCGGTGGCAGCAAGCTGAGTCTGAGCGACACCAAGGACTACAGCCTCATCGAGAACATGCGTGGATACACAGTGGAGGCCTACAAGCAGGGCATCACATCACCTCAAGAGTTGGTACTGAGCACATTGATCACCAGCGAGTGTTGGTACGCTGCCAACTTCCAGAAGGACGAGCATTTCAACTATGTTGGCGAGGATGATCAGCATGGTCCATACATCATATCATTATTCAAGGAGAAGGACGAGGACAAGGACAAGGAGAAGGACAGGGAGTCATTGACATCATCATCATCGTCATCATCTTCATTCTTGGTAAAGAGTGCCGGTTGCTATAGGATATTGTTGAGGACAAAGCAAGGAGATAGGTATCGCACGGTCAATCCAAAGGTGTTTGGCAGCTTCATATATTCAGCGAGCAGAGTGCCAATCAAGGAGATCATGCAGATAATCGCACCAGAGCTGAGTACCAAGAGTGTTAGAAAGGTCAAGTCTGGCGATGTTGTCAAAGACCTCCTCAAGTTTGAAGAGCGCCAACGTATCAAGAGTTTCAAGTTTGGTGTTCTCTACTGCGCAACCAATCAAACAGTCGAAGAGTCGATGTTCTCGAATGGTATGTCTTCTCCACTCAATCAATCAATCACTCCGCTCAATCACTTACATCAATCAAATATATCTCCAGAGTATGGCAGTGATGACTTTAACGAGTTCTTGTCATTGCTTGGAAAGAGGATACAGCTACAGGGATGGGAGCATTATCGTGGAGGTCTGGATGTGAAGAATAATACTACAGGAATGGAGAGTATCTATGAGAACTATAGGGGATTCGAAGTAATGTTCCATGTTGCCACCATGCTACCATTCAGTCAGATGGACAGTCAGCAAGTGGAGAAGAAGCGTCATATTGGCAATGACATTGTTGTAATAGTATTCAAGGAGGGTGATAGGCCCTTCAATCCAAACGTTATCCAATCCGATTTCAATCGTATGTCGTCTATTCATACATTCATTCAATCATTCAATCAATCAAACATACTAACTTACCATTTTTGTACCTTAGACGTATTTATTGTTGTACAAGTGGATGCAGTTGCCAGTCGAACAATGGGCAACAAGCGATATAAGATATCCATCGTGTATAAGGAGGGCATTCAACCAAGTCATCCATACATTGAATATCCAGGTACTTACGAAGCCAATGCATCATTCAAGGATTATCTGTTGTGTAAATGTATGTTATTCATTAATATCCAATCCATATATTCAATGCAATGTCCTAACTCCAACATCCTTACCTCAACTCAACTCAATTCCAAAGTGATCAACTCTGAATGTGCATCGTATGACGCACCTAGTTTCATGATAAAGATTCAAAGAACTAGGACTGCTTTGCTAAAGGATATTATCAACACTTATGGTTCATTGGACTCATAGTTAGACAGTTAGTCAATGTGAACATAGTGAGTGGAACAAGGTTGAATAAAGATGTAGATGAATGAATGGATATTGATTGTATCCAAGAAGTAAATTAGATGAAGTATCGATGGGGTCAGACAGGAACATCGACCTCAAAAGGTGTCAATTCAATGCAAACCATTCAATGATTTCTTTCAGATCTGTGGACGTAGCCTGGGGGGAAACTCACACACAACACTACTACATAACCTTCATCAATACCCAATGAACTCAATTAATTAATCTTATTATTATGTGCACATCCAAAGATTGAGGACATGAGAAAGAGATAGAGAGATAGAGATAGAGAGAGAAAGAGAATGGAGAGTTGTAAAATACATTTAAATAGACCTATGGAGTTCATTTGTTCAACTTGCAATATAATTGTTTGTGTCAAGTGTACTACATCTACACATCGTGGTCATTTGATTGATGACGTAGAGTCAATCACTCAGAATTTAGACTATAGAGATAGATTGGAGGAGATATGGAAACAGTTGCAACGTTGTGCTCAGATGGTCGACTCTTTCACTCAGACTGAACGATCAATCTCTCAACACTTTCGAGAGTTGTTTGACTATCTCATGGCAGAGGAGCTAAAGATCAAGAAGCCAATCAGATGTGAACGAGAAAAGACTGAGAGGTTGATGGACAATCTCTACGAGGAACTCAAATCACTCAGCAAGATTATCGATTGGAATACAAACAAGGTCGTACCCAACGCCAATGGAAATGTGCAGCACAACTGTTCTAATGACAATGATGATCATGAAGGTGATGTCCATCATCACAGACATAGACATCATGAGTATGACGCCACCGACTACGACGACGACGACGACACTGGATCACTGTGCCAATTGATCAAGGACTCTACATCAATCACAGAGTTTGTTGAAAAGAACATAACAAACAACTGCTACATTGAGGATGAGAGACAATCTTCAGAGCTGCTCAAGAAGATTCAAACATACAAGAGTGCATATGAGAGAAGCGATCAATCAGTGCCCAACTTTTACGACGTCCGCTTCGACATGGGCAAGCTCACGGCCATCAAGGACCAGGTGCACCAACTCTACGAGATCATCGACTTGAACGACACAGACATGCAGATGACCAGTCATCACGTGATCAATCACATTCTGACCGTTGGAGAGAATGGCAATTACATCTTTGACTTCAAGACACTGCAGTGGTCGCACTGCGGCTCGTCCAGCATCGAGGAGAGGTCGCTGCCTTTTAACTCGCTGGTGGCCACCAAGGATCACATCTTTGTATTTGGTGGCTCGAGCACCTCGACTACATTCTCGCGCTACTGTATCAAGTCCAAGAAGTGGGACTACACCGAGAGTATCACCACCAAGCAAGGTGGCTGTGGCATCTCAACATGTTACGATGGTCATCAGTACATCTTCTTGGTTGGTGGTGCGCTAAAGACAGGCCGCGTTACTAGGATAGATCTGTTTGACACCAAATCACTCGAGTTCACGAGGATTGGTGACATGGACTCGCCACGCTCCGACTCCCTATCGTTCTACCTGGACGGCGTCATCTACATTGTGGGCGGCTGCGACAATGCCGGCAAGGAGATCAAGTCTATCCTGGCATTCGATGTGCAGGCCAGTGAGTGTACGACATTCGTCGAGAACATTGGCTTCAAGGAGAGGATCATTGCCAGCTGTTTCGATGGCGACGACCTCGTCTACATACTCGACAAGGAGAAGAACTTCTGTTCAGTGTCCATCAAGACAAAATCTCGCGAGACACTCAACCCACCATTGGAGATACACAACAGCTCGAACAAGTACTCAATGATCTACTGTCCAAAGAAGTACAAACAGTTGTCTGCAGAGATACTGTTCATTGGTGGCAGGACACATCAGAACCACATCTATAACGTAGAGTCAAGACAATGGAGAAAGATTGCCGATGAGGATGCGATATATCGATCATATGATGGTGCAATTGGTTTCTACGACAACTCTTCCTCATCCTCCTCGCCAAATCTCAATCCATCGTCATCCAATGGCCAAACATCTCCTCCAGCGACCAAGCGACTATCATCAATTACGACAACATCATAATTGATTGATTGTGTGAGTTTATTAAAGTATATATACAGTATGATGGATCATAGATTCATCTCCATTAGACAATAAGTGTAGCCATTCTTATCCCATGTGTCACCTTTTGATTGCAGGCCAAATGAGTTGTAGAATGATTGTTTGTTGGCACGTGCATTGCAGAAGAGTCGTTTGATTCCTAGTTGTACAGTGTGTTCAATCATGTGCCGTAGAAGTGTAGTGCCATAGCCACGACGTTGATGTTGCTCCAACGTAGCAAACTTTCTAAACTGTGCTTCTTGTTTATGATCATCGATGAACAGTGACACTACAGATACCAGTTGATCATTGTCAGCATAGAGACCAAAGTGTGTAGTTGAAGGTTCGTCATCCAATTCCAACATTATGAACGACCTCGGATGATCAGGATACATCACGATATGTCTTATGTCCCATGCTTGTTCCTTTGTTATTCGTTTGATCGATGTAGAAAATAATATTGAAGGACTTGGTGATGTTGTGTCTATCATGACGAAGATACATAAGGGATAAGATTGTTGAATGTGAAGCCGAATCTAGACTCGGCGTCACTTAATTTAATGATGGTTGAAGTGAACCAGTTTTTGCACAGATCTTTTGGAACTGCCAGACGAGATTGGAGCCTGGCAGTGTCAATAAAGTATGAGAGTGCAAGTTGTTGACATCTATTTGAAGGAACAGTGAGTCTGATAGTCGTCTGAGTTTGAATGTGAGTTCAAAGCCATTCTTCTCCCTCACAGTCTCAATTTTGAGTTGGACGATCGATGTTGGAAGATCTTGAACAAGTTGCTTGACGTTCTCCAATAAGTGAATTGATCCATACCAAATCAAACAACGCAATGATGGCAATTGTTGGAGCACATCCGGATCAACTGGTTGGTCGTTTCTGTTCAGGTCCAAACTGGTCAATGATTGTGGAAGATTTGAAGCATCCAACTTGTCACGATAACCAGAAAGATACAGTGATTGTACACTTGGGGGTATGATTGGAAGTGGAGTGTCACAATTATCGAATGATAACTTTAGGTTGGTTATGCTACTTGGCAGTGATTGTGAGTCCACAGGTCTGCAAAGTATGATGTCAAGCTCGCGTAGTGACTCGGGCAGTGTAGAGAGATTGAGTGATGATCCATCGGTGGATCTTTGACAGGCGGTAAGCTCCTCCAACACCGGGAATGATGAAGATGTGATCAGTGATAGATCTGATTGATTGACACGTTCAATACTGAGCTGGCGTAGATGTGGATAGGTTGTGTTGAGGGACAGGTTTGACAATGTGCTAATTTTGATACTTTGAAGCGGTTGATGTTCAATCTTGTACGTGTAGTTAGTGCATTTCAGATGGAGTTGAGTGAGCGATGGTGGCAGTTTGGCACCGTCCAGTGGCTCGTCAAATCTGTCAAAGTATATCGAGGTAAGTGAACGTAGATGTGTCAGGTCCAATTTTGGCAGGCGGGCGTAGAGGACGCTTAGTCTGAGGAGTGTCAATGGAAGGTCAGCATATACTATGGGTTCGTCCATTCTACTTGTTGCACGTGATGACTCAATCGACAGAGAAGTGTGGAACATTTCTGAGTTGTGCTGCTATGGCTGCAACATTGTGTTCCAACTTATAGACGATCGTGCATCCTCTGGAGTGCAATGTGTTTATCATGTCAATCAGGATAGGACATGTCCAGAAGCGATCATCAAAAGGGTCATCAATACTATCTTTAAAATATACGCCAATGACCTTTTGTTGCAGTAGTTCAGTCTTCCATCGATCATCCAGTCTATCATCTTGAGTGATCACGTTGTTAGTCAGTCAACCGAACAATCAATCAATCGAACAAACAAACATACCTTTTGAGATGTTTAGGTCGAAACATATCTCCCAGCCAGAGGCATAAGTGTATACCATGACTGTTAAAGTTTTGTTGTTATAATCATTGTCTATTATCTGTTTGTAAGAGTTAAGATATGATGTCACGCAAGGTCTAGCCTTTTTTGAAAAGGCACGATCATTATTCGGGTTGAAGCTCAAGTATGAATGGCGTTGATCAAACAATCTCTTGCACGACAATGACATCACAAATCGATCAGCATTAGCATCTAGATGTTCAACAATCCTTCTCAATATTATCAGAGGTAGTGTATCCATTGATTGCTATTATTATTATTATCTGTTTCTGATTCCTGCAAGGTCTTGATGATCAATGACAAGTTTGATTTATTTGACTTGATTGTCAGAGTGTGGCTATGTTGATAAAATATGAGAGTGCAAAATTGTTGACATCATGATGAAGGAACAATGTATCTGATAGTCGTCTGAGTTTGATCATACGTCTAAAATATCCAGTTCCCGAATTAACTTTTAACAATAACATTAGAATAATAATTGTTGATGGAAGATTTTGAATAAAATACTTGATATTATCTGATTGATTTGATCCAAACCAAGCCAAACAACGCAATGATGGCAATTGTTGGAATACTTCCAGATCAACTTGTTGTTTATGACTGAACAGTTCCAAACTGGTCAATGATTGAGGTAACTTGGAAACATCCAACTTGTCATGATACCCATGAAGTGTCAGTGTTTGGACATTTGGAGGTATGTTTGGCAGTGGGGTGTCACCTTCATCGTATGATATTCGAAGGTCGGTGATTCCATTTGGCAGTGATTGTGGGTCCATCTGTCCGTAATGCGAGATGTCAAGCATGCGTAGTGACGCGGGCAGTGTCGACAGATTGAATTCCTCAAGCTCTGTAGAACCTAGCATGGTTTTGAGCTTCTCCAACACTGGGAATGATGAGGATGTGATTCGTGAGATATCTTTTTGATTGACACGTTCAATAATGAGCTCACGTAGATGTGGACAGTCTGTGTTGGACGAGAGGGACGACAAATCGTGAATGTCGATCTTCTGAAGAGGTCGATGTTCAATCTTGTGCGGGTAGACCATGCATTTAAGACTGAGTTTGGTGACGCTGGCCGGAAGGTTGTATACAGGTTGGTTGAAGAAGCTGTCGAGATAGAGCTCAGTGAGCGACTCTGGCAGTTTAGCACCATCCAGGGGACCTTGTATGCCATCAAGGCTTAGATAGGTGAGCGAGCAAAGGTGCGTCAAGTCTAATGGTGGCTGGGAGGGAACGAGGTAGTTGAGGGATAGGATGTTGAGTGTCGGCGGGAGGTCAGCCAACACAAATGTAGCATCCGATTCGGGATGAATAGTCACCTCTGTGATTGGTATTCTTCGGAGTTGTGATGGTATGGATACCAAATCAGTGATGAGCTCGCATCCTCTTGAGTGCAGAGTGTTGATCATATCAACCAAGATTGGACATGACCAAAAGTCATCATCCAAAAGGTCATCAACACTATCTTTAAAATATACACTCTTGATCCTACGGTGCAGTAGATCATGCTTCCATTCATCATCCTTACTATCACCTTTATTTGAAGTGAGTGAGTGAGTGAGTGAGTGATTGAGTGTCAATCAAACATACGATTGATTTCAATGTTCAGGTCTTCATTCCCCCATTCACCTAGTTCGCCAGTGTATACAAATACTGTTAATTGTTTGTTGTAATGATCATTGTCTATTATCTGTTTATAAGAGTTGAGCAATGGCACTGTTCTGACTTTATGCAACTCTAAAAAAGTAGAATTCATGTTGAAGTTCAAGTATGTATGACGTTGATCAAACAATCTCTTGCACGACAATGACATCACCAATCGATCAGCATTGTCATCGAGCTGTCCAACAATCTGTCTCAATATTATTGGAGGTAGTGTATCCATTACTTGATTATTATTATTATTATCTGTTTTGGTATTATTGAAATGACGAACGAAACATCGAAATGAGGGCCATGACAACTTCAAAATGGAGTGCGGGACAAGAGTCATTCTCAACAAACCCAAGTCACTTATACAGATAATAATAATCTGTTTGTTTAATATTTGTTGATGTCAATTCAATGAATGAATATCTTGTATTTTTGGAACAGTAAGGCGTGATTGGAGCGTGGCAGAGTCGATCATGTAGGAGTGTGCAAGGTTGTTGATATCGTTATGTAGGAACAGTGTATCTGATAGTCGTCTGAGTTTGAATATACGTTCAAAGTTAATGATCCCTGCAATCGTTTGAATGTTGAGTTGGACCACTGTTGTTGGAAGATGTTGAACAAGTAACTTGATATGCTCCATTGATTGAAGTGATCCATACCAGATCAAACAACGCAATGATGATGCCAAATGTCGTAATAGACTTAGATCAACTGGTTGGTCATGTCTACTGAGTCTCAAACTGGTCAATGATTGAGGTAACTTGAAAACATCCAACTTGTCACGATACCAATCAATTGACAGTGTTTGGACACATGGAGGTATGTCTGGCAGTGGAGTGTTCCCATATTGGAATGATATCCTTAAGTTGGTGATGCCACTTGGCAATGATTGAGAGTCCACAGTTCCATAAGGTGTGATGTCAAGCTTGCGCAGTGACGCGGGCAGGGTCGACAGATTGAATGTTGTTGATGACTCGGTGGATCTCAGTTTGGTCTCGAACATCTCCAACACTGGGAATGATGTTGATGTGATCCGTGAGAGTTCTGATTGATCGATAGTGTCAATTGTGATTTGGCGTAGATGTGGATAGTTTGCGTTGTACGCCAAGGTCGATGAATTCCAAATGAACATTGTGTGTAGCCATTGATGTTCAACCGTTTTAGTGTAGTTTGAGCTATATAGATAAAGTTTAGTGACGTTGGATCGAAGGTTATACACAGGTTGTCTGAAGTAGTAGCCAAGTTTGAGTTCAGTGATTGATGGTGGCAGCTTGGCACCGTCCAGTGGCTCGTCTAAGCTGTTCAAGTATAGCGAGGTGAGTGAGCGCATGTGTGTCAGGTCAAAGATTGGCTCGTAGCAAAAGGTTGACTCGAAGCTTAGGCTGAGGAGTGTTGGCGGTAGATCACCCAACAATACGATTCCTTCATCATCCAAATCAAATGGACGAACTGATAGTTCAGTGATAGGAGCATATTGGAGATGTGAAGGTATCGTTGAACTTGATTCTAAATTATAGGCGATCACACAGCCTCTGGAGTGCAGTACATTAAGCAAGTCAACAATGCTTGGAAGTGTCCAGAACTTATCATCCAAAGGGTCATCTGTACAATCTCTAAACATAACATGTTCGATATTATATTGCAATAGTTCATTCTTCCATTCATCATCATCATTATACAGTCCTTGAAGTAAGTAAGTAAGAATGAGTGAGTGAGTGATTGAGCATCATTAGTCAATCAATCAATCAACATCAACATCAATCAATCATACCAATTGAGATGGATAAGTCAATGTTGTCCCAGATGCCAGCTCCTGTATCACCTGTGTATAACAAGATATATAATTGTTTGTCTTTATAGTTATTGTCTATTATCTGTTTGTAAGAGCGAAGGAATGATGTCACTACTGGTCTGGCCTGTGTCAACTGTTCATCAGTATTCATGTTGAAGTTCAAGTATGAATGACGTTGATCAAACAATCGTTTGCACAACAATGACATCACCAATCGATCTACATTATCATCTAGATGTTCAACAATCTGTCTCAATATTATTAGAGGTAGTGTATCCATTATTATATGTTTGTTTGTTTAATTACTGGTATCTGTTGTTATTGATATCACATTAAGTAATGAAGACTTGTTGGTAAATTGATGTTGGCACCAAATACTGCTCTTCTTGTTTTGAGAGTGTCAGATGAGATTGGGCGTGACAGGGTCGACCAAGAATGAGAGTGCCAGGTTATTGTCATCGTAGTGCAGGAATAGTTTATCCGATAGTCGTCTGAGTTTGAATCTTCTTCGTCCATTAAAGAAAGGGAGAGTCATTGTCGTGATGTTAAGTTGGACTGTTGGAAGATGTTGAGCAAGATACTTGATGTATTGAATTGACTCAGGTGATCCATACCAAGTCAAACAATGTAATGATGACAAATGTTGTAACAAAGTCAGAGCAACTCGTTGGTCATCTCTATTGTCGTGTCTGATCTGCTTCAAACTGGTCAATGATTGAGGAAGTTTGAAAACATCCAACTTGATACCAATCAAGTGACAGTGTTTGGACATTTGGAGGTATGTTGGGCAGTGGCTTGTTGCAATGTTCGAATGATATTCGTAGGTAGGTGATGCCACTTGGAAGTGATTGTGAGTCCATCGGACCATAAGGAGTGATGTCAAGCTTGCGTAGTGAAGCGGGAAATGTCGACAGATTGAATATTGTTAACGGGTCTGTAGATGTTAACGTAGTTGTTAACTCCTCCAACAAAGGGAATGACTTGGGTGTGATCCTGGACAGACCTGATTGATCGATCTTATCGTAAATTGTGAGTTGGCGTAGATGTGGATAGTTTGGGTTGGACGACAAGTTGGATGGGTCCAAAAATACATCACTTGTAGCCATTGATATTATATTGCAATAGTTCATTCTTCCATTCATCATCATCCATTCTATCATCTTTAAGTGAATGTGAGTAATTGAGTGAATGAACAAACGTCAATCAAACATACCAATTGGGATGGATATGCCGAAATCGTCCCTGATGTCATCAAGGTACTCAACAATCTGTCTCAATAATATCATAGGTAGTGTATCCATTGATTGCTATTATATGTTTATCTGTTTGTTTATTTGTATTCTTGTAAATGCAATTGAATGAGTATTGAGAGGGGTGAGGATTGATGAAGTATGTTGGGTCAGTCAGTGTCTATCAAGAATGAGAGTGCAAAGTTATTGATATCATGGTGTAGGAATAATGTATTTGATAATCGTCTGAGATTGATACTTTGTTCATTATTACCAATGGTCGTCTCAATGTTGAGTTGTACTATTGCTGTCGGAAGTTGTTGTATCAATTTCTTGACGTCATCAATTGAATCTATTCGTTTATAACAAGTTAAACAACGCAATGATTCCAAATGTTGTAATATACTAAGATCAACTCGTTGGTCGAATCTACACAGTTCCAAACTGGTCAATGATTGTGGAAGATTGGAAACATCCAACTTGTCACGATACCCTTGAAGTGCCATTGTTTGGACACTTGGAGATATGTTGGGCAGTTGAGTGTAACAATTATCGAATGATATTCGTAGCTCTGTGATGCCACTTGGCAGTGATTCAAAGTCCACTTGATTGCATGTTGTGATTTCAAGCTTGCGTAGTGACATGGGCAGTGTAGACAGATTGAATGTTGTAGATTGATCGGTAGGACTTAGTATGATGGTGAGCGCCTCCAAAACTGGGAATGAGCCAGATGTGATCCAGTAAAGATGTGATTCATCGACTTCTGTATATAGTTCGAGCAGGCGTAGATGTAGATAGATTGTGTTGGAGTGCAAGAATGACAAATCGCAAGTGTGGAATCTTTGAAGCGGTTGATGTTCAATCATGTGCGTGTAGTCCGAGCTCAAGTCGATTTCAGTGATGCTGGCCGGAAGATTGTAAACAGCTTGTTTGTTGTCGTAGCCAATATCGAGTAAGGTGAGCGATGGTGGCAGTTTGGCACCGTCCAGCGGTTGGTCGATGTCGCCAATGTGTAGCGAGGTGAGTGAGCGCAGGTGTGTCAGGTCAAAGTTCGGTTCGTGGTGATGGACGTAGTAGAAGTTTAGGCTGAGAAGTGTCGGCGGAAGGTCAGCATACACGATGAACTCCTCCGGTTCGTGAGATGAGCAGCTAATCGACAGTTCAGTGATTGGAACATTTCGAAGTTGTGATGGTATCTTTGCACTGGACTTCAATTTATAGATGATCTCACATCCTCTGGAGTGCAGAGTGCTGAGCATGTCAATCAAGATTGGACATGACCAGAAGTGGTCATCCAAAGGGTCATCCCTACAATCTCTAAACAATACACTCTTGATCTTTAGTTGCAATAGTTCATTCTTCCATCCATCATCCATTCTATCACCTTGATGTGAGAATGAGTGATTGATTGAGTGAGTGGGCGGTCGCGTCATTTGTGTCAATCAATCATTCATTCATACCAATTGAGATGATTAAGTGATACCTTCTTTTCTCACAGTTGCCTTTATAATCTGTATGTATCAATATTGTTAATAGTTTGTTGTTGTTATAATCATTGTATATTATTTGTTTGTAAGAGTTTAGCAATGATGTAGATGCTCTGACCTGTTGTATTATACGTCCATCATCAGTATTCATGTTGAAGTTCAAGTATGAATGACGTTGATCAAACAATCGCTTGCACGACAATGACATCACCAATCGATCAGCATTATCATCGAGCTGTTCAACAATCTGTCTCAATATTATTGGAGGTAGTGTATCCATTGTTGTTATTATCTATCTGTTTGTTTTCTCTGTTTTGGAGAGTGGCTCATATAAAATATGACGCCAACTTCGGGGTGCATTGGCTGGCGGGTAAGGCCTTAACTAATGATTCGCCGAATACCAGGTTTTGCATAGCCCCACATTTAACTTTGTCGTATCCTTGGTTGGCGAGGTCTTAGATTACGGATATTTAGATATGCTTGTATTCGATGAATCATTGTTAGGGCCTTACCCGCTTGCCAACACTTTAAATATCTATCTTCGTTATCTTCTGATATTTGATTGGAGCGAGTGTTCAAAGTACGTCATTTATTCGCCATATATATCTTGGAGTGTCTTGTAACTTTGAGGAAAGTTAATAAATGACAATGGCAACTAAAAACAATTCAAACTTGTTAATTATATCAAAAGAATAATACATAATCAAAGATAACATTAAATATTATCTAATATAAATATTATATAATATGGGTTTATTTTCCTTTATCACAAAACCTATCAGCAGAATATTCCAAGGTGTTGGAAGAGATGCTGGGCGTCAAGTTGGTGAAGGATTGACAGGTGCCGCTGATAGACTCTCCGGGAGTGTGCACGCTGGCAGTGTTAACTTGTCCCAATCGATCTTGGACTCATCATTCAATTATCCAATGCTGGGCTTCATGTGGGTGCAGAACTGACCAGTGCCTCTGATAGACTGTCCGGAAGTGTCCATGCTGGCAGCAATAACCTGTCAAGATCACTCTTGGACTCATCGATCAAGATCTGTGAAGCTGGACTCCAATCAGCAGATATTCTCTCAAAGAGTTTCTCCAACACTGTCCTAAGTTCAATTTCTGAACTCACGAGCCAAGGCCATTCCATCGTGCAAGAACTCAACCAAGGCAATCTCCATGCCCTTTCATCTTTTGCCGACGAATTGGACAAGATATCCAGGAAAAGATCGGACTATTTCAACAAGACAGCCAGAGAAGCCATCAACACCCTCCAAGAAGCCACCAACACCGCCCGCACCCAATCAGAAGCCTGGAGAGCTCTTGTAAGAGATCTCTCAACCAACTTGAACTCCTCAATGAGATATGCCGTGACGATCTATATGGGAATGTACATTGTTGGCATCTTCCTTGCCGTGGTACTCCATGCACTACTGGTCAGTGATCGAGCAAGCAACATTGTGTTTTCGATCATCCATTCTCTGTTCCACATTCTCCAGGATTCGATGGGTGCCACCATTCTCTTTGCCTCCCTCTGTTATGTGTTCCATTCAACCCTACTGTCACCAATTGTACAGTGCTACCAACAAACCAAGCTGGAGGAGATCAAGAGTGTCCTCAAGCGAAAGAAGGAGGAAGATGAGTTCAAGAAAAGAATGATTCAAAGTCAGAGTAAGCAGTCCCTAGGATTCTTCACATAGGTAATTCACTAATAACATTCAACTATTCTAGCAACTTCTATTCTAATTAGGCACCAAATTTGGTGCAACCCAATCAATACAACTGAATTCGTAGTGATCCCAGGAACATCAACGGAGTTTAGATTGACCTGCAGATCAGTGGTGAAGGTCTTGGTCATGAGTCACTGTTCCACCGGCCATCCCACCGATTTGGTTAATCAAGCAATTGATATTAGTAAGTATTGCCTTCTTCATAAGATCACTATCCTTTCACCCTGCTAATCAACAATCAATAGGGGTGTTCATCAATGGCGAAGATATTGGTCCTTCGTTCAACTGCTCTCATGCAAGAGAGTTTGTTCCTTTCAACAATATAGCTATGGTCACTCGAGAGCCTGGTCAGTATACCATTGATGTCCGAGCAATGATGAGATTGAATACTAGTCAAGGATATGTCAATGGACTCTATGGAATCATTGAGCACTATGGTGTTTGATTCATCACTTTGATCTCCTAGTCCAAGTATCATTCCATCAATACTTCAACAACTAATTGTCAATAAACGTATAAATGACATAATAGAAGTATATCATTTGGGAGTCGAGCGACTTGATATGGATAGATACGGCCAATCGTGACCTCGACGGCGCCATCGAGATGTGATGGCGCGTATCAGGTTCTTTATGAAGAGAATGAAAGAATGAAACACCGAAATGAGGGCATTCATCTTCAAAATGAAGCGTGGGAGACTGGTAAAAGAGTCATTCTCAACAAACCCAAGTTGTGACAAATACAGATAATATCTGTTCATTGTAATAATACTATTATTATTTGATTGTTCTACTTTCTCTCCCTATTGCAACAATGACAAAAACAACAACTACAACAACATCAACAATAATCTATGATATACTTAAATATTTAAGATCGGTTGATGGTGCACCTGTTATGTTTGAAGAGTTACTGTTGGAAACAAATATCCATGTAAACAACAACAACAACAACAACAACAACAAACATGTTACACTGGAGCAGTTGATAGAATCACTGCAATCCAATCCAAAGATTAAGTTCTTGGATCAAGATACGATTTGTTTCAATCCTTTATACAATGTTAAATGTTCATCGGACATCATAGAGTTGCTGTGTGATCTTCATCCTGGAGGCATATCATTGGGCGAGTTGATAAGCTACACACACTCCAACCAACATAAACAACAGATATATAATGATGTAGACAAACTTAAAGAGTCTAAAGAGATCTACGTCATAACGTTCAACAAGAAGTTGGACGACCAAATGCTATTCTACAATGATGAACAGTTGAGAATGCCTGTGATTGACAAGGTGTTGACATCAATGTGGATGAGCATTGTAGTGCCCAATGAAGCTGATCTAGAGACTGTGATGAGGGCTGCTGGATTGACACCAGTAGAGTCTGCCGAGCGGGAGCGTTCAATCAAAGCAGTGGCCAAGCAAGAGAAAAGGAAGAGGAAGTTTGCTGAGAACAGGAAGAGGATGATCACGAATACTCACATGGAAGGATTTGATCCATATAACGAAGAATCATCATATTGATAGGTACTTTAATAGATTAATTAATTAATTGAGTGACTGGGATGGTTCCATCACCAAAATTATAATCAATAAACTGATGATCATTAGTGAGTGTGATCACAATATTGATTGATAGTTTGTTGCACGTGTCACATTCAATCAAACAAAGAATGATGTATAGTTGGGGATCAGGAAGAACTGGATTCGGTGCATTCACAGATACACTCACGCCAACACCGTTACCAATACCATCTACAACAACAGCTGATGGATTGGTTGTAGGAGGTGAGACAGCCATCAAGTCATTGTCAGCAGGTAGACTACACTCACTGTTTGTCGATGGTAAGTTTGATTGATCAATCAGTGATGTATCTCCATCACTCACTCAATCACTTACTCACTCCCTTATCATTAGACAAGGGCAGAGTATGGATGTGGGGCGATGGTTCGATTGGACAGGCAGGTGAACAGAAGGATACAGTAATGACACCTGCATTGGTGGATGCAATGGTTGGAGAACAGATTATATCGGTCAAGTGTTGGGATATCAGTTTGGCAATCAGTGATCAGGGTAGACTCTTCAGTTGGGGACCGGCCACATTGTCTGGCTGTCCAATTCAGTTGGATCACATGTCGGGTATCGCAAGACCATCGATGATACCATCACTTAGCAAAGTGTTTATCACATCCGTATCATGCTCATCTGATCATTGTCTGGCCGTGTCAAAAGATGGACTGGCATGGGCATGGGGTGATCCATCATACGGTCGACTAGGTCTGCCACGTATTCAAGTTGAAGACCAGACCATCGTCCGTGAGCCAACCATCATAGTGTCACTCAAAGACAACTCGATAACTGTCACACAGACTGCATGTGGAGAGAATCATTCATTGTTCCTCGACACCAATGGCAATGTTCATTCATGTGGTTATGGATATGCAACTGGCTTTGACATTGAGGAGGATGATGAAGCAGAGGTCGAGGAGGTCGATGGCCAGGCTGTCGATCCAGATGCACCCGAGGTCGAAAGGGAGCTTACCTTTATTTGGGAGCCAACAAGGATCGAGAGTTTGAGTGTAAGTCATTCAATCACTCAATCACGTGGAACTATTCCATTCACTCGCTCACTCAATCAATCAATCAAATAGAATATCATACAGGTTACAGCAGGACTGGTTCACAGTTTGGTGCTGGATAGAGATGGTCTATGTTATGTGTTTGGCTTCAACTTCAATGGCCAACTGGGTAACAATGAGATAGACTCTTGTTACTTTGAACCAACTGTCGTGGAAACACTCAGACATCTAAACATCAGATACATATCAGCTGGAGCTGGCCATAATTGTACAATATCAGGTATGTCATTGTCTATGTCTTGAATCGCAACATGATGTGTACTTACTAATCAATCAATCAATCATATAGATACTGGTGACTTATATATATGGGGTGGCGCACTTGTGGAGAAGACTGGAAAGTTCAGATTGAACATTGCCTTGGGAGATGGAGATGGTGGATTCGCAACAATGCAAGTTCCAATTGCTGAGGATGATGATAAAGAGTAAGGAGAACATAATCATTGATTGATCACAATCACTCACTCAATAACTCAATCAATCACGGAATGATTCCAGTGCCGTGAAGCCAGTCAACTACCTTTTGAATATTGCCTTGGATTCTTCAAGTGATCAGTTACAGGCAGCAAAGCAAGAGAAGGTGTTGATGGATAAGGATGACCTGGGCCAGATCAACTTTTTGTTGTCCGAGCAGATCAATCAATCAAACGCCATCAATCATTTGACACCACAAAAGTTGACGACATTCTCCAGTTTGAATGTGGAGCTGGTGTCATGCGGTTGGCTACATACACTAGCCTACGTGGCTGGTGCCAAGCCGGTGGACAGACTTAGATCATTGTGTATCGATCATCTGGCTGGTCTTGGCTTCTTTGATGAACTTAGTCAGATGATCCCATTGGACCTCATTCCACAACTCCAGAACACACTTCAGTTGAAGAGACGTCACACTGATGAGACCAGACAATTCTTCTCCAGGTACATGGATTCATTTGGTGGTGCAAACCTAACATGGCAATCATACATCCAGATCTTGGCCGATCAATACCAATTCCCCAATTCATGTATCTTCTCGCCAAGTTCAAACACTATCATTGCTTCCAACTTTGGAGTATGTATCGAATGTGGTTCATACCATTACCCTAACCCAAACCCTAACCCTTGCCCTAATATAGGACGATCAGAGTGAATATATCATTAAAAACATAATCAACCTCTTTGATGAAAGGACTCAGGTTACTTCAAACAAGGTGGAGGAGTCTGTGGTTGAGACTGGAGCAGTGTCAGAGTCCAAACCGGAGAAGGTGGAACAACACTTTATACTGTCCAACATCAAGTATTGTATTATAAAGTCCGATAGCCAATCAATCATTGGAATGAATGTAAGTAATATTATGATGTGATCCTCATTCATCCCTTGGACTAACATAATTGACATATCATTTCCAGAATGACAAGGACATATGCTTCATTAGCAAGACAAAGACTTTGATCATTATAGCATGTACATCATCATTATCATTGATCAAGGCAATCACAAACATGTCATACTTTGTTACCTACTTGACATCGTGTGGATATTGATCAACAAAAACAAATAATACCATATTATTGATTGGCACTGAAGCCATCAACTATATTGATTTATTTGGCATTATCCTCGATGATACACTTTGATGCTCGTAGTGCTATTACCATTGTGGGTATGTTTGGATTGCCAGAGATCTCTGGCATTACTGATGAATCCACTACACGTATGTTGGTCGTACCCTTCAGACGAAGACGTGATGAAACTGGTGCCGTGTTGTCATCGTCACTACCCATACGACATGTGCCAATTGGATGATAGCCAGTGTCTGCGTATTGTTTGAACGTTGACATCATATCGTCACGACCATCCTTTAGCTTGCCGATAGGATGCAGAGAGCCATCCATTGCCACTGCTTTGTCCTGACCAAAGCCCAAGAGCACACCTTGTTCCACCAACTTGGCTTGGATCTTTTGACAGGCATCATAGGCTTCGGTCAACATTGTGAACGACTCGTCCTTGTCGCCATTCTTGATGTACTCAAAGTCGAGCTCGGGCACTTCAAACGACTCGCCATCGTTGATCACCGTCTGAATGCGGATTGAGCCATTGGTGCTGGACGGGAACACCTCGCATACACAAGTGAACATCTTGATGCCCAATGGTGCGGCCAGAATGTCAATGTTGTTGTGCCATCTGACCGCCTTTGATGGAGAGTGCAGGTTGAAGCTGCCGCCTGGTGGGCTGTCCTTGGATGGTCCCTTGACCGGTGGCAAGACCAATCCAGCAGTCTTTCCAACGTATGTAAATCGTAGATGATCTTGAAGATTGCGTCCAATGAATGGTGAGTAGATAATCGGTTTGATACCAACTGAAGTCAGATGAGTGGGATCACCAACGCCACTGAATTGAAGAAGTAGAGGTGTATCGTATGATCCCAAGGAGAGCACCAACTCTTTGGCAATTGAAACAAAGACATATGATCCTTCATTATCCAAATCCTTTAGATAGATGCCCTTTGCATTCTTCTTTGGTACACTTGAATCAAAGTCAATCTTCATTGCCTTGTGACGTTGTAGCAACTCAAGATTACCTCTCTTCTCCAACATCGGCTCAACAAACTCAGAGTATGAAGTCTGGCGATGGTACAAGTTATCCTTTGGGTCAAGTTCTATGAATGATTGATCGAGTTAGTTGATTGATTGATCGATCAGTTATTGGGTATGGAATGATTACCTTGTAATGCCTGCTCTGGTGAGAAGCCTTGGTAGTCACCAGTGAGGGTTGGATCACTGTTGAAAGTGTGATTAAGGGCAAGCATGGCCTTTTTGATGTGCGGTTTGAATCCATCTTGTTGGTCGGGAATACGGAAGTTCATTGTTTGACGTAGCTCCTTCAATATGTCTGCGGCAACCTTCCAACTCCAGTTGTTATCACCAGTTTGCAGTGCCCATTGGTCGTACATATCAGCACTTCCAATATGCACCTTCATGCCATTGATGGCATTGGAACCGCCACAACATTGACCACGAGGACTCTTCAAAGTTCGATTATTCAGCATTGTGTTGACCTTGGTGTAGTAGTACTTGGTGATGTCTGTGTTTGGATGAATAACAAAGTTCTGGCCGTAGGAGTAGGTGTTTTGGGCTTCGTAGACTGGGCGGTATGGTGGCCATCCACCAGCCTCCACCAACAACACATGGTTGGCACTGTCGGCAGATAGTCTGTTGGCAACTATACAACCTGCAGAACCAGCACCAATAACTACATAATCGAATTTAAGTTGTTTGGTAATATTAAGTTTATCATAACCAGGGAATGATGGACTCTTTGTTGGTGGTGGACGCTTCCCTCCTGTCTCTGCTGGTGACAACAATCCACCTTCAACAATAATAAATATTACTAATAATAATAATAACAATAATGTCGTAGTTCTAATTATATACATTGATTATAGTTGTTGTTGTTGATTATATTTGATTGAATTATTGATTGAGGTGATTGATTAATTGGCTGATCATGTGATTTGGATTGAATGAGTGCTTGAGTTGATTATATAGATAGAGGGATTGTATACAATTGTAATCGTTCCAGCCACGCTCGGATATTGTCAAGACCATCCGTATCCGTCTGGCAATCCGTCCATTCATTCTTGGTTTGTGGGTAATGAATGAATGAATGACAATAATAATAATAATCATATACACACTTGTATCTATCTCTAACTCTCTCTATCTCTTATCTCTATCACTCAGACTGCTCGGTATTATGATATCTCCATCTTTCAATCTTTCAATCTTTCAATGTCTATCTCTTTATTCCAATAATAACAATGCAATGTTGATGTTGTTATTGTATGTTGTTATCTTTGTAGACATGTGCCCCACACACATCATCTTGAACTCCCTACAACAATCGTTTCAAACGACACTCACACTCACTTTCAGATCTTAAACATCGATGTCCATCATCCACTCGTTTAACTAACTATATGTTGACTTATTATATATCTTAGGTGAATTGTTGTATAACATATATATGTTAGTCAAAGATAAAGTACTGATCGATCAATCACCAAAGTTGGTAAAGGGGCACGAAAAGTCCCTAGAAATGGGCTGACATTTGGCCTCACTTTTAACCTGGACCTCCCAAAAACAATACATTGGAGGAGACCTTCAAAAGAGTGATAGAGATATATACATACAAAGATATATATAGATAGAGAGATGATTGATCCAGATGAAGAGGATATGCCATTAGAGTACTATTTGTACGAATGGCCTGATCAGAGTAAACAATTAACAAGGTCAATGCATATAAAGAATAAGGTCGAGGACTACTTTAAATCAAAGGTGGCACTGCCAGAAGATCACAGGGCTTCAATATGGCGATCAATATCACATCTAGATGCTCTACTTAACAACCCTGCAAACTCTGACACTTATAAAGTAAATCAATCAATCGATCGACGAATCAACGAATCAATCAAACATTAACATGTTATTATGTTTATGTAGCTCAATCTTAATACACCTCAAGCAGACATTGAGTCGGATGTGGCGACAGATGCAGCGAGGACATACCCATCAGATGAATATAAACATAAGCTGAAGCAGAAGCAACTAGACAAGTATGTATTGTTCATCAATGGGATCATTCCAACAAGCTAACTTTCAATCACATCACATCACATCATAGTTGTAAACAATCATTGTTCAATGTACTTAAAGCCTACGCGATATATAACGAAGAGGTTCAATATACACAGGGCATGAACTATCTAGCACTGATACTATTATGCTACTTTGGTGAAGAGGAATCATTCTGGATGATGGACATATTGATAAAGAAGCATGGTGTAAGAGAAACCTCAATGATTGAACACGACACGACGACACGTGACATGTGACTGACTTGACCCTCTCATAGATGCGACACTTCTTCACCAAGAACAACACGATACTTCCATCATACATCAAGATATTCGAGATGGAATTGAATGTCCAGTTGCCCAAACTATCACGGCATCTCAATGACTCTGGCATCCAAGTGTACATGTTTGTTCAATCATGGTGGAGCACAATCTTTGTATATATATTACCTGTACAGTCCATACCTATAATATGGGTAAGTCTCATGGTCCATGGAATTATTCCATCCACTCAATCACTCACTCAATCACTCAATCAATCAATCAAACATACTTAGGATTACTTCTTTTGGGGATCGAATGGAGTTGGCATTGAAGTGTTGTTCAGATTGAGCATAGCATTGTTGAAGATGTTGGATAAGAATCTGGTCAATATTAATATGATTCAGTTCTTTGATACGATAAAGGTTCAGACGCCACAGATTGATCCACTCGAGTTGGTCTATCTGGCAAAGGAGATCGTGCTGACTGATGACACATCGAGATTCCTACGTGACAAGGCGTTGTCCCTGTCAAAGTTTGAGGATGGTGCATCATTCGGTCGACATTCAATGAGCAAAGCAATAGCCAAGGCCAATGCCATGGCAACATCAAACAGTATCAAATCAACATCATCATCAAGCAGCAGCAACAGATATGGTATCATTAATGGTGATAGACAATCGACTACATTATCTAAAACAACTACAAGTACTACTACGACTACTACTTCACGGCAAAGTCAAGATGGACGACAACAACAGCAAGCAGCGGCAGAGGACATTCACGACGATTCCTCCGACACAGATATTGAGAATTTGATCTTCATCAGTGATGATGATGATGGTGGCACTGACGACGAGGACGAAGTATATACTTATAACAGTGCAAGTCTTGAGCGCAAGGATGGATGTATCATATCATGACCGATCAATAAACTCCAGTGGATCTTGCGGACTTCGATGTTGGTGGATCAGTGGACCATCCAATCAAATGATGGATTTTTTTGATTTTGATTGAAGGTCTGGCTAGAGCCATCCAATACCTTTATGGGCACAAACCGCGTTTGCAGTACATTACATCGGGATCACAACTTTGGTATCCAACATATTCTTTCAAATGCAATTCCAAAACATACATATACAACTAGTATTACAACTACTACTTGGTATTGCACTGATCAGTGTTGGTACCAATGCTCAACCATCATTGTCCCCACAGCCACAGTCGATAGAGTATGGACAAGGAGTGATGCCAATAGATGTGATCAACTTTTCATTCAACTTTACCTTTTCAGGTATTCTATACGCAGCCACTGATCGATATGAAATGCTATTCTTTATGTTTGGCAATGGCAATCCTAATGTCATGGCTCAACCCATTTGTCTCCAGATCAATGTCGAATCGGACAATGAAGACCTGTACCTCGGCGTCGACGAATCCTACGAGATAATGATCACCAACACCTCGGCAAGCATCGAGGCCAACACAGTCTATGGTGCCATTCGCGCACTCGAGACATTCTCTCAACTGATCGTTTGGGATCAGTACGAACAGACCTACAACATCCCCTACACACCCATAACGATCAAAGACTTTCCTCGATTCCCTTACCGCGGCATCTTGGTGGACAGTGCCCGCCACTTCCTGCCCGTGGACTTTGTAATGCACGTCATTGACGCATTGGCCTACAACAAGTTCAACACGATGCATTGGCATATCGTGGATGCACAGTCATTCCCCGTTCAATCAACTGTCTATCCAAATCTGACTAAGGGAGCATTCAATCCCGTTGCCACCTACTCCCACAGCGATATCTCACAAGTAGTCTCCTACGCCAAGGACTGGGGAATCCGTGTAATACCCGAGTTTGATGTCCCAGCTCACTCTGGATCATGGGGTATTGGTTATCCAGGTATGTCTGATAGTTCACTGATTGGAATGATTCCGCCCCACACACTGACACTCACTCAATCAATCACTTAGAACTTGTGATCAACTGTTCATATCCATCAACTCAGAATAATATGATGTTCAATGTTGCACTTCCTTCGGTTTATACATTCTTGGGAAACTTCTTCAAGGAGATGAGAGAGTTGTTCATCGATCAATATTATCATTTAGGAGGAGACGAAGCACCAATAGATTGTTGGGGCGAGAACCCTCAGGTAGCCCAATGGATGGCTGACAATGGATTCAACAGCACACAGGCAGAACAATACTTTGAAGATCATATGATCGATATATTGAATGGACTAAACGGAACTAAACTGATGGTATGGGACGATCTCATTGCCAACGGTCTACAACTGCCCGTGAAGGACACGATCATTGAGGTCTGGGGCGAGTCAAACGCACAGGTGAGCGTCGACCTCGGATACCAAACAGTGATGGCATATCAATGGTATCTAGACCAACAGATTCCTGACAATGTGGAACATGACGAGTATGAGGACACTTGGCAGACATTCTATCAGGCCGACCCCTTGGACAACCTAGTTCGCAATCAGGAATATGTGATTGGAGGCGAGGCATGTATGTTTGCCGAGCAGGTCAATATGTTCAATTGGGATGGCAGAGTATTTCCAAGATCAATAGCGATTGCCGAGCGATTGTGGTCCGATCAGTCTGTAACCGACATCAATGATGCGCTCAATCGTTTCAACATCCATTCATGCAGGTTGGCCACACGAAGTGTTGCCTCTGGACCACTCCAGCCAAGCTTCTGTCTACTTCCTCCCAACAATAACCAATACCGTATGAAGCCAATTGGACGTCCAACCAAATAAACACGTTTGAGACGATCATTGTCCATACCCTACCATTTCCCTACCCTCGCCCTCGACCCCTCAGTTTCCTTGAATTCAATCATTCATTCTTGTTCTTTCGTTCTTTCATTGTCAATTACAACATACTTATAAACATGTCATGTTGTTGATCCCATGAGTATGATGGAGGACATATCATTCTCATTTGATGATGTTGATGACATCGTACCATCAGGAGAAGTCAACAACAATACAAACTCCAACTCCAACGATCACATCTCAAATGAAGACATGAAACAGATAGTTACAATGTTACTCGATGCAAGATACCATCCATCACAATGGACACAACAGTCAACTCAACGAGCATTACAATGGTCTACATATCTTTCAAATGTATGAGTACCGTTATCACTTGAGACTGACCCAACATACTTACAACTCAATCAAGGTCGTTGCATCACTACCATCAATAGACATAAAGAAACAGGTGTATGATAAGATGTGTATGATGATGAATCAGGTGGCAGTGGAGAGGAGAGTATATCCTATTGATATCAAGTATGATGATATGATCAATGTTGTTGATCTACTGATTGATTTATGGTTCGATCATCATACATTGAGTGAATGGCATCTACAACTATTCCTAACAGAGTGTATCAAGCATAATAATGGTAGACCATCAACAAGATTGACAAACAAGCTCACATCAATCACCAATGCCCGTGTCACAATCAATACATTGTTGCCCAATATCAACCAGATACTGGTCAGCACGACTAGTCCAGTGGACTTGTACCAAGATGACAACCTCAGGAAGAAGGCATGTGCACGTATCATACTTGGACGACTGGCCAATGACCCTCCCTTCAAAGGCGATGTCACCAAACAATCTGAACTCTTGACCGAACTACTGCGATCAGAGTCCAACTTCAACCTCTACCTCTGGATGATGTACCTGTCAACATCGAGCACTGACCACATGGCATCACTGAACAAGTTGTTGATCGATGTGTTGCGCAAGGATAATAAGGTGCGTGCTCAGTTCAACCTATCGTGCGACATTAGTCTGTTATTGGCATTGATATCGATTGATCGCCACTTCTTTGACTTCCACGTACAGACATTGTTCACTATTGCCGATCATTATATATTCAAATTCCAATCGCCGAATGAAGAGCGCGCAGCAATGCTACTGCAGAAGCTTAGAGCACTGCGATCATTGTCACGCAACAATGACATACAGAGAACACTCGAGCAAAAGATCAATGCCATCGTCACCAAGTCAACAAGTGGTGCAGGAGTCAAAGTGATCAATAGATCAATATTCGAAGCGATACAGTCAATCATTAGGTAGATCAAGATCATGATCAGTGATATAATATCAGGTCACAAAGGGTGACAGCATGGCCACCCTGGAACTCAAGAATGATTGGTCTTGGTTATATCTGTATGACATGGATGGCGACATTCCGAGCCCGGGCCAATGCTTCGCCTCTATTGTTAGTGTGCGTGAGTGTGGTTTGTGGTGATCAGTCCACTCCCATCATTGGATGTTATGTAAAATTTCCACAGAACCTTGCACCAACTTGCGCATGTTTATCCAAAACTGTCAAAGGACGCATTGATTTGTGTCAACATTAAGATCGTATGTCCTGACATCGCCAGTATAGGCATACTTATTTATCAAGATCATTATTAATATAAATAACAACAACAATCATATTACTACTTATTTATTTATTAATAAATGGCACCACCACCTGTTCCTCCACCAAGGACATACCCAACAGCCAATAAACCAGATGCAGCTGCAACAGCTGCAGCTACTGCTTCTGGACAACAGACACCTCCACCACAGCCAAAACAACTACCACCACAGCCACTGCCACAAATACCAACACAGCCACAACAACAGCCACAAACACAGCCATTCTCATACTCCCCTCAACCACAACCACAACAATCCATTGTAAACCTTGGCAAACAATTGGATCAGTCATCAGTCCCGCCAGTTGCCTCTGCACCAGTAGCATCAGCACCAAATGGATATGGACCTCAGACTCCTCCACCAGGTCATGGATCGACTGCCAATCACTACCAGCCACAACAGCAGTWATCTTCCACAACACCAATATCCTCCACAACAATACCCTCCACAACAACAATACCCTCCGCATCAGCAGCAGCAGCAGTATCCTCCACAGCAATATCCTCCACAACAACAGCCATATCAAGGTGCATATGGCTATCCACAGCAGCAACAACAATCACAACAGCAGCATTATCAATATCCTCCACAACAACATCAACAACTGTTGGCAACTAAATGTTCAGTAGTAGAGTGTGGCTATGGCGCCGAGCCGGGCTATACCTCTTGCAAGATACATATGGCTCAGCCAGCTTATCCAGGCAGTCTACCTACAATGCCAGCACATGGAGCAATGCCTGGAGCTGTACCATATGCAACAACAACAGGAGTAGTGGCAGCACAACCAGCATCAGCAGTAGTAGTAGTATCAGATAGTAAATCACACAAGAAGGACAAGAAAGATAAAAAGAAAGAGAAGAAAGAGAAAGAGAAGAAGAAAGAGAAGAAGGAGGCCAGGAAGGAGACGCGAAACAATATCATCGAATCAATATTCGAAGCTGTAGTCGATGTTGCCTTTGGTGGTGATGAATAACAACATAGTGTGAGTGATATATGTACAATCAATCTAAACATATAATATAATATATATATAACAGTTGTTATACAACCATTCATTATCTTGACCTACTACAACGTGGATGGGTTTGGGTTTGAAGAGGTGCGGGTGGGTGTGGAGGTCCTCTTTCTAAAGAGAAACAAGTTGTTCAAGGCCCACCAGTTGTGGGTGTGAGCGTGTCCAGGTGTAGGATGGGATTGTTGTTGGTGGAGTGTGTGGGTGGATAAACACAACTCTCAACAATATGGGTATTAGGTGATTGAGAGTGTGAAGGTAATTGTTGAAGGAAGGATAATAACATTTAATATTTAATTCAATTTAAATTATTGTTGTTGTTGATATTACTTAACACTTACACATACACATACACAATGCTAACACATCATACACAAGGGCATTACTACGGCATTATCACTCAAAGATAGTGCGATTGATTGATACCATTGTTAGAAGTTTAGTACAAGACACCATTACAATATTGTTAAACATTATTATTTGTACATAAAGAAAGAGATAAACTAATATTAAAGATTGTAATAATAACAAGTTATATATATAACTTAATATCTATCTATTAATTTATTTATTGGATGAACTTTATGATGAGGTTGGTTCATTTAATCAGAAAATCATCAAACTTACTATCATCATCATCATCTCCATCATCATCATCATCTATATTGACAACTTCGGAATCTGATACGGATAAAATGAGTGCCTCAGCCAAGAGGGTCGTTAGAAGTGTTGTATTGAGTCCACCTACCAGAAATGGCACTGGCACTGGTATTGGAAATAGTGGAAGGCACGCACAACCTACCCAACACCAACACCAGCATCATCAACAACACCAGGGCAACAACAATAACAACAACGGCAGTGGCAGTGGCAGTGGTAGTATTAGAGTAGTGAATTATAGACGTCATTATCATCATAACAATCATCATAATAATCATAACCAACATCATAATCACAATCATAATCAAAACCATCACAACAATCATCACGATTCATCCTCGTCCATTGTCCATACTACGCCTAGGAGGAAGAGGGTTTTCAAGTACTCCTATATCAAACAAAGGCCAAGAGGACGTGTTGTGAGGGCTACCTTGAGTGAGACGAATCCCACCACCGCTCTGACCCAGCATCCACAAACTACCTCTACCACGCATCAGAGGCTTGAGAATACAAACCAACAATCCCAATCACAAGCACAATCACAACATATTGCAGCAGCTCCAAAGTCCAGAGACCATCAAGAATTTGAAGAAGTGTTCCAAGAGGAAGAAGAAGACCAGGATCAAGACTACGAAGAGGAACAAGACGAGGACAACAACAACGACGACTGCGACGAAGAAGAGGAATATATAGTCAACCAATCAATGAGCACAAGGAGATCAGGCAGCACCGGTGCTCAAGCTTATAGGTCACCCTACCATCTACCAAGTCATTCATCACACGCTCACGCTCATTCCAATCACAGCTACACCTCAACAACAACAACCACCACCACATCGACAACAATGCACACAGCGGTACTGTCAGCAATCCAGATCAATGATCTGCAGAATAGAGAGTTGACACCAGAGGACTACAGTCTCCTATTGTTGCTGGACAACTCTGTGAAGCCACGCACGGCACCAGAGAGCATTGTGCGCTCGTTCCCAGTGGAGCGACTGACGGACGCCCACCAACAACGCTGTCCCACCTGCATGGTGTGTCTGGTCGACTTTGAGAAAGGTGAACAAGTGACCGTCATACCCAAGTGCAAGCATGTCTTCCACACGCCATGTATCACCAACTGGCTGACCAAGTCATCCACCAAGTGTCCAATCGATGGTCTACTCTGTTATGATCAATAATAGGGATATAGTATAGTATATTATAGTATATGTTTATGTATATGTATATAATCAATCGATCAACCACCCTCCATGTTCCAGTCCCGAAGACTAAGAACAACCATCATCATCTCTTGTATATAGTGTAAATCAAACATTCGCGATAATAAATAATAATAATAATTCTACCTTGTGTCAACATCATCCAACCAAAGTTGGGTTGTACTTTCAAGAGCAGGATGCTTCCAAGAGGAGTGTGTCCTGCTCACACGAACCAAACCAAATACCTTACAAGAGCAGGATGCTCCCAGAATGTGGGTAACGTTGATCAAGTTTGACGACTCGTTCGTTCGGTCGTTTTCACAATTAAAGTTGAGATTTGATTTCATTATTTCTATCTCTATTCACTCACTCACTCATTTAATCATTCATTTACATTCACTGATCACTTATACATATACATATATTAATAATAATGGATAGAAAGAAACTTTCAGTTGGTACCAAGTCACATGCCACATCGAACAGTGGCAGGAAGTTGGTTGGTGCACCCAAGCCAGCCGCTGTTGTTCAAAAGCAGACTGCTGCTGTTGTAACAAAGTCATCACAAACCAATGGAAACAACAAGAAGCAACCACAACAGAAGAAGAAGATTATTGAGGAGGTTGAAGAGGAGGAGGATGACGAGGAGTTGGCACTCGATGATGATGAAGAGCTATCACTCGATGGTGAGGATGAGCTCGATCTCGATGACGAAGACGAAGATATAGTCGATCATCCAAATCTTACAAAGAAGAAGTATGTTTGATTGATCGATCAATCGATTCAAATTAACAACGAACTAACAATCATTCAATCAATCAAATATTAAAGTTTGTTGGATAGTGATGACGAGGATGAAGAACTAGTTGTGAAGAGTGGAGATTTGAACTCAAAGACAAAGGCATTCTCAGATAGCAACAAGTCATGGCTGAAAGTTAGAGGTGATGGCGATGATGAGGATGACGAGGATGATGAGGAGAACGATGGCGAGGACGAAGAGGATGATGAGGATGAGGAGGGATTGACAGCATTCGAGAAGAAGAGCAAGGCTCTCCAGAAGAAGAGAAAGCAGATGGAGGAGGAGAATCAAAAGGAGATGATCCATGGCGAGTTTGGCGATGAGGATCGTCTGGTCCTGCCATCGGGCCAGGAGATCAAGAAGGAGAACATATTTGGTGTCGACCTCCAGGAGGTGTACCAGCGTGTCAAGGACGTGATCAAGACTCTGGAGAACTTCACCAAGGAGCGCGACCCCGAGATCACGCGTCCACAGTACATGACACGTCTGCGCGACGATCTCGCCACCTACTTTGGCTACTCTGCATGGCTCATCGACGTCTTCCTCAAGATCTTTGCCGTGGGCGAGTGTCTCGAGTTCCTCGAGGCCAACGAGCAGCAGCGTCCGCTCACCATCCGCACCAACACCCTCAAGACCAAGAGAAAGGACCTTGCCGATGTGCTCGGCACCAGAGGAGTGCATCTCGAGGCAATCAAGTGGAGCCAAGTCGGCCTGACCGTCTTTGACTCGCAGGTGGCTATTGGTGCCACCCCCGAGTACCTTGCCGGCCACTACATCCAACAGTCGGCCTCTTCCTTCCTGCCAGTGATTGCCCTCGAGCCCCAACCCGAGGAGCGTGTGCTGGACATGTGCGCATCACCCGGTGGCAAGACCACCTACATCGCTTCGCTCATGAAGAACACCGGAGTGTTGGTGGCCAACGACATCAACAAGGATCGTATGAAGTCACTGGTGGCCAACATTCATCGTCTAGGCGTTCGCAACGCCATCGTCTCCAACCTGGATGGCCGCGAGTACCCCAGCCGCATGGGAGGCTTTGACCGCTGTCTGGTGGACGCGCCCTGCGTCGGCCTGGGCGTCATTTCCAAGGACCCCCAGATCAAGATGAGCAAGAGCGAGAAGGACGTCACCATCTGCACGCACATCCAGAAGGAACTGTTGCTGCACGCCATCGACTCAGTGGACGCCGGCTCCAAGACGGGCGGCATCATCGTCTACTCGACCTGTTCGCTCACGGTCGAGGAGAACGAGGCCGTCGTCGACTATGCTCTAAAGAAGCGCAACGTGCAGTTGGTGGACACCAACATTGAGTTTGGCGTGCAAGGCTTCACCAACTACCGTGAGCAGCGATTCAACCCAACACTGATCCTCACCAAGCGATTCTATCCACATACACACAACATGGACGGTTTCTACGTTGCCAAGTTCAAGAAGTTGTCCAACGATATTCCAGTTTCAAACGCCAATGACAACAATGAGAATGAGAATGCATCATCATCAGATAGTGGAAAGAGTAACAAGAAGCAGAAACTTACAAACAACAACAATAACAAGCCAAACAACAACAAATCAAACAACACCAACACCAACAACAACAATAACAAGCCAAATAAGAAGTCAACAAGCCACAACAGATATAAGAAGACTGCTGATCCAAAGCCAAAGAGCAACAACAAACAGAAGAAGAAGTAATACAACTATAATAAACAATAAATACTATAGTATACTCCAATCACAAATGTTATCAATCAATCAATCAATGTTCAACCAAAAGGCAAATACCATGACCAGTGGGTTCTGTCGGTCGCTTGGGGAGGACACTGTTCATCTAAAATCATGTTTCTGTGAATGATTAGATATCTGATGACAGACTTCTCAAAGGAAGAGTTCTTCAAGGCTCATCGTCGCTCAACTCAAATGTTTGTCCAAGGACAAGTTGTCAACATTTATTCATTCAATCAATCGATCATAGTACATCAAGTACATATATTTATTATTTCATGTTATTTGGTTGACAATCAACAATCAGATCCAAAGCAGATTTAAATCTTAAAAGGGAGACCCTTCGATTTGAAATGGCCCGTAAGTATCACCTGACGACACCACAGTCACAACATCACCCAACGATTCTTTGAATGAATGTGTTTAGTTTGTCGGATTGAATTATTTAATTGTATTTGAAACACTTCTATTATTCATTCATTGTATTATTAGTTAACTAACTATTTCTAAAGCAACCAATAATTCATCACTTAAACAAAGATTCGAACAGTTCTTGAATCTAAACAGAAGTAGTGGATCGCATAATAGACAACAACAACAACAACAGCAACAACAAGAGGCAGCAGAATCTGAAGAGAGAATAAGGAAAGGTATGACCCATCATCATCATCATCAACATACAACAACAACTTTGTTGTTACTCATGAATTTCATAGTCTGGTCAATGATCATCCATCCTTGATTGAATGATCATTCATTCATTCATTCACCATCGTCATCTAAACATCCAACACACACACACATAACTTATGTATCTCATTAATCAATCAATGATTACATCATGTTCGTATCGTCCACGATGTGTGTATGTGTTTGATCCGATCATGATCAACAACCCCATCACCACTACCACGATGTTGAGTGAGCCAGTGGATAGATGTTGAATCGATGTGTGTGATCCAACAACACCCCCCTCCCGCCAACACTCTCTTACTCTCTCACTCTTTCACTCTCTCTATCTCTATCTATAACAAACAAACAAACAAACAACATTATTATAATTTATAAAAGGACCATCAATCAACATCTCCTTCATCTCCTTCATCAACTTCATCACAATATATAAATACACGATCCTAACAATCTGCACAACTCCTGTTCATTCGACCATTGACCAACGACAGAGAAGAAAAGGTTTCTAGCAAGAGGTAGCCAATAAGTCTGTCATTGGACTGTCTTACAAAGCATCACCTAGCAAAGATAAAGACAAAGACAGTAGCAACAACAATAACGATACAATCAGCAAGAAGAAACGTCCAATATCATTCACCACATCAACAACTCGTCATTCATTCTCACCAGAGATAAAGGTAGAAGAGATAAAGGTGTCATACTCACCGCCTATAATGTCGTCCACTCAAACGACCAATGGCCACGACTCTGGCCAGCCAGCGCCAGCGCCAGCCAAGTTCACAATCGATGAGAACGAAGCAGACAATGAACCGCTGGAGCTGGATCCAAACTCACCATGGGACGTCAACAGAGAGAGAGTGGTCAAGCTCATCTATCGCATGCGTAACAATCTGACAATTGATGGCATTCGCAACGTGCTCGATCAGCTGCATCACGCCATGGCCATGCCCACTGACGACTCCTCAAAACCAGCGAGCATCGTCGCTACGCCCACCATTGCCACTCCGGACAATGCCAGCGAGGACGACGAGAAGGAGATCGAGCAAATGAGAAGATTGCGAGAGATCCAGAGACTCAAGGAGGAGGAAGACGAGAATGATGAGCGCATTGCTCAGGATCTGGCAAGGAGGAGACGCGAAGAGGAGGAGAGAATCAAGCGTGAGGAAGAGGAAGAGGAAGAGGAGCAACGCGCACATTTGGCAAGACTGCGTGAGATCGAGCGATTGAAGCAGATCGAGATTGAAGAGGCTGAGGAGCTTCAGCGTCTGGCCGCCAGCAATAACCAGGGCTCATTCTCAAACCTGTCATCCACCACATCCAACTCGAGTTCGGTGTCACCGCGCTCCAACTCTTGGCGCGCCAGCAGCGAGAAGAAGTCGAGCGCATCTCCTGACGCCCTCCCCGCGCCACAGGTCGTGGTACCAGCCGTCTCTTCCAATGGCAACTCCACATCCGAGAGGAACAGAAGTCAGACAATGGCCACCACGCCACAAGAGTCATCACCCAAGGTGACACGATCACAGAGTGGCAGCAACCTGTCAGTGATGTCATTGCCGTCACCACCACCCAACCCGCAACGTCTGGGTACATCGACCTCTGCACTGAATATCATTTCAGCCTCGCCAGACAGCGTTGTCACATCGCCCGCCGTCGCCAACTCACCGCGCCGCAAGGAGTCGCTGAGCGCACCAGACAACAGCAAGAAAAAGATGTCCGTGTCGCTCGATAAGTTGGTGTCGCCATCGTCCTCTGACAAAGAGAAGGGCAAGGGCGAGGTGAAGGAGTCATTCTTCAACAAGCTGTTCTCGAGCAGAGGCCAGAAAGCCAAGAAGCGTCTTTCCCCAAAGGTTGGCATTCCCTTCAATGTCAAGCATGACGTGCACGTCAACTTCAATGTGGAGACAGGCTTTGAGGGTCTGCCCAAGGAGTGGGAGGTGCTGATCAAGTCCAACTTCCAGGAGAGCGAGGTCATGGAGAAGCCCGAAGACGTGCTCAACGTTGTCAAGTTCCATGCACAGTACAACAACCTGGACGGTGGCCCCAATGGCCAGCACTCAGTGCCACCACCCCAGCAGACCCCGGTGCCTCTCGAGAATGAGACGCCCGTGACGCTCAACGAGCTTATCAGTCTGGAGGACCCCAAGAAGATATACAGCAGCATCAACAAGATTGGCGAGGGTGGTGCCGGCGAGGTGTTTGAGGCCGTAAGCTCACGCAACAATCAAACGATTGCCATCAAGAAGATGAAGCTCAAGGCGCAGAACCTCAAGACGGTAATCAACGAGATTGGCATGATGAAGAACTCCAACCATCTCAACATTGTACAGTACATCGACAGCTACATCGTGGCGGACGAGCTCTGGGTGGCCATGGAGTACATGGGTGGCGGCTGTCTCACCGAAGTGCTCGACCAGTACAGCGAGATTCAGCTCACCGAGAACCAGATTGCATTCGTCGTGCACGAGGTCCTCAAGGGTCTGGCCTACATCCACAAGTTCAACCGCATCCATCGTGACATCAAATCCGACAACATCCTAATCGGATGCAATGGAGACATCAAGCTTGCCGACTTTGGATACGCCGCTCAATTGACTCAGAACAAGCAGACAAGAAACTCTGTTGTTGGTACACCATATTGGATGGCACCTGTATGTGTTTGATCGATTGACGTACCTGCTTGCACCCGCCCCACATACTTACCAATCTTACGACAACAGGAATTGATCAAAGGTAATAACTATGACTTCAAGGTGGATATTTGGAGTTTGGGCATTTTGACAAGAGAGATGGCAGAGGGCGAGCCTCCCTATTTGGAGTTCCCTCCACTGAGAGCACTGTTCTTGTTGACAACACAAGGTCTACCACCCATCAGAGACTCATACAAGTGGTCCAAGGAGTTTAATGATTTCCTGAGCAAGACACTTGAGAAGGATACTGCTAACAGACCATCAGCAAGCGAATTGTTGAATGTAAGTTATAATCCTTTTGTCAACTCACTCAAATGTGATCACGTGACTAACACCTTACCTACCCACCAATTAGCACCCATTCCTCAAGAAGGCATGCTCCAGCACACAATTCTACAAAGCAGTTGAGGCAGCCAAGGTTGCCAAGGATAACCAAATCCATCAATTGAACAACTTCTCATAACAAATATTAGTACAATCAATCATTCAAATAGTTTGGTCATTCACTCACTCAGTCAATTCGATCGATCATCCATCCATCCAGTCATTCCAATCAATCACAATGGATGGAATTCTGTGAGACGAATGTCATGTATGTAAACATATAATAATAACAACATTGTATTTGTGTGTAAATGGTGTACCAGTCCATCAATCTGGCACAAGCAACAAATGGTTATTTATTTAAATATTTGAATTTAAATTTTAACGGTTTGGTTTGTGCAACAGAAATAATAATTGAAAGGGGTGATTGTTCACACCAGTTAGAATGTGTGTATGTTTGCAATCAATCATTGTTGAGATATAGATAGATATATAAATAATATAGAGAGATTACTTACCTCACTCTCTTACAACAACAAACAACACTATAATAATGTCTAAAACCAAGAAAGATACAATCAAATCAATCATTTCAGAAGTCGAGGAGGATAATGACGATGTCTTTGATTCTGATGATGTCCCGTCGTCGGTAAAGGGATCAACAACCACAACAACAACAACAACAGCAACAACAAAAACTACTAGTAATGGCAATGGCAAGAGTGGGATAATCAATAGTGCCAAGAAGAAACCAGCTTCAGTACCGCCACCTACTATGTCAAAGAAGAGAGATGCCAAGGAGGTTGTAGATGCCCTGGATCAAAGAGAACAACAACAAAAGAAGATGAAAGTTACAAGGAGACAGCAACAGCCATCTGAAGATGATGATGAGGATGAGGACGAGGAAGAGGTCGAAGATAATAAGAAACGTGAAAACAGAGCAACTACAACGTCAGAGTGGATTAAGAAGAATCCAGTGAGGGGCGCCAAGCAAGTGGAGGAGGAAGATGATGAAGAGGATGATGAGGAGGAACATGTTCAGAGGTACACGAATCGAGTTCCCAGAACTATAACGACGCCAACTAAACAAATTGGCAAGAATAAGGTGACAAAGAAGATGACGGAGGATGAAGATGAAGATGAGGAGGATGAGAACAACAACAATAACAATAACAACAACACAAAGTCCTCGTCCGTGAATCATTTGGCTGCTACTGGAAAAAAGACACCAACAAAGAAATCAACCTCGACAACAACGACAACAACATCCTCTACCCCTGCCAAGAAGACAACATCATCACCAGCCAAACCGAAAGAAGTGGAGACAACTAAGCAGATGATATCCAAAGTGAGGGAGTCAACATTGGACCAGATTCATCAAAAGAAGCAGCCCACCACGCCAACCAAGCCATCTAAGCCAGCGGCAAAAGCCAAGCAATCAGAGGCAGCCAAGAAGAAGAAGAGTGTACAAAAGAAAAAGGCAAAGGATGAATCTGAAGAAGACGAATATGAATCCGATGAAGACGAGGAGGAGGATGACGATGAGGAGGAGGGCGGTGGCAAGGTTGATGGAAAGGTTTATGAAGTCAACCAGATTTTGGCCACGAGGAAGTATAAGGGCAGAGTTCAATTCCTCATCCTCTGGAAAGGATATGCAGAGACCGAATGCACATGGGAGTTTGAAGAGAACTGCTTCTGTCCAGAAAAGATCAAGGCATTCAAGAAGCAAATGCAGGAGATGCTGGAATAGTCCAGTACTGCCATGTCCAAATAAATGTATACCATCCATCTATCCATCTTTGCTAATAATACTCGTTTATTGATTGGTATGGCTTATTGCCATTCAAGGACAGGGGAAAGTTTGACGACGCGTACATTCTGCGCGCGGCCAGAGTGACGTGACCAACCTTCGTTGCCTTACCTTACTTCTGTTGACTACGCATGATTAGACCGAGACCAAGGATCATGAGCATGATGGATGCCAGCAGACCAAAGCCGAGGATGGAGCCATGCACGACGCCACCTGGGTAGATGTCGATGCCAGGCTCGCCTGGACCAACCCACTTCCAACCAATGAGCTGGGCGGTCATACTGAGAGTGGTGCAGTTGTTGCCTGGGACACTACCCTTGATGCATTCCTCATAAGTCGCAGGGATATAGGTGAAGGGAAGTCCAAACACCTCAGCAGTGAAGTTTGTAAATCCTCCACATGTAGCATTATTGTACAGAGCAGTGCAGACATCTTGGCAGAATGGCAAGACGTTTGGATATGGGCCTATAGTGGAAGTTAAGAAGGTGTGATGTTAATGTCTTGCTGAGCCATTCATTCCATTCGTCCCATTCCGATCATACTTCTGAATGTCTTTGTACAGATGTAAGTGGCGATGTTGGCGGCACATTTATCGGTGATATTTGTTGATTGATATCTCAGTCTCTCCATTGCCTCCTTGGCAAACATATCGTATCCTAATGTGTCGTCGGGGATAGAGCTGCAGTGATCTGGATCTGTGCTGTTGATCCTCTCGTTGAGTGCCTGGGTGACGTTGCTTGGCAGTGGATAGCCAGCACTGGCCATCAAGGTCAAATCATACTTTCTCGTATCGCCTGTGATCCAACAGTATGGAATCTGTGATATTGGAATGACCGCACATGGTGTGTTCAGATCGGATGATGTTGAATCAGCCTTGACTAAATTGTCTGTTTGATTGATAGTCGTTAGAATGTTTGTTTGTTTTTGTCGCGCCAAAGTGTCTGAATGTTGATAATGATACTAACTGGATGCAACCAACAGGACTACAAATACAAGTATTGATGTTGAGAGTATCTTTGAATGATACATATTGTTTGATTCTCTTCTTTATGTAATATATATAAAAGTGTTTGCAATGAGAGTGTGTATGTCTATCAATCTGTCTGTCTGTATATCAATATATGTATTTCTTAATTGCTAAACCAACTAGTAAGTCGTATAAGTATTTATCACTCTTTATCTCTCTTTTATCTTGCAGTAGTAGTTTAGAATAGGAACTCTTTGAGTATTTTGAGGTTATTGTACACTTGTGTCGCAAAGTAAAGATCTGTTTGTGTGTTTGTACATGCTGTGTGGTCGTCAAACCAAACATTCACACACAACAAAACTGTTTGAACTCGTACAAAATTCACCGATATGTTATTTGTTGACAATTTTAGATTTTCTTTAGTCTGATAATTGTTGTTGGAACTTCAAAGATATGTAGTTACATTTAGTATAAGATGGATTCAAATATATTCATGTGAATATATTATAATATGTATTATAACATTGTCAATTATTATTTATTTGATTCATACATATAATAAATGATAACTTGGTGTTGTAATAAAAATTACCCACCAACTGACGTCCTGCAAAAACGAGAGATGTCATACAACTAAAATGAGTGAGTGAACCCCAGGCTAACAACAACAATACTCTCCGATCACTGTGGGCTTCATTGCAATCATAACTTTGATAGAGATATACATATAAAGAAGACAGAGATAGATTGATTGTGTTTGTAATATTAAATAGATAACAGAAATATATATAGCAATACCAAGTATGGATACTAGAGTTATGGCTACGAGAGATGATAATGTACAGTGTTCATCTTTTGATGCACATGTCGATGAGTACGTCAAGGCCAACGTGTTCTGTTGCAGCTGTGAGAAATACCTCTGCAACAAGTGTGACCTCATCGCTCACAAACAACTGGACAATGTAAATAACTCAGAGTCAGACTTGCATATTAGAATGCCTGTTGGTATGTATCTCTCACTCTGCAAAGATTGATTGATTGATTGATTGATCACATGTAACTTACATAAAATGACATCACATCAGATCATCAAACTACCGATGATGAAGATGATGATACCAAGCAACATCAACGTCAACAACATCAACAACAACAGAATAAGAAACAACAAGAACAAAAGGTTAAACTACAAAAGAATGGTAATACGAATAGAAGTAATAGTAGTCTACCAACATTGGGCAAGAAGACGGATAGCTCAAATACATCGGATGCTTCATTGGACTCTACTATAAACAAGGAGTTGTTGATCACACCCGATGAAAATGATGCTGACAACAAGAGGAGATCATCTTCATCATCGTCAGCTGCCGAGTTGTCAATGTACGTCGATGATGAGAGTGACCTCAAACTGTGGGACGTTGGCAAAGGCACCAACTCATGTGCACTCGAGCCTGATGAGGAGGATACATTCGTCGCTGGAGAGGACCCCAAAGATCAAAAGGAAGCATCACACGTTGGTCAAGGTGTCTTGGAAGGTATCATCGACCTTGGCACAGGTATTGCTGATGGATTCACTGGTGTTATTGTAAGTCATACTTTGATTGATTGATTGATTGAATACTGACACTACTTCTTACTTAGTCTGACCCTCTAAATGGTGCCAAAGAGGGTGGAGTTAAAGGATTCTTCAAGGGCATGGGCAAGGGAATATCTGGAGTGGCATTGAAGCCGGTAAAGGGCTCAGCAGAGTTCATGATCAAGACGGCTGAGGGATTCAGAAACACTGGAGAGACTATATTCACACCAAAGAGCCTACAGATCGATGTGGTCAGGGAGAAGGAGGCTATTCATCTCCTTGACGGCCTGTTCCAAGGCACTCTTGGTCTGGGCAGAGGAGTGTTTGAGGGTGTCACTGGAATCATTGCCGAGCCAGTAAAGGGTGCTCAGGAGAATGGTGGCAAAGGATTCTTCATTGGTCTGGGAAAGGGTCTTGTAGGCGCTGTCTGCAGGCCAATCTCTGGAGCAATGGAGTTTGTCAGCAAGCCAATTGAGGGCCTGGTCAACACGCCACAGACAATCATCGACGCCATTGAAACAAAGATTGAAAGCAACAAACAAAAGCAAAGGGCTGCAGCAGGCCTTGCTGCCAATGATAACAACAACAAAGACAACAACAACAAAGACAACACAGAGAAATCAATTACAAACGATCCAATATCGACGACATCACCTAAACTTGGAGCAAGCTTCAGACCATCACAGGAAGAGCAAATGAAAACACAGGACGAGTATAACAAGAAGTGGCTGGAGAAGAACCAGAAGTTGGACAGCCACAGTATAAGCTCAATAAACTTTAGAGAGTAAATGTAGTGAAATATAGTGAAATGAAGGACTTCCAGTTAGTTGACTGTCTGCTTTATTTCTTCCTCAAGGTCAATCAGCTCGAGCACTTGTTTCAGCAGTGGATACTGGTATGGCGACACACAGAGCATGTCGAATGCCATTGAGTAGTTGGCAGGCAGTGTGCTCTTTGGTGCGAGTATCTTGTTTAGACACTTGGTCTTTTGGCTAAAGTGAGTGCACATGGTCCATTGAGCCTCCATGTTGGCACCAACCTGTAGAGCTTCACTAATAGTTGAGTGCTTCTTATCGATTGCATCAGACTCGAGACCATCCTCAAAGGTAGCCTCGTGTATCATAATATGAGAACACTTTCCCTCCTTGATAAAGTTATCGCTTGGTCTAGTGTCGCCAGAGAATCTATGGAACACAGAAGTAGTTTGTTAGCACTCGCTACTCAATCAATCATACAATCATGATGGATACATACGATAGTTTGAAGCCATCCTTCATCTCCATGACAAGACCTCTTGCATCTGGACAGTGATCGACAAACACATTGTTGATTGAGTGGACATTGAGCTTCTCGAGACATGTATCAATCAGTGGACTAGGATCATCAAACTTGAATCCAATGTGATCAGTGTGTATCACCTCCTTCATGCCTTCCAGCCAGTCAATGAGCTCGGATGGACCAATGACCACAAGTCTGGGAATATCAGGGCGTTGAGCTCTGGCCTTGGCAGCCTTCTCCAACACCAATGGCACACCCAGATGATGATCAGCATGCATATGTGATATCCATATCAGTCTGAGATTGGTCAAGATATCTTTGGTGACCTCTCTGCCAAAGAACCTGGTGACCTGTCCCAATGTACCCTCGCCACAGTCCATGAACATGTACTCGCCTTTGACTGTCTCGATCAAATGTCCAGTGACGTTCCTTTGCTTGGATGGCTTGGCTGAGCTGGTGCCTGTAAAGAGTACTCTTGGATAGGCCTTTCGCTGCTCAGTTGGTGTTTGCTCGAGCTCCTCAGTCAACTTGGCGATCTGTTGACGTATGACCTCTGCCTTTGGATGCATCATCAATGCGGATGTAACTCGATCATCCTTGTCCTCAGAGATCTCCTCATCCATTGCAACAAACTCCACTGTGCCAGCTGATGCTGGTGGTCCAAGATAAGCTCTTGTCATCTTTTGACATGGTATGACGTTGGGCAACGCGGCCAATGAATTTGAGAGCGGGGCTACTTGGTTGGGAACAGCCTCGCCAGGGAATAGACTGGGGAGGAATGAGTGCAGCTTCTTGATCTCCATCTCCGCCGCAGCCAACTGTTTGTAGTCCTGACAATTGGTACTGTTGACAATGATGTGTTTGGTGGCAGTGCCAAACTTGTTCATGAACTGTTGATACTGCTCTGTGGCCAACACCTCTTCTGGAACCAGATGTACAATTGAGCTTAGTTGTGTCGCTGGTTGTTCAACAAAGTACTCTGTGAATGCAGTGCTGTTGAACAAACTATCAAAGTACTCTACGGTTGGACAACGAATGATTGCAAACCTGGTGCCTGGTTGTGTCTTGTCCATCACTTGATCGGGTGTGACAGTATCGCCCTTTGGTGTCTGAACTGATTGTCCATTGGACAACTTGTGGAACATTGGTCCCTTTGGCACACCCAATGCAATGGCGCGCTCTGGGTAGAAGCGGCCTGGAAAGTCCTTAGTGATACCAATGTAGCAAAGAACAGCGTCCCTATCGACCACTGAGCTTGGGTCAACCTGTGTGACATTGACGTACATTGACTTGCGCTCGGCACATGTTGCGGCCATCAACTTCTCCCACTGTTCCGCTTCCATATAGTTATGGTACGTTGTCATCTTGAAAGGAGTGACGTCCATCTGCTGCTTCTGCTGTTCCTGCAGTTGTTGCAGGGTCCTCTTTGACAAAGGAATGGTCTGGACAGTGAGCTGTTCAAGGTTAAGTGTTTGGACAGAGTTGCTATTCATCTCGTACACATTGACCTTGAGGGTACTTTATAATATGGAATGATTCCAGTTAGACGCTGGCGATCAATATCAATCACCTAATCACTTTAACATACATATTCAAAAACTCTCTTGAGTGATAGAAGATATTGTATAGACCTGGTGGACCATAGATATCGACCTCTTTTACATCTTCGATGGCGATGAGGAGATAGAACACACCCATCAGACCACCTAGGGATTCCCATGATAGGGAGGTGAGGAATATTGTCCTTATCTTTCCAATCTTGATACTCGATCTCTCCTTGTACACTCTCTGTGAGCCTTCTCCACACTCAAAGAAGTATCTATCCTTATCAAAGAATGCGTAGACTGATGGTGATACATCTTCATTATCACCGGATACATCTATGTATGATTTTGCCATTCTTCTTTCTTTGCTTCTTTGTTATCTTTGTAGTTCGTTTAAGGTTAAGTTATGTTAATTACATGTATGTATATTTGTTTGAATGATTGAATCATGGACCTTTGACTCTCTATCTTGTTGACTAAAAATAGTAGATTGGTTTAGTGATGATGATTCATTCGATCGGCAATTTCAGAATCCGATCAGATCATTGTCATTATGGGAAAAGATCCAGAAATAAGAATAACAATTAGTTATTTGTATAACTTTGGTTAGTAATATTATTACATGTAATAAGGAATAATGAATGAATGAAAGAACGAATGACAACTTCATTTGTTTCGTGCGAAATGGGGAAAGACAAGTCAATCGTCAAATTGACCTGTCCAACTTGTTTATAATTATGTGTGTAGATATTGATAGATAACAGAGAGATAGATCAGAGATATAGATGATAAGACAATTGGGTCTAAGATTATATTCGACGTCGAGTAATGGAGCCGCAAAGACTACTACTTCTTCAACATTGTTATGGGGAAAGAATGCTTTGGTCACTGGTGGAAGTAGAGGCATAGGCAAGGCAATAGCAATGAAATTGGCAGAGAATGGTTGCAATGTATGTGTTCTCTCGAGAGACACTACATTGAATCAAGCAACTGTTGCATCATTGCCAGTGATCAACGAGCAGGGCATTCCACCAAACAAACACTGGGGCATCACATATGACTTGTCTGCGATGGACAACTATGAAAGCCTTCACAACTCCCTTAAAGAACAGCAACAACATCATCAAGACTTTGACATCATTGTACATGCAGCTGGCATCACTCAGAACGATCTATTCTTCCGCTCCAAACCCGAAGAGTTGAGAATGTTGAACAAGGTGAACTTTGAAGCACCGATCTATCTGACACGCATGTTGTTGAAGCCAATGCTAAGGAAACAATGGGGTCGCATCATATTCATGGGTAGCATCGTGGCCGATATGGGCAATCGTGGTCAGACCCTGTATGCAGCGAGCAAGGCAGGTCTAGTCGGTTTCTCCAAGTCATTGTCACGAGAAATCGGTCATCAAAATGTTACATCAAACGTCATTGCACCAGGCTACATTCAAACAGACATGTCAGCCGACTACATCCAATCACTTGGCGATACATTAATCCAACGTATACCTCTTCGACGTATTGGTGATGTTGAAGTATGTGTCCATCCATGCATCCATTAACCTAGTTTGTTCCATGTATTAACCATCCTTTGATTCATTTTCTTACAGGATATTGCCAAGACTGCACTGTTCCTTATAGAGTCCAACTATATAACAGGACAAGTTATAAAGGTTGATGGTGGATTGTCATAAGAGTTATTCCATAAACTATTATCATCATTGTATTTACTTTATTTACCCTTGTTTGGTCATCCTGTCAACTTGTTTCCATCAAAAAAACGAAGGAATCACATCACATGTTTGTTTTTCGAAATTTGATCATTCAACTCAATCTCATTCATTCAATCATCGACAGACATTACATATATATAAAGAGATAAAGAATGAGCTCTACAATCAAACATCCAGAAACATTCTCAAGCGAGGATGAGTATCCCTTTATGAGGATAAATAGAACTTTCAAGGTGTTCACAGGTATTGGAATGGGTATTCTATTTGGTTGTTTGGTTAACGTTCTGTCGAAGCGTCCATACCTCAACCGTCCACACATTCACGTCACTGCTGCCACTGCACTCGGTGTGATCAACTACAAGTCATACGATCTCCAAGAGTCACTGCACAAGAAGAACTTCACCGTCCTGGCCAAGTATCAGGATCGTTTGAAGAGACAGGAGTTTGTCAAGAGCGGTACGTAGTACATCACATCACGTCACATCATGTGTAGTCGTGCGCGCTACTAACCTTCGTCAATCAATCAAACAATCATATACGAAACAAACAGAGATTGCCAAGTCAGAGCTTTAGATATTAATAAGATAGGACATACACAGGTTGAAGCAGCAGCAATAAACGATAAAGCAGAGATGTCGCGCGATAAATGCGACATACACATTGTAACACAAAGACAAAAGACAGGCATAGGATGAGTGGACATGACTCGCGAGTGAACAACAGTGAGAGGTATAGACTATTCGTATAACAGGTCATTCAATCACATCAAGTGATTGAACAACTATATATATATATTTATTCTTTGGCTCTCTTGCAAGGAAGGCTCATGCTCAATGAGCGAGAGAGAAAGAGAGCGAGCCTCAATCAAGAGAAGTGTGAACGCGTTGGTTGTTGGATCATGCAGCCTGAACCCTCTTGGAGATGTTGTTGTAGTTGTTTGGATGAATGTGGTGCGTCTGCTGCTGCACAGACGACTTTACCTTCTTGGATGGATGCATTGCCGACGTCTCAAACACCATGAACTGTTGCAGTTGTTGCTGCTGCTGCTGCAGTTGCTGGTGATGTTGGAGATGACCATCGGTAACTGGACCGGTTGTCTGCAGGACACTAGGGTATGCCAAAGGAGGTGTGGACGCTCGAATATTCTGCTTGGACTTTGGTGACTGTTGTTGTTGTTGAGGTGTCCTTGGTTGTTGTTGTGGCGGAGATTGGATCATAATAGATTGTTGTTGCTTCAACATGTGGTCGTTGGCTTGTAGTATTCCAACGATGGACTGCGCCATCAGTGCTTTGAATTGGCTGAGCTCATTCCTGTATGACTCGGCTTGTCTCTCCAGCATTGTGTTCTTGGTCTGCAGGTCCTTGATAACATGTCTTTGTTGTTGTATTCTCTCTTGATATTCGGACAAATTGCTTTGTAGAGTAGGACTGGTGTTCTCACTTGAAGCGGGTGGTGCTGCTGATGGTCCTGTTCCTTGTGGCTGCTGGTGCATCTCGGTCAACAAGTTCTGGACGGAGCCTACAAAGTCGTATGATCTCTTCTTGCTGTTGGCCAGATGATGGGGGTGCTCGGTAGCAATCTGGCGTGGATGTTGTTGTGTCTGTGGTTGTGGTAGTTGGTGTGGCGAATGGCTTGGCGATGAATGTCCGGACTCATGTTGTTCAGTATGTGGCAATGGTATCTTTGGATTGGACTCGGATAATTTGTGAATATGATGATGTAACATGTCGAATGGGTTATTGTTGTTGTGGCCATTCTTTATAAGATGTTGTTGTGGTTGTTGGACATCATGGAAGTTTGTTGGACTTGTTGACTTTGTAGGATATGGTTGGATTGGTCTGGTACGCATCATGGCATACTCCATCTCACGATTGTTGACTTCATTTTGTTGTTGTTGATGTTTGGACATTGTTGGTAATTGTTGTTGTTGTTGTTGTTGTTGTCTGGATGAGACCAACAAAGGTGAAGACTCTGGCGATATTAAGCTTGTTACACTTGATAGAGCCATTTGATTCTGTGCACTCATATATTGTTGTTGTTGTTGTTGTCTAAACATTATTATTGTTCGGTCGACCGAAAGGCGTGGATAAGGTAAGGGTAAGGGTAGGGTAGGGTAAGGTTAAGACTCTAAAGGCTTTAGAATAATTAATTAATAACCAAAGGATATTAAGTAATGGAGGAGGTGTCGTTTGATTAAATGAATGATTGATTGATGGACTGATGATTTAAACAAGGTTAGAACACTGATGATGATGATGTTGCGGAAGAAGTTGCTTGGTACTTGGGGAGCCAGCCAGGTGGTTGGTTCGTTGGTTGGATTAATTAAGTGATGAGAGTATGGTGTGTGTGGCCCATCCCGAGACACCTACTGTTGCAACATGCCTGCCTGACTGCCAACAGTATGCCCCTTGTCCAACAACCATGAAGCGCAACAGTACCCAACACCATCACTACCACCACGATCACTTCACCACTTAATGTATGAAAGAGGAAATCAAGTGAATGGAATGGTTGGATGCGGGTAGTTTGCCCGGCAAGTACCCTGGAATCGTTGACATATGTGCTGGCGAGTCAGAGAGTGATTGATTGATTGAGGGGTGGGTGATGGTCACATGCTTCCTTGATTGGAAAGTTGCTGCTGTCAACAACGCCACAACAACTGTTGCCTAAATATATCCTCTTTCGAAGACCATCATATCCTGGGCATGGCACACGCCCGATAAAGCCAAGCGAGCCGAGTATATAATATTATATGTGTCACTGATTAGTGTGAATAGTATTATATATTTGTTGTGGAGTGTGAATATATGAGTGTGTGTAATGCAACGTCGTTGCCCTCCCTCACCTCGATCGAGGTGATCCATCCATCCATCTATCAATCAATCCATCCATGTAGACAACCAACCAACCCCATCCAACACACACACACTTCATTTGCACCTTGAACAGCAACCTACACACACATATTAGTGTGTTGTTGTAATACTTGTTTGGTGTTAATTATAATATATATGTTTGGATGCATGCAAAGATGATGATGTTGTTGACAAGGTTGTTGTTGGTATCGGATGGGGGTGGTGTATAGTTATGGGTTGGGCAACTAAGTAAGGATAGGAGGGTGCCATCATCGGTATTATTAATTAAAGCATTCTTTGATGATGATGACGATTATAACAAGGTACTCCGAATTTATGATTATTTATATTACTGTTGTTGAATGGTTGGTTGTTTGGCGATGATGTGAGTGTTGTTTGTTTGTTAACTTTAACCAAATTAATCAAGGTTACAAAGGGATAGCTAGCCTTGCCCACCAAAGAGCCTTTTACAAGTCTTGGTTGATTGATTGATTATCACTTTGATATTATCTATCTCTAATAATAATAATGTCATCTTGGTGATTGACAATGAAACCAAAAGATCGATCCAAACGTGAAAGTTCCAAAGAATTGGTTTGGGGTTCAAAAACATCAAATATCTGAGAAAATATTTTTGTATGATTTTGTGAATGACATGAGTAGTCTCACTCAATACATTACATTATATCTCCTTATTCATACAAATATATACATATTCAAAGATAACATACAGTTAGTAATAGACTAGTAATGGTAGTGTGTACCACCCTATTTGATACTTGAGTTGTTTGTCTGTCTAGAATGGCCATTTTCGTACTCACGCCTCTACCCTCATCCTTCACCTTCACCTAGTTCATCATAGCAATTGGCGACCTCCACATCCCACACAGGGCTCACACCATCCCTCCAGAGTTCAAGAAGCTCCTTGTATGATATCATCATCATCGTCATCTCACTGATCATGCATCGATCGATCAATATCACTCATTCATTCAACTTGTTCATTCAATCAATCAAACATACTAGGTCCCAGAGAAGATCCAACACATTCTGTGCACTGGTAACCTCGTTGGAAAGGATGTTCACGACTACTTCAAGCAGCTCACCAGTGATGTACACATTACCCGTGGAGACTTGGATGAGGTAAGTGATGACGGACTGCATTCAATCAATCAATCAATCATATATTCATACATATACATGAACTTGAATAGAACACTTCATACCCAGAGACAAAGGTTATCACTATTGGACAGTTTAAGTTTGGTCTCTGCCACGGACACCAGGTCGTTCCATGGGGTGACAAGCAATCGTTGTGCGCACTCCAACGCCAACTGGACGTCGATGTCCTCATCACTGGACACACTCACAGCATCGAGGTATTCGAACAGAACAACAAGCTTTTCGTCAATCCAGGCACTGCCACTGGATCATTCAGCAATATAACTCAGTATGTTTGATTGATTATAGGTGGAGACACATCGTTCAATCCAAAGGCTAACCCATCTTATTCAATCAATCAATCAATCAAACAGGGATGTCATTCCATCATTTGTGTTGATGGATGTTCAGGGCAACAACATCAGTGTCTACATCTACAAGTTGATCGATGGTGCCGTCAAGGTCGAGAAGGTTGATCACAGCAAACAATAATTGGACAACAACAAGCAACGTTGCATAGAAAGCACACTTAGCAAAGTAGAATGATGGACGACGAGGACTGTTACATTAAAGGTATATCACCATCCAAAACGATCACAATCAATGATCAATGATCAATCCTAGGACTCTGTTTGCAATGCGAACACTCACTATCCAGCATCCACATGACCCGATGGGATCGAACAATGTGACTGCAATGCATTGTCAACGCTGGCTTGTCATTGCTATGCATGAACCCTCAACCCTCACACACACTCTTACCACCTCCAGCCAACAATAGAACTTAGGAGTAAGGGATGTGGAGTTAGTGTGGAGTGTAGTGAGTGGTTCATCACTTCCATCAATCACTCACCTGATCAATTACATGATCACACTCACACACACAACATAACATCCAACCGTTGTGGCGGTATAACATCTTTGAGTGGAATCATGTGATTGATTGATTGATGGATGGTAAAGGTAGACCATTATAAGTTAGAAGTTGTATTAGTATTAGTATATATATATATATAGTATGTCTATAATCTTAGGATGATGGAACATCAGCATCAACATCACCAACAACAACCTGAACGACTAAATAATGGTGACCTGTTGATAAAGTTGGTATTCCCACCAACTTCCTCAGTAGTTAGCAAGACAATCCAGGTGCGACTTAATCAAAAGGTTAGCGAGATAATAATATATGGCTGTACAACAGCTGACTTGAATCCAGTTGGTTATGGTCTATACGTGCCCAACTCCCGGCTGACAAGCAGGGGACTGTGGCTGGATGATCAGACATTGATCTCGACGAACTCCCTGTCAAACATGGACACGGTGCTGATCAAACGACGACCTGGATTCAAGATCAAGAAGAATGTATCCTTCTCACAGGTCAAGCCGATCAAGGAGGGCAAGGTGCAGAAGTTGTCATCATTCACGAGGATCTGGAATCCAAGATACTTGCGACTGTTCTCCCAGCGACTGATCCACGCGTCCAGTGAGAGCGACACAATGTGCGAGAGCATACCATTCAATGACATTGTCAATGTGGACAGGGAACCATCGCGAAAGTACAGCTTTGTCATTGTGGCGGTAATCGCGTTGCCAACAAATGGGTCGCCGTCAAAGGGTGGAAGTGGCCCATCGTCAGAGGAAAAGGAGTATGTGTTCAGATGTACCAATCATAATGACATGGAGGACTGGGTCACATGTATTCGAATCGCATTGAAGAGGACCAGACCAGACTTGTTCCTACCGCCACTCTCTGCGACCATTGGTGGCAGCCACAGTAGTAGTTCATTGTCATTGTCACAATCATTCAATAACTCGATCAATCACGGTGATCAAGGATCATCGTCTTCATCTTCAACGTCATCGAGTCCTGGAACATGGCAACCATTCAAGCCAAGCGATGTATCCCAGTCCACCCTGGCAAAGGGACGTTCGTTCTCATTGTCGTCCAAGAGGAAGGCCAGTGCATCTTCTTCAAGCTCTAGTCTGGCGCCAGATATGCCAGCGCTCACACGTGCTCTGGAGGATGAGCTGCGTCGGGTCCGGTCGAGTCTAGACAAAGAGGCCAAGGCTCGAATGGTTCTCGAGAAGAAGTACAAGAAGTTGAAGTTGAAGTATGCTCAAGCCAAGCTAAAGTCTTCCAAGGATGGCGCAAGCAACATCAGGGTTGGCAACTCGATTGGAAACACGACAACAACAACAACAACCACATCATCATCAATATTGACGAGATTGCGATCATTCTCAACATCGGCGACTTCAACGCCACAGACTGTTGGTGTTGGTTCAGCATCGGCAACCAATACGCCAAGGAAGAGAACCTCCATGTTGATTGGTTTGGCAAGATCCAGTTCACAGTCTGTCGAGAAGGATTCGTCCATAAGCGAGGTCAGCTCATTGATGGCTTCAGAGATGGCAAGCGCAACTACAGAGACAGAGTCAATGATGAGTGCGATGGATGATGTTGGGGATACCGATGCCGAAGACGACGAAGATACATTGGCCAAGATTGCCGAGATCAAGGACCTGAAGGAGCAGCTGGCGAGACTGAAGGAGCGATTGACACTGGAGATCACAGGAAGAGATGAGGCTGAGCTAAACAAACAATCGGCTGAGCGGACAGTATTTGATCAGAAGCTTTCAGATGAGCGAAGGGAAGTCGAGATGTCCAAAGAGAGGAGGCAACAAGATGAACAGATCCAATCAATGAGCGAGTTGGCACATCGTCTGAAAGAGACCCTGTTGAAGTTACAATCACAACTATTACTCAACAACCAACATAATAATGATGATGTTGATGTCGATTATGATGTTGATGATGTCGATGTTGATGTTGTCGATGATGTTGATGTTGTAGATGTTGAGGAGCAAGATGATCATAGACCTCATCATTGTTCAACAACATTGGTACGATTAGAAGTATAACATCAATCAATTAATCATATATCGAAGTAATAAAATATAGTAATTATCTGTACATTGTTGTTGCCAACAAAGAGATAAACTAAAGTTGGCGATGCACCAAGAGTTCCCAAGCGACATCATTTTCACACATTTTTGAAGATCTTCGCTGGCTTCCACCTTGTCTCTTCCACTTCACTCACTCACTTTATCATCATTCATTCATTGTAATCTTAATCATATTCATATACACATACAAATAATAGTTCAACAATGTTTAACAGTGTTGTATTGTTAAGGAAGAGTAGTAGATTGATCAATCTCTCAATCTCAAGATGCACTTACTCGACTGCGGCAGCATCAGCAACAGGTGGACATGATGACTTTATGTTTCCATCAGTCAGGAGATTGTTGACAGAGTATAATCTGAACTATGGACAGGTTAAACCATCTGGTCCACAAGGACGACTGCTCAAGGGTGATGTTCTCCAATTCATCACTGCCAGTAACCTCAAACCTGCTGATCTATTCAAATTGGCACCAACATCATCTACATCATCACAGCAGCCAGCAACACAATCTGCTACTGCTGCTACTGCTACTGCTACTACCTCCACAACTTCAACACAATCAGCCACCACAACAACAACATCATCAAAGACAGTAAAGCCACCTCAATTCGAGGATATTCCACATAACAACATCAGAAAGGTGATTGCTACAAAGCTGACACAGTCCAAGCAGACTGTGCCTCATATGTACATGACAGTTCAATGTGAGATTGACAAACTACTCTCACTAAGAACTGTACTCAATGGTAGGTTGAACCAGTGGACTCCAATCGATCAATCACTCACTCACAATCAATCAATCACTACAATATAGCCACATCACCAACCAAGATATCAGTCAATGATTTTGTTATTAAGGCATGCGCATTGGCTCTTAGAGACGTGCCAGCTGCCAATGCAAGATGGGATGAGAAGACAGGTACCACAGTGCCAAGCAAGTCAATTGATGTATCAGTGGCCGTCGCCACAGAGAGAGGATTGATCACACCAATCGTCACCAACACTGATATGAAGTCATTGGGCGCGGTGGCCACAGAACTGAAGGATCTGGCGGGCCGTGCACGCATTGGCAAGTTGAAGCCCGAGGAGTTCCAGGGCGGCACGTTCTCCGTGTCCAACTTGGGCATGTTTGGCATCACTCATTTCAACGCCATCATCAACTATCCACAGGCTGGCATTCTGGCCGTGGGCGGAGGCCGCAAGATCATCAAGAACAAGTCCCTCACACTGGACGAGCTGGACGCAGCCACCGATGCCACTGGATTGTTGGCAGGTGGTACCGGACCATCCGTTAGCAATGTGATCGACGTCACACTCTCTGGTGACAACAGAGTGTTTGACGATGAGATTGCCGCCAACTTCTTGGATACCTTTAAGAAGTACATCTCCAATCCACAGTTGATGATTATATAAACATACTATTATACTTATACTTTAAAGTGATCACTTCATTTAATTATTTATTGCCCAGTGGCAACAAAACCCATAAAACAAACAGTCAATCTAAGATGGGGTTGGCAATCAATGAAGATGACCATTTGTGGTCCTCGGAGCTGCCACACATGTGATCATTCGTTCAAATCAATCAATCAATCAAACAATCAATCAACCATACATACTTCATCCATTCATTCCTACTTGATCAGATCCAGAGTGGGACTGCACCATGAACAAGACCAATGATAGAACTGATCACAGTAAGACATAGAGTCTGGTGATGGTCCAACTCAATTGTTACTAATATGTGCAATCCCAATCATAATCACAACAGAGGAATGGATACGTGTATATAATGAGCTAATATCAGGATCAGTGGGTGGAATGTCATCGATGTTGGCAGGTCATCCATTCGACACAATCAAAGTTCTGATGCAAGATGCATCAGGTAATCTACCCAAGTTTAAAAGTGGTTGGCATGCACTATCATATACTGTACAGAATGAAGGTGTAAGTCTGAAGTGATGAGCACGAGCATGGGCATGGTCACTCACTCACCAATCACTCAATCACTCTATCATCATAGGTAAGGGGAATATACAAAGGGATGTCAGTTCCAATGCTCACCGTGTCCATTGTAAACTCAATCTTCTTTGCCAGTTACAGCTCTTGTTCAAAGTATCTGCATCCACAAGAATCACCAGTTCCCTATCACATGTATGAATGAATGGATGAATGAATGACACTGGATCAATCAATCAATCACTCACACTCAATCAATCAACTTTTTAGTGTCGCCATCTCTGGAGCGGTGGCAGGTGCAACCATTTCAGTATTGTTGGCACCTAGAGACTTGATAAAGTCAAAGCTTCAAGTGCAATCATCGATCAGATTGCCAACGTCATCATCATCTCACTTGAACAATCATTCATCAACTGCCTTCACATCCGATACTGTTGGAGGCAACAAGACTACAGCGTCGAAAGGCTCACAAAAAGGGACACAAGGACCAATATCATTGATCAAGAACATAGTGAAACGAGAAGGAGTACGTGGAATGTCGAGAGGTCTGAGTGCCACACTACTCCGCGACATACCAGGCGACATGATCTACTTTACAGTGTATGAATACGTCAAGCGACACTTGTCCGCTGCAGTGTACAATCAAGAGAAGGTGGCCGCCACTGGCTCACCCAGCGCATGGGTGGCGATAGGCGCCGGTGGATGTGCCGGCATGAGCTACTGGGCGTCGATCTATCCAATCGATGTGATCAAGACAAAGATACAGACGCAGCCCGAGCCAGCGATTTACAAAGGCGTGATCGATTGCGCCAGACAACTGTACAGGACTGAGGGCATTGGTGTTTTCTTCCGCGGGTTCTACCCGACCATCCTACGGGCGTTCCCAACCAGTGCCGCCAACTTCCTAATGTACGAGACGACCAAGAGTTTCCTCCAATCAGTCGAGTCTTGATAGATCCACAAACATAAACATCCTCCTGTACACACTGTATGATTGATTGGATTCATTGATTCATTGAATAGATGATTGAGTGATCGATCAGACAATGACAAGGGGATCGGCATCGCGACTTGATATGATGACTTGGACATTGGCCAGACGTGATTGGATGAGCTTCTTGTACACTGCGAGGTATCCACGCTCAGTGTTGGAGTGATCGCAGACGATGACGTAGTTGCCCTTGGCACACGCCTCGAGGATCTCGTGATGTGACAGCTCGCCAGTGAGGTAGAGATCAGCTGGTGTGTTCAATATCACTGATGCTCCACTGCCAGCACACATCGCAATAGTCTTGATTGGACGATCTACTCCATTTTGTGGCCTTCCAAGTCTAACATATTGTAGACCAAACAATTGCTTCACACACTTGATCACATCCTGGATATCAACACCTTGAGCGCCATAGTTCAACAGTCTTCCAGCACCAATCTCCTTTGATGAGTACTTCACGCCATTGAATACACTCCATGTCTCAATGCCCTTGAGTATGTTTGAATGATTGAGCGAGTGAGTGATCATTCAATCATACTACATCATCATCATCATCATCACCATACATACACTTGTGTGTTGCTCAATGATCTTGGATACTGTGGACAACTTGTTCTCTGCCAACATCAACTCAAACTTTGTACGGTTGTCTGATGTTTGATTGGGCATGAGGATGTGGCTGCCACCAAGTGCTGCTTGAATAGATTGTGACAGATCAGTAGAGTCTGTACCCTTCTTCATTACAATGTCAACACGATGAGTATACTGCTTGGATGTTGCATATTGTTGTTGCTGGATGGCTGTGGTCTGCACAGTCGATGCATCCTTGGCCAGCTTGATGAGTGCCGCTGCGGTCCAATCATTGATACCGCCACTGATTGCATCGAGTGCCGAGTGAGGTGAGTAGATGGGCAGACGGTTCTCGATGGCCTTGACAGCGATGCGTTGTGCAGTGACCTTTTGAGTGATCCTCTTGAAGTTGCTGAAGAGGGGTGGATGGTAGCTGACGATCATCGAGCACTTTGATTCAATTGCCTCGTCCAACACATTCTCTGTAAGATCATTGGTCAAGAAGATTGAGTTGACCGTCAATGTACTAGCAGTGCTAGGTTCAATCAGTACACCAACATTATCCCAACTGCCTGCCAACTCCAATGGTGTTATCTCATTCAACACGTTTACAACCTCTCTGAATGATGTCATTTGTCTAATCTTATTGTTTAGTTGATTATATTGATATTGATTATTAAGGAATGTTGATGATGTCGATGATCTAAATAATCTTAATAACATTGTCTTTATGTCATATATTGATCATTTGGCAAATGAACAAGTTCACTCTTTCGAAGCTTCGTGGTCAGTATGAGGGGTCAAGTAACCCAGTTACCTGAGTCTACTGCCTTGTTGTTGTAATTGTTACCCACCACATCACTCACTCACATCTATTCATTCCTAAGTTATCCCTCATTACCTATTATGTGTTGGTGTATAAGTGTGTGAGTGAGATTAAATGAGTGAGTGAGGGTGACACTCATCACCTCTTCTCCATCTCTCTCTCTCTTATTCACAACATGATAAGGACTCACCAACATCTCTATTCTCTGCCTCTTAAGAGATAACTATAAGGTTACAAATAATAATAATAATAATATTTATTAGAGAAGAATGAGGAGAGTATCATTATTATGGAAATCAGTGTCGGATATTCCACCTTTTACCTCAATGACAGAGAGGGATGATGGATCACCTACACTCCAACAACAAGATATAATGGATATACCAACATCACCAAATACATTATCATTGGATTCACTAAATGTTAATGATGATCTTGTTGTAATGGAACTACAACCTGTACAACCTTTAAACAAATCATCTGGATCAATTCCACAACATCAAGAAATATCAGCAACTTCAACAACAACAACTACAACAAAGGTTGAAGAATTAATTGGTGTACCTAAATTGATGTTGGATCAGAAGGATGGACAGATACAGATATTGGTTGATAGTTTGAAGGAGTTTGGTGAACAGATGGAGTTGTTGAAGGAGCAGAATTCATTGATTTCAACTCAATTGGAATTGGAGAGGATGGAGAATGAGAGATTACTCAAAGAGAAGAAGGAAATGGAGAATAACGTAGCCAAACAATCATTATTCATCGATGAGATGAAGTTGGCTTTAAAGAGAGAGAAGAACAATTATAATGAGTATCGAGAGACAATAGAGTCAAGGGGTAAAGGTATGCTATTCCTTCAAAAAACCAACCAATGAATCACTCAATTACTAATCTGATCCAACAATGTAGATATGGAGAGTTTGAATTCGGAAAACTCTGCTTTGATTGCCAAGAACCATCAGATGGTCGCCACAGAGTTGGAGAAGACGACGGAGATTCAAAGATTGAACCAACAGGTGAAGGACATGCAGAGGGTGATTGAGGGTCATGTTAGGATGATTGAATCACTCTCAAACAACAATGACACTAATCATTACAATAGTAGTACTTCAAGTTCACATCATGGAAACAAGGCCTCAACTACAAATGCTTTATACATTCATGGAGCATATCCAGCCTATGGTACAGCGCATAAATGAAATGAAGCAAGCTTGCAATCAACATCAGTCATATGGATGACTGGTGTAAGTTCTAAAAGTATTCGGCAAAGGTTGGTAATAGGTTGGTTGGTATTTTATTATTGATTGATGTGATATGTTGCTGTTGGTACTTGTTGTTGACGATGATGTTTGTTATTGTAGCGAGTGGATAATGATCGAGAGTGAATTGAGATGAGAATGATCTTGACTTATTGGAGCAGCTTGGCGACGAATGTCTCAAAGTTGGACTCAAACTCCTTGACCTTGTTCTTATCGACCTCGCTGACCTTGGTTTCAGACAGCTTGATTGGTGACAGGGTCTTATATATATCTGACTTGGAAGATTTGTTCTGTTCATGTTTGATTGATTGATTGAGTTAGTGTGTCTGGAATGACCTGGAACAACCTGGAATGACCTGGAATGATCATGGAACATGGAGTATACTTACAACTTTTCCACTAGAAATTACAGACAGCAGCTTGTCAACATCGGCTTCTTTTTGGAATGAAAGAGTATTGACTATATATACATTGATGCTGTTATCTTGAACGAGTTCTATTGTTTGTGTGATTGGTGTGTTAGTTGGTCTCGCGCGCGAGGACTTGATCCCAAAGAAGGTGACCACTTACTCTTAAAAAGCTCGGCCTTGGACTTGGGCGACACGGTGATTGACTCTGAGCTGTAGTATGGAGTGAATGAATCTCCGTTGTAGCCAGCGGCAAAGTACTGCTGGGCTTGCTCTGGTGAGAGCTCGGCAAATGCTGGGATGATTCCCTTTGTGTCTCTAACCAAGAATACGATCGATGATGGATTCGAGTAGATGTTTGTGCTCTGCTCCACTGGAACAATCGAAACCACTCTCTTTGGTGATGTGAATCTCTCGATCAAGTCGCTGTTCATTCATTGATTGATTGAGTATGAGTGGAATAGTTCCATTTGATTGATTGATTGATCGATCGATTGAATGATTGATTGAGTGGACCATGGGTTAGTGATCATGTTGATGATGGATTGAATGATCCCCTTTCCGATGATAGTTACAATTGATTCTTGGCAGCAGACTCCAATGGATATGAGATGGAATCAAAGAGACGGAAGAGACCGTCCTTGTTCCAGAGAGAACCTTGAGCGACGACCTTGCCACTCTCGAATCTCTTGTTGAGGAGATAGTTGTCAGCGCTAAAGATCAGCATGGTCTTGTTGTCTCTGGTCTGGTAGATGTCGGCGGCGGACAGGGTGACACCCTGGCGCTCGTTGAGCATGGTTGGCTGCGAGATGGCAGTCAGTGCACGTCTGATGTTGTCGGTCGACTGCACGCCACCAATGACGGCGATGCCTCTCTTGACATCAATGATGTTGAATGCGCCGGAGCGCAGACCGCACTTGGCCTGCTGCTCGGCCGACAGCTGCAGCTGGGGTGCGACGTACAGAGTCATAGAGTGCTTGAACTCCTTGACGGCGGTGGGCACGGTGCTGGGCAGCAGGTGCTCGAGGAACAGTGCTGTCTGTGCGCAGTTGGTGATGGCGCGGATCTTGCCCTCGCAGGCCTGATGTGAGCCGACGGCGCCGTCGTGCACATAGATGTTGGTGGAGTCGCCAATGTGATTCTTGACCTCGTTCAACAGAGCCTTGTACTGCGCGACGGTGATGGTGCTGCCGGCAGCACCCTCCGAGGCGTTCAATGTGGCCGACTGCTCGTCGAGATAGTAGTTGATAGGCTTGACCTCTGCGCCCGCCTGATAAGAGTATGCCCCAGTCGACTCCTTCTTCACGTCCGAGTGCTGAACCAACAACTTAACAGAAGGGTTGCGATAGGCGAACGATGAAGGTGTCACCGAGTAGCTGTTCAATGTCCAATTGAGTGCATAATCCACTCCCTGTCTTTGATTTGGGAACATCGCAGTCTCCTCATCCTCCTCCTTTGCTAGATTAACCTGTTTTCATCATGATCAAATCATTCATCAGTACTCGGGTTGATTTGAGATGATTGATAGAGTGCACTCGCTCAATCAATCAATCAATCACATCACATCACCTGACTGATGACTTACCAAACCCTTTCTGTCTCTCTTTCTTCTGAGCTCATCATAGACTGATGATGATGCTGGTGCTGACAATGGCTGTGACTGAGAAATGAATCGCTTGGCAGTCGCAGCACCTGTCAATCCACTGATCAATGTGCTTGTGGTTGTTGTTGTTGTTGTTGTAACAGTTCTCTTGACGACAAACATGTTGTTGTTAATGAGTTATATAATATATATATAAATATGAATGAAGTAGGTAGTGTACTGACTAACTCTGACTTGATGCGAAGTTAGGTTTAGTGAGCGCGTGAATGAATGAGGTAGGGGAAGGCGTAAGTGTGTGTTTGTTTGAGAATCTGATCACTTCACGCTCTGTGTCCTGGCCCTCACACACTATTTTTTTTAATTCATGCGTTGGGTTTGTGTGGGGCTGAGTGATCACTCCCGACCAAGTTTGTGCCCGGGCTTTTATTCTGGACATTCTTGGTTTCAGATGGATAGATTGATCACATGTTGAAAGGCTGTGAGAGGAAGTCAGAGAGATAGGACTTGGACAGCTGTGAAGTTGGCGTAGACCCTGTCTTGTTGTTGGCGATGGGTTGGTTGACACGTCTGCCTCGAAGTGGAGTCTTGGCCTTGTTGTTGTTGTTGGGTTTAAAGGCCGCACCATTGCTAAAGTTGAGGTCGAGACTAAAGCTGAGTTTGCTGTTGTTTGTCATTGATGTTGTTGTTGGAGTGATGGTGACACCACCAGTGTGAGTGGAAGTGGAGGAGGAGGAGGTACTGTCGCTGAGATGATGACATTGTAATGTGAAGCCTTGAGTGTCTGATGCATGCTTCTGTAGGGTCATCTCAAATGTCCTCCATTCTTGTTCCATCGGTATATTATACCCCCTGTAATGTCTTAGGTTGGCAACATCCCATCCATTCAAATGATCCAAATCCATCTTGTCACTCCTCGACCACACTCCAACCTTCCTGTCATCGACCAGTTGGCTCCTCAACCTCTTCATCCTCCTAATATAATAATTTGTTAGTCCATCAATCCAATCGATCAATCAAACAAATAACATACTTTGGACCAATGCTGAGTATCTTTGCAATGTTGGCTTCATCTTGAACGAGCATGGTCTTGGTGTTGCTGCCATCTGATATTCTGCATTCGAGTCTACCTTTGAATATGACTTCATCGGCCGCATTGTCCAGTAGACATTGACAGCCATCACTGCTCACCAACGCCTTGTCACACACGTTGCAATAGTAGGCCAACTCCATATTGATGATTGAGGTGACATCTGCCACCACTCTGTACAATGTGGCCGGATCACTCTGTCTGTTGATCTGGGACAGTGTGGCTTTGACCGCGAGCTCTTGGTCACCACCAATGCCGACGCCTGCGCCATCCAAACTCCGATGCTCTTTGCCCTTGCTCGTCGCATACTGGACAACTGTAAAGTGAGAGTACTTGTTTGAATGACATGTGTTGCCGTTCTCTCCACTGACCAAGCTCATATTGTTGAAGTCCACCACCAATCCCTTGACCAAGCCAAAGAAGTAATCATTCAGATTGACCTCAATATCCTTGCCATCGACCATCGCCTGGTCTCTACATCTGATCTTGAGACTCAGTTTGCTGTTCCATTGAATGAGTACAAGTTAGGATGAGTCCATCATTGGAGAATGCGAGTGTATACATACCCATTGATCGACAGGACTGAGTGATGGGTCACAATTCCACGGAAGGACACGTAGTTATATACGCTGTTGTCTGAGTTTGGTTCATCACCAAGCTCAACATCCATCAACTCATTGATACTATAAAGTGATTGAATGAGGTGAGTGAGCGAATGAGCAACAGGATGGGCAAGATTCAATTACTTACTTGTATAATGTCACTGTTGGCATACAATAGTAGAAGCTGTCGAACAACTCCTTACTTTGTACCTTGACCATTGGTATATTGTACTTTGAGATGGACTCGTGGCCATACTCTGGACACAATCTTGTCTCATCAGTTGCATCACATAATACAATCGATCGTATTTGGACTTCATGGAGGAAGGATGAGTATGATTGATAAGTTTGATTGATGAATGAGAAGAGGACATACCATTGGGAGTTACGATGATCTTGGATTGGAAGGTACGACTGTTGGTTGGCTGGATGGTGCAGTGATCGATGTAGTAGCAATGGTTGGTTTGGAGGATTGGGAAGTATGCCGATGGTACATCGAATATCTTGACGTTGGGTGCGTTGGGTAGTAGCAATACGACTGATAGTGACATGCGTCCAAGTCGTATTATCTTGCATAGTAGTTTGAAGAACATTCCATGTTGATGTTGGTCAGCGGACGACAATGAGTTGGGGGAATCCATTAGCAGCTGTTGGAACACATTGAATTGCTCTTGGAAGAAGTGTGTCTCTTTGATCAATGTGTCGGTGGTGAATCGATCAAACACAAGTGGCGCCACCAAACTACAATCATCCATCGAGAACTGGATATAACTGAATGTCTGCGCCTGCTTGTCCTCATCAGTGTATCGCTCCAACACAATGAGGAACTTGTTGACCTTCCATATGTACTGCAAGTGGAACTCATTCAGCTGATTGATTGATTGAGTGATTGAGTATGAGTGATCGCGTGAATTGGTTGGGATGATGGTCCAATGATACTTACATCTGGAATGTGACAGACCAAGAATGAAGAGCAGTTGTTGTCCTTGATGTACACCTTGCCCCACTCATAGTTCTGTGGCTCCAACTCGAATCGACTGATGAGTGTGTACTTCTCTCCAGCCCAATAGCACTCGGACTTCATGATGGTTGGCTTCATGATCTGTGAGATCTCAATGATGATTGGAAATCTGGCATACTGATTGCTGACCTGGCATCTGCCAGCGTGATGTCGCACAATAGACTCATAATCATCTAATCTCTCCACCTGCTTGATATCAAATGCCTCCGCGATCTGCTCATACAACATGATGTCCTTGTACTGCAATGATTGATGGATTGATTGAATGGTGAGTGTGAGCGCACAGCGAGTGGACCCAGGAGACAACATACCTTGGTGAGTGTACTCTTGGCATCGGTGAATATCTTTGGGAACTTGACGACGAGTCGATCAAAGAGCTTGGGGAGGATGAATGAATCGATGATTGAGTACTTGTCACAGAGTGCACTCAACTCGGTTGATTGGTAAGGCTGGAAGTTGCGTAGTCGTTGATTGATCTCGAACGAAATAAACTTGATTGAGCTGCTCGTGCACATTCCAAAGCCTTTGAACTGTTTGTTGACGTACACGGTGTGCACGTTCTCCAGCTTGATCATTGTGCCAAGGCGCAGTCCACTGCCATAGAAGCCGCTACAGCGGTAGTGTGTGATGAACAGACGGTACTCGTCGTCGAGTAGGTAGTAGCCACGGTTGGAGCTAAAGTCTGCTGTGATTGTGCCAATGTAATCGATTGTTGAGGGCAGTGGATGAACACCACCCTGTTGGATCTGATTCGCCAGGTAGGCCGGACGTGTCTGATGCAGCGTGTTGATGACGAAGTACTGGCTTTCGTGCTTTGCTTCATACATGGTCTGTTTGGGGCCGGTGCCCGATTGGCGCACCAGTCTGAGTGCGCCAACACCCGTAAAGAGATATGAGTGGCCGACATCGAGCAGCTGGAACCATTTGGTCTGCTCGCCACTGAACAGAATGAAGCTTGGGCGTTGTGTGGCGCCCGTGTGTGTCTGCAGCTCCACGCGCAGTATGAAGTACTTGTGAATGTCGCTCGAGTGTGGCAGCTTGGCGTGCAGTATCGATGTCTTGGTGAGTACCCTGCCAGCAATGTTGAACGAGTTCAGGTTCAGGTTTGAGATCGAGGCAGAGGGCGCGAGAGGGAAAGTCTTGAGCAGATATTGCTGAAAGGTCGAGATATCATGATGTACTCCACTCTCATAGTTGTTGTAGCATCGCTGATAGTAATGCGACTCACTACGATACAGTACATGCATCTTCTCCACCTCGAGGTAGTTGCCAATGTGTGATTGTGTCGCGTTCGCCGTTGTTGTGTCTGAGCCCTCTATCTTGACGGTTAGCTGTGATCCCTCCTCTTGCTTGTTGTTGACAATGACCAGCCTCCAACTTGACACAAAGACAATGGCATCCATTAGATACACTGTGTCAGTGCACTTGGCCGAGAGCTGAAGGGGCACCTCACCGCCCTGGTCACGGATGACGAGGCGGTCCTTGTGCCGCGGGTCTGATGAATGAGTGATCTTGCCAATGAGCAGACGAAACATGTGGCTGTCCTCCTCGGGCATGGACTGGTCGAGCGAGGCATAGTTGGCGCGTCTACTTGACAAGTTCCGAATGCTCACCAGACGACTACGATACGGACACCAATCATCTTGCTCGCTCAGTCGATCGACGTGTCCCCTGAATGGGGAGTATGGTGTTTGTTGTCCTTGTCCTTGTTGTTGTTGATGATGATGTTGATGAAGTAGTCTTGGTGATGGTGGTATGGAGGATATTGGAGTCTTGACAATTGTGAGTGACCTCAATGACATTGGTGTCTGAGGTGTTGGAGGTTGTTGAGGCTGTTTGGGTTGTTGAGGCGGAGGTTGATGATTGTGAAGGTAGCCATACTCATTGCTTCCAATGAGGTATATGATCAACTTCTTTAGTATCTTTCCAATGTCCTTGTGATCGAGTATGCCCGATAGATTGACATGGGCACACTCAATCAATCTCAACAGCCATCGAACTACATGTGTATCGATGCCCATTGTAGTCATGGTTGTTTGATTGAATGAATATAACGATTCACCTCGAGGCGACTGTGGAACTGATGGTATTCCGGCGGTGTTGTTGTCATTGATGGTTGAGTTGAAGCTTGTGGATAGGTCTCTGTCTGGAGAGTTGAGCAACAGTTGATAATGATGACTGACAAAGTCGAGTATATTCTTTGTATAATGTCTACTGCCAGCTTGCTGTTGTTGACCACCTCCACCTACAAAGGTATGATGCGTAGGTGTACTCGTTATTGTAGTTCTCCTAAACTTGTAAGCATTATCATTATTGTGATTATTGTTCAATGTTGATGCTGTCGTCGCTGTTGATGTTGATGATATTATCGCTTCAATATCCTTTCGTTTAGACATTGAATTGTGTAATAATGTAAATATATGTATAAATAGAGAATGAAGACGTGAAGTGAAGTGAAGTGATGAGTGAAGGACAAGGGTTTGAATTGTTTACTTCAAAAGTTTGAATTACAACAACGGATTTCTTTTAATTTATGGGTTTGATAACCCACCAGCCAATCAATGAATCAAAGAATCATTGAATCAACTTGATGATGACGACTTGTTGTCAACAATGGAGGTTTGTAAACGTTTGAAGTACTCTACCAAGAGTAGATGTCCTCGCTGGTATGCTTGAAAAAGAAGAAGTGGAACATCATGTAATTTGTTGTAGCGACTGTTGTTTGTTAGGAGCATCTTGTCGATGAGTAGTTGTAGACATACTGCTCCATTGTATCCACTACCAATGCACATTGTATAGAGCTTGGATAGGCTTCCCAGTGACATAATGTAGTATGATACAAATGTACTGTCTCGTTTCTCCATGTCCAACTTGAGCATTGTATCCATATATGCCTCCAACAAAGGAATGTATCCACAGGCAGCTGTGTAAAAGAATGGTTCAATACGTGTCGGTCGACAAAAGTCATTGCCTTGTGAATGAATGACCCAGTCGATGGTATCTATGTGTCCTCTCTCAACACCTTGATAGAGATTCGTAAATGACCATTTCATTGTTGGATGATATTCCATGAGATACTGACAAACTTCCAAGTGTCCATTGATGGCCGCGTTCTCCAGTGCCAAGCTGCTGCAACTATGCCCCTCCCTTAGGTTCTCGTTAAGGAAGCGAACGAGCTCCAGATTGCCCCGTCGCACTGCCTCATCCAATGCAACCACTGAGAATGTGACAACCGGACCAAACTCACGCTGAATATCGCGGACTAAAGATACATCATTGAACTTTCGAACGATGTTCTCGATGGAAAGTGAGGATGTTGTTGCGGTTGGCTGTGCCAAAAGTCCAGAACTAAGCACATAGAGCACTTGCTCCTTCGTCTCGAGCATATTCAGGACTCCGAGATCAATTCTGATCAAGTTCCCAAACTCTGATATCATTGCCAGGACGTCGTGACGGGCTCGAACGACAGCATTTGCTACCAACTCCTCGAATTTAAAAAGAGTAGGGTCGTTGATACATCGTTGAATCAGCTGCTTGAAAACAGTGATGTCCTTGACCATCATGATCTCTGGAACTTTCAACAAGTTTGGGTACCTAGCATTGAAATTGCAAAAGTTGTTTGATCCAGAGATGAACTCTATCATCTCGATTGTGATGGTTGGCGAGAATAAGATACCAGTGTATATCTTGATGTTGTTGTATGATGCTAGTGTTCGCAGAAGCTCCATTGTGAGGATGGATTCGTTGATTGGGCCATTCAGTGTCCATATACACCTGGGACCAGCCTCATGCGCCTTGCAATTATCCAAGAGATGAAGGGCTACGTCGATGAAACCTCTCCTCAATGCCTCGGCCACATGAATTCCCAATATAGGCGCTTCCTTACGTGAAGTGGCCCATTGTGCCAGACCGATGTCGCCAAACGTCGCAGCGGCCAAGCACACAAAGTCAATTGGAAGATGTTGTCGATAGCGCTGTACCACTGGAAGTTGCCCAGCGCTTGACTGGGTGAATGTATACAAATCCTCGTTGGTATTGTCGCCTCCCCTTCGAGGGGCAAGCAAAAGATTGGTTTCCAGAGACCTTGCCAAAGTGGATGCAGAATGAAGATTGAAGAAGCGGTCAAGGAGTGTATAGTCGTTATGGTGCTGAACGAGGATATCATGAGTGAGGAAGCTGTAGTTGAAGCGACTGGTGGAGCCCCCTGTGGTGAGCACCTTGAAGAGATCGGGCAGCTGGTCACACTTCAACGTCTTCACCAACTGAATGTTAATGGCAATCTCCTTGCCACTATCGATGTTGAACCGGTAGCGCTGTGAGTGCAATGTCTGAAGCATCTTGAATGATCGACACTGGGCATACAAGGAGCCAATTGTTATCTGGCCTTTGATCGACTCACACAGTGGTTTGTACATGTGATTGTTGTCCATCTCGGACAACAAGAGTTCAAACATCTCAAGATGATCACGCTGGACGACTCGATGGATCTGTTTGAAGACGACATTGAAGACAGCGTTGTTGTCATACTTGCCATCGTTGTTGTTGTTGTAGTAGTTGTCGCGATGGAGTTTGAATAGCATACCCACCGCATTGATTTGATTGGCTTTGATTGCCCTGCGGATTAGATGTCCAAGACTGAGAGGGATGTCTTTTCCAGGCCTTGCCAAGACATAAAAGTCAAAGTACTTGATGAACAGGTCGGACCTGCCATATCGTAACATTGTAGATAGACACCGCTCCTTCTCAAACATATCTCCACGCATGATGCGTGTCAATGGTAGCGAGGCGGCCTTCATCAATACAACATGTATCTGATGCACATGTTGCAGTACTACCTTTCGAAGAACCTTGTTACGCAATAAAGTCTGAAGTAATCCATGTAGTAGTTGTTGTTGTTGTTGTAGTTGTAGTTGATGTTGTGGCTCCATCTTGTAGATGTAGGGTGTGTTTGTGCTGTTGTGATCTCCAAGTATGTGTATGAAGAGATCCATGGATCTGTACAACCAAAATTGGTAATGTGGGTGAGCTAACATCATCATTTGCAAGTCCAGCCCTGACTTAGATCAACAACAACAACAACAATTATTCATTCATTTATCATTCATTATTTGTTTATTATCACTTTCCAAATAGAGATAATTAAAACATTATATATAAATGTTTTTTCTCATTCCAACTGTTATTATTATAATGAAGAATTTGGCCTTGGCAATAAATTATTGGGAGTAGTTGATTTGAGCCCTTACTAACTATATAATTAACCATTCGTCCCTTTAATACAATTACAATATAACTAAGAATATAATCTGGTCTATTCATCCCATCTTAAGAATGGCTATCTATTGGTAGTCAACATCTTAAGAATTTGTTCGTCTAGTTATAAAATGAACCTACCAATTGTATTTCAAAGTGGAAGCCGATATTTTGAACAATCAGAGCCATTCAATTTAAAATTCAATTCAATCTAGCCATCTTAACTAATATCTACAAAATATCCTCATCTTAACTAATAGTCGACCATATGAATAGATGGAGATTGAACCAATCAAATATTTTTAACCTCCCATCTATCTAACTATCTACGTACTAAATACTCGAATAGTATTAGAATGAAATTGAACCAATAAGTTGACATTGTATTAATAGAGTTAGGTAGGTTAGGTTCTAAATTGAAGAACACACAATATTATGAGTTCTACACAATTTGTATACCATAGACAGTATGATCATCGTACCCACAAGTATGCTGATGGAAGGACAAGGGTTACAGTGTGCACCCATTCGAATGGATTGGACAAAGTGACACACACTCGAGTGAATCTCCATTGGGGCGACGCCCCCTTGCACAATGATAACAGATATTTTTTGTCGGTTCGCTGTCACTCACTGGATGCCGTTTACTTGAATGGTAGGCTCAAGTCATTCGGTTCATACTAGATATTTGAATCACTTTGACATGTTCGCATGTGATCTTAGCCCAATGTCGATTCCTATACTCTTGTATAAAAAGGGCTGACCCAAACATGTCAGATGTCATATCAATCAATCAATCAATCACACATATAACAAACATGAAGTTATTTGTTATTATATCATTTTTGACATTGTTGGTAGCAACTTTGGTCGCTGGATACCAGTGGGACAACCTTAGAGTTGGTGGTGGAGGGTAAGTAATCAAAGTTAGTCTTTCTCATGGGCTTCCTCATTTCTCAAACTTATACTAACTTATTCAATAAAATAGTTATGTAACTGGAATTGCAATTCACCCTACTACTCAGGATAGAATGTACGTTAGGACTGATGTGGGAGGTGCCTACAGATGGGACTCGGTGGCATCCAAGTGGATCCAGTTGCTTGACTGGGTCGGACCATCCCAAGCCAACTTAATCGGTGTCGATGGAATGGCACTGGACAAGAACTACCCCGACAGACTCTACTTGGCACTCGGCAAGAATCTCGGTGATGGTGGACTATACCGCTCGGAGGACAAGGGTGAAACCTGGACTCGTCTGCTCACCGCTCAGTTTAATGGAAATGGCCGTGACCAGAGATGGGGTGGTGAGCCAATTGCCGTCGACCCATTGGACAGCAACATTATCTACTGTGGCACCCGTGTCCAGGGTCTGTACCGCTCAGTCGACAATGGTGCTACTTGGACCAACTTGGCAAGTGTCCCTGTCGGACACACTGGCACCGACCCAACTGGCATCAGAATCGTGGAGTTTGATCCAAGCACCGTAGTCTCTGGCCACTCTGGCAAGATCTATGTTGGAATCGCTGGAACTGGAATCTACCGCAGCACTGATGGAGGTGCTACCTTTAGCGCGTTGTCAGGTGCTCCAACATCCCCACGCAGAATGCAAGTTGTGAATGGCATCCTCTTTGTCACTCACTCCACGGGTGTGTCAAAATGGAATGGATCCGCATGGACCAATATCACTCCATCAGCCAGTGCTGGCAAGGACTTCTGTGGTCTCGCTGTAGAAGCTGCCAACCCACTCAAGCTCTTGGTGTCTGAGAGATACAGCTCATTCAACAACGTAATGTACCGCTCGGTTGACGGAGGTTCGACATGGACCAAGATTGGTGCCACAGGTGCCGTTGTTAGCAACAAGTTCCGTGAGGCACAGTGGTGGCCCACCAACTGGTGGGAGGCAGCCACAGCCGACCTTGTCTTGAACCCATTCGCACCAGGCCAATTCCTCTACACTGATTGGTTCGGCGTCTGGAAGACCAACACTATCTGGGGCAGCACTATGAACTTCACCACTCAGGTTCGCGGTATTGAAGAGACGGTCGTACTCACCTTGACTGCACCACCATCAGGAGCCCTCCTCTTCTCGGGCATGGCTGATGTTGGAGGCTTCCGCCACCAGAGTCTCACTGACTGGCCCGTCTACAAGAACCCCAAGGCCGAGACCTTCAGCATTGACTTTGTCGAGACTTCGCCTGCCTTTGTAGCAGCACTTGATGCCACCGATTGGGATGGTACCAACTCCCGTCTGATCACCTCAACTGACAGTGGTTCTACCTGGACTGCCGCCGCACTTCCCTCTGGTACCACACTCGGTCGTCTTGCCTACTCTGCCACCAACAACAACCGTATCGTCTATGTTGCTGGAGGTGGTAGTGTCTACTACTCGTCTAACCGTGGTGTATCCTGGACTCAGGCTACCGGAGCCCCATCTGGAGCTGTTGGCCTCACCGACATTTGGAACAGGGACAACGCTCTTGCCTCAGACCGTGTTGACGGTGCCAAGTTCTACCTGTTCTCCCAAGGTATCATCTATGCAAGCACTGACTCTGGAGCCACATGGGCAGCCAAGACCACCACCGCCATCCCCAAGAAGGCTGGATACCTCAACGTGGTCACTGTCCCAGGCAAGGCCAATGAACTCTGGGTCGGACTCGATGGCAACGGGCTCTACCGCTCGACCAACGGAGGAGTATCCTTCACCAAGATCTCCTTCTTCCAGACCTGCTCGGGTATCAACTTTGGAAAGGCTGATCCAGCCAATCCAACAGTCCCCGCCACCTTTGCCTACGGCAAGGTCGGAGGTGTCTATGGCATGTACCGTTCAAGCGACTCTGGAGCCACCTGGACCCAGATCAACGATGCCACTCACCAGTTCCCATGTGGCGTCAAGTCCCTGTCGGGAGACAGGAACACCTTTGGCCGCGTCTACGTTGCCACTGGCGGATGTGGTGTGCTCTATGGCCAACCATAAGCACAACCTTGTCTGGACGACGATCCTTCGTAATAAACTTGCCATTGCGCTCATTTATTTATTGATCCATATTATGACGGTGATTGCTAGCCAGAGCACTGCGAGGAAGATGGACAGCCAGAGCATCCGGTCCTTCCTAAACACACGTCTGGCCATCAGACGAGTGGATGATTTGTCAGTCAGGCGGTAGACAAGCTTGATGGGCACGGCGATCTCGTTGGAAGTCAGTGGGAAGCGCTCATAGTCCAGCGGGTACTTGTAAGTGTCGTACACCGTGCATGATCGCGTGCCGTCATAGATCTGGCGACGGCCAACACTGGTCAGACTGCCATTCTCACTCCTGTTTGGTGAGAGTGAGGCAAGGATTTGGTCCTGTCTCTCTCTTAGTCCTCCACTATTCTGCACGGACGATGATCCAATGGTGAATGGGATGCGTCTCGACGATGATGAGTCCATGTTGGCCTCCAACACATCAGACACTGTGATGTCCTCGTAAAGTGTCATCAACTTGCTGGCAATGATCTCCTTTGTCTTTGGATTGATTGGCTTCTTCAACAAATCCCTCAATAGACATTGAACATTGTTTGACATCTGATCAGAGAACATTGATCTCTCCTGATTCTCCTTGATTCCAAATGCAATCAACTGTAATTCCAAGTTGTGGAGTACTAATATATGTTTGTTTGTGATTGTGTTAGCTTCGTACATCATCCATAATCTGCCAACATCCATCCATCAATCATACCTTCGTTGGACAATGCATCACCGCTTCCACTTTGCTTGTTGTTGCTGTTGCCACCACTCATTAGGTAACAATCATGCTTGTTGATGTGATGCAGACATGCCAATGTTTCAGGATGTAGAATGACATCCATTACCTTGAGGAATGTCTTGAAGTGGGTGTCCAGTGAGAAGTCGAATGACAACAATGATCGGACAATGAAGAATGAGAATATATATGAATAGAAGTAGTAGTTGTCCGTTATGTACTGCTCGCTACATGATTGATTGATTGAGTTAGCTTTCAACACATTCGTTCGTTAATCCTCATCCCAAACTTACGATATAGGCTCGCCTGGATCATTACTGCTGAGCAGTAACATTGATGTGGTCTTTGGTCGCTTTGCTCGGGATGATCGCCAGGGTGTCAGATAGGTCATCCACAATCTGATTGTTTGTTCCAGTGGCAGTTCAGAGTCATTCGGATCGAATCGCTCAAAGAATGACACCAAACAATTGAACAGTGGATATCTCAGTGAGTCTGCGAGCTGGCTAACAAACATTAACTGTGGCTGACATCTTGTGAACTCCTGGAAGTGAGTCAGAAGTATATAAGACATATCAGTGTAGAATACACTCGGTCGCTTATACTATTGATTGATTGGAATGTTAGTGAGTGATTGAGTGAACGGAACTATTCCATGTGTACATACTGATGTGAACAAAGGTTGGAACTCTGGAGTGATCTTGCTTATTGTTAGATTGGTTAGATTGTGACCAAGATAGCACTCAGAGATGATGCTTAGGAATGAGAGTGTCTGTGATTGATTGAAATGCTGCTTGATGTGCTTGGGATCCAGTGGCAAGAAGTGATGCAGGTAATCATTGAGCAGACGAGCGTATATAGCCTTCTGTCGCTCTGGTGATCTTCTTGACGTTGGTGATACAGGTCTGCCAGTGTAACTATACGTTGGTACACCCAATACTGATCTTATACTTGGGTTCTGACTCTGTGCCGTGTGTGATTGATTGGTTAGTCCTGGCTCGCTGGCCTTGGCATTGCATTTCATCACTCACCCAGTAGTCACCAAACAATCCAAAGGCAAAGAAATAGAGTTGGAAGATGTTGATGGTAATTGATCGTTTGTTGTTCTTATCAACGTCACACAGCATGGCAGACAGTTGTGGCAATGGCTGATTGGTATACAATCGATATGATATAGACCTCTGGATAATGGGTTAAGTTAGCAAATGGTCGTTTGATTGATGAAGTGATTGAGTGAGTGGACTTTGTGTAGTGTACATACGGGTACTCTATCCATTGGGAATAGATAAAGGTTCTGGTTGTTGGAGAAGTGAGTGAGGAGGAAACGGAAACACTCGGATTGTGTAGATAGTTGAGAGAGTAAGGCGGGTATCTCCTCTTCGGTACAGATTCGAATGATACCCTTGGGATCTTGACCATAGATCTTACTAAGGAATACTGGCCAATCATGATGCATTGATGTCGTCTCAATATACTTGTTCAACATAATCCTAAAGTCTTTAACATTGTTGAACTCGTATAATTGTTGTTGTACTTGTTGTACCTGTTGAACTTGTTGTTGTTGTTGTTGCGCTTGTTGTTGTACTTGTTGCTGTTGTAGTACATTGCCATTCATATAAGGTGATGATGACATTGCATGTTGTGCTTGTTGTTGTTGTATCAGTGGAGATGACAACATTGGTGAACTGTTATGCATCTGTTCTTGTTGAAGATGCTGTGGAATTGGTGATGAGACACCAACACTATAATAAGACTTGATATTGTTGTTATTGTTATTCATCATCGCGATGTTATTGATATAACTAAGTTAACTCAAGATCGATACAGATGAATGTACATTCATTCAAGTTCATTCAAGTTCATCTATGCAAGAGTTTGGCGCGCCTCAGTCGATTGAGGGGTTGTGTGAGTTGTGAGAAGTTCGAGCCTCGAGTACCTTTCGACGAAGTGTGTGTCAATCAATAGTCGTCATTCATTCAAACAAATATTAAACATACTCTTTGCAATTGGATAACTTGTTTGAATAATAGTAGATATAAATATTTATCCCATCAATAGAACAGATTATATAATTATAATAATAATCATAACTGAGCATATATGTCTGGAATATCATTGGCTAGATTGACTGAGGAGAGAAAGCAATGGCGAAAGGATCACCCATTCGTATGTATAGACAGATCGCAGGGCTCTTCAATGTGTTACAATGACTGTAATCGACATCACATGTTGCCCTTTGCTAACTCAATCATTCATCAACAACAACAACATAACAACTACAACAACAGGGCTTCTTTGCTAGACCACAGAACAACAAAGACGGATCGACTAACTTGTTTGTTTGGGATTGTGGCATACCAGGTATTACTGGTGTAAGTGTATATTATACATCATCAATCGGTAAACATATGATCACTCACTCAATCACGCACAATCAATCAATCAATCAATCAATCACATGATATATAGACATTGTGGGAGGGCGGTACGTACCCATTGACAATGGAGTTCTCTGAGGAGTACCCTTCAAAGCCACCAAAGTGTAGATTCCCAAAGGACTTCTTCCATCCCAATGTATATCCCTCTGGCACCGTATGTCTGAGTATAGTTAACGATGATGGTGATTGGAAGCCCTCAATCTCTGTCAAGCAGATCCTATTGGGTATTCAAGATCTTCTCAATGCACCAAACCCAAAGAGTCCAGCACAACAACTACCAATTACACTGTTTGTGTAAGTACTCTCCTCCTCCATTTAGTGATCATTGGATTAGTATTAACGCCCTTGTACATAAATATACAGCAACAATATCGAGGAATACAAAAGAAAGGTAAAGGAACAGGTCAAGCTTTATCCTCCTCCCGTATAATAAGAATGAATATAGGGTATCAACAAACTAGATCAATACAATAACAATGCGTAGTCCAATGTTCTCCAAACCTTCTTAAGGTTGTCATCATAACTATCAACAACTCGAGGTCAAGCCGAGAGAGACCTCGGCTAATTATTTGAATCGGTCCGATCACTTTGCATCATCTTCATCTTCACACGACTATATCAACCAATCAATCAATCAATCAATCAACCATTCATGGACAATAAGTATGACAAGCATTACATTCAAACATATCTAAAGTGTATTAGACGTTACATTTCCTGTTGGGGTGGTTTGGGTGGAAGTGCTGCGATAGTACCGTACTATTGTTGAGAACTTGGTGTTGACAACAATGACTACTAACTAGGGCATGGAAGGGGAGAGTTTGGTTGAATGGTTGCTTGGTTGCTTGGTTGCTTGGGGTGGGTTTGGTTGGACGATGAGGTGAATGAAATAAACATATGGTTGCTGCTTGCGCTGCTGCTGCTGTTGCTGGGGTCTGTGCTTTGCTTTGTGGCGAGAGGACTACTGGAATGACGAGTTGGAATGGCGGCTGCTCAGCCAGTGATCACTCCTCTTCAACGCTTGTCAAACATCTTATTGAAGAAGACATCTAGTTCTCTTCTTCTTCTTCATGAACAGTACTGACTTGATAGCTTCGTCAAACACCTGCTTAAGATGTAATGAGGTCTTGGCAGAACACTCCATGTATTTAACAGCCTTGATCTTTCTAGCCAGCTCGTTACCCTAAAGTTAAAAGAAGAAAGAGTGATGATGTAGAGAGTTAGTATGAGTGATTGATGATTGTGGTTGGGTGAATAAGCGATTGAGATAAACTTACCTGCTCTGTTGAGATTGGTCTCTGTCCCTGTGATTCGAGCTTCTCGATAATAGTCCTGTCGTCACGAGTATCCAACTTGGTTCCGACCAGAATCTGTGGAACCTCTGGACAGAAATGCAATACCTCTGGGTACCACTATAATAAGGAGGACGACGACGACGAGGAGGTGTTAATACATATGATTGATTGATTGAATGATTGATTGAATGAATATACTTTACCTTTGTCAATACGTTTTCGTAGGAGACTGGGTTTGTGATTGAAAAGCATATTAGAAATACATTAGCATTGGCATAGCTCAGTGGTCTGAGTTTGTCGTACTCCTCCTGACCGGCTATATTATTGTGATTATGATTAAAAGACTCAGTTAGTAAGAGATGGCAAAGAAGTTGGTTGAATATATTGTAGATATATACCAGTATCCCAAAGTCCAAGCTCGATATTCCTATCACCTGCTGTGAGATTGACTACGTAGTTATCGAACACCTATGATTGATTGATTGAGTTAGATACAAGGACTCAACAAAGTAATAATAATAATACTCACTGTTGGAATATAATCTTCTGGGAAACGGTTGTTGGCATAACTGATCAGAAGACAAGTCTAAATGAATGAAGTTCAACAACGAAGTATGTTAGTATCATGTACATTCACTCCGTTTGTAGTTGTTGTCGATGACACCATGCTCACGCTGCTTCTTCTAATTGAAGTGCTTCGCTCCATTGACATCAACCAACTCATCGCCACAATCTCGATTGTTTGTTATCTTGCTTACCTTTCCGACAGCACCATCACCTATAACTACAAGCTTAATGACCTCTGGCGATGACATCCTATAAATATTCCTATGTTCTTTAAATTATATTATATTACTCTGTAATAGTAGTATTCGGTGTTAGTAAGATGTCATTTATAATGCTGCTACAATTGATTGATTTGGCGAGATCTCTTGCCACCGTCTTCATCAACAACACAACAACAATGTCCAACAAGACAACTACAATAATAACAATGATGATGTATGATATGTAGAAAGATACCCTACGTGTAAATAACTAACTAAAGATAGAGAGAGAGAGAGATAGATACTCAAAAAGATATTAGAAATTGAGAGAAGAAGAGCGCGATGTGCACACTACCCACAGACACATGCGTCACTCTCTCAGACACACTCCACTCACTCAATTCATTCTTTCTCTCTCTCAGACAACTAAAATAAAAAAAAAATTGTGGTGTTGTTGGTGTGAGCTTGTTGGTGTGAGTGAGAGTGGGTTTGAATCGAAAATTAATAATAATTGAGACAGACAGGAGACTGGAGGGAGTGAGTAGGTGTGAGAGTGAGGTAGGGTGGGTGAGATAGTGCGTGAGTGAATGAAAGAGTGGGTGGGTGAGTGCGAGGGATGGATGGATGCCGACATCCTTGAACTGGACTGACTGTCTTTGTCAATCTTTGTCCTCTGTCCTTCTCTCTGACTGACTTTCTGGACCTCAATTGTTGTTGTTGGTTGTCAAGGGTCATCCATCATACTCCTCCTCGTATAATAACTAGCTAGTTATAAATGATTGTTGTAGTGAACGTTCGAATGGTGGACATGGAATGAAGATATGAATGAAAGATGATTGGAACAACAATACCTACTTTATGCTAAAAGAATCGATGGCGATTAATAAATAAATATCTGTGATGATGGTTGGTGATTGATTGTTTGGTTGATTGATTGTTTGTTTGATTGTTTGGTTGTAGATATATTCTTAGTAGTGTTTGAATGAAAGAAATGTTTACTATTTGATGGCAAGTAATAGTTTCTAACCCTGTGTCTGATCACTCACAGGATTGTTGCCCATAATTGAACAGAAAGAAAAAAACAAAACAATTTGGATGAATTGGATTCATGGATAAAGGTTCTGATGTGAGCTCCCCCTTCAATCGTTATCATAAAGTTGATAACAATAGATCACACAATCCCACACACCCCATCACATCTAGAATAGAAATACATCATCAATAACACATTTATATTATTAGATATATGAATATGTATTGAAAAGGGAAGGAAAGGAATTAACTAGGGACGTTTGTAGATCAACTTCATCATCATCGACACACAACCTAATCCAGTTTGGTAGGTCGATGGACAATTCAATCTTTCTCCACAACACAACAATAATCGTTCGAACGAACGAACATTGTGAACCTCAACACAGTCGTCAATCGTCAATAGACTATTCAACCCCGTCACGGTGGAGTTTGGACCATCCTTCGTCTCTACCTATCCATGAGGAGCCTTCTCCATGGTGGTCCATTGTGACATTTGAGAACAAAGTTTTGACGTACTTACCAAACTAGGCAACACCTGCTTCTAGTTCACCCGTTCCTTTCGCGACCACACAGATTTCCCGGCCAGACGTCAGCCCTGGGCCCGCCTGTGAGGCCAGAGACACGAGTTGTCGATAAATAAGGAAGTGGGGGTTGGTCGTTTTGGTGGAGCGACAATATGCTTCTGGAAATGCCAGACAGTCCGACCAATTGAATTGCTCGATTCAACAATGTAAAATCCATCACATTATAGACTGCCATCACATTAGCCTCATAGATTCTACATCAAAGGCCTCTCAATCTCGTTCACTCACTCACACTAATGTGTATGTTGTAGAGAAGCGAAGGGGGTGCCAAGGATTGAAGTTATCGATCCAATTTGCCAGGATGAAAAGGAGGAACCCTAAAAGCGACCAACTTGTCTTGGATTTAATAATCCCAATCCTTTTTCCATTATCTACTTATATATATTGTACATTATTATAACTAAAAAACTAAAAAAAAACATTATTAATTTCTAATTTATATATTAATTATTATTCAAATAATTTATTGAACAACCAATATGTATTAGTTGATCAATCCAACCAATCATTATTTATATATAATAATAATATAGATATACCAAATTTACACAAACATATTTTATTATATGTTATATATATTTAGACAACCAAACTATATATTGTTTTATTATTTAAATATTAATATTAATAAATGATCAAGCAAAGAATCAAGATGAAGTTACTTCATAGACGTAAGTTAAAGAGATAATAATATTTATAACTTTATTTCACCAACCCATAGCCAACCTTTATTGTTTTTCTTTTTGTTTCCAATCATTTTACATGTACCAATGGGGAAATGAATATCATTATTACAACAGTCGTTCACCATCATACAACTCTCCTGTCAACATTGTCATCACTAACTCACACTCAACACACACTCGTTCATATATAATATGGTGGAAATATTTGAACGTCGTCATTCAATCAACACAATACACAATGTCATTGTGAGTGTATCACATAAAATATATATGGTATACATGTCATTTGACTTGACTGTTATTTTATTACCAGTTATCACCTTTCTTTTTCTGTTTCCATATATAAATGTATCACATACCAATCTAGAATGTTGATTGGGATGATCATTAACAGCAACAACATCAACAACCACATCAACAACAACAACAACCACATAAACGACATCTAGTACTACATAAATCACATAAAGTACATTTATATACTGCACTGCAAAAGTAGTAGAAGCAGGAGGAAGAGCAATGTTTGTATTGGTCAAACTCAAATTAATTAATGTTATTATTGGCTCTCCAGCATTCGTTTGTTCAATCGTCGCCTTGAGCTTTATCAACCATCAGACACACAAACACACAAACACATATTATCACTCAAAGTCACCGTCGATTCGTCACTATAATCTTGTTCGTCCAGTAACTCCACACCAAGCTAGCGTTCAATGATTGCCAACAGACGGACAAAACCCTACCCTTTTATTTTTGATTTGGGTTGCTATCATACTTGGTAAAACGAATGGACGGGTCCGCCCAATTATCGTAGGGACCTCCGATGCCCCTTCCAAAGACCAAGGCTCGAGCATCGAATGGATGTGGAGCATGTTCATATTCGTTGCCTAATAAGGCATAGAGTGTGCCTGTCCGCCATTCATCCCACCACCCCACCACGCTCTCACTAAAACACAACACAACAAACTAATAATACCTAGCCAAGTATGCTTGTGTGGAGGGTCAATCGTCAGTTTTATAGTTTTGTTTTGTTGTTGTTCAATAGCAAGTCAAGTCAACTCAACTCAACTACTACTACTGTACTATAGTATTATTATTAATGTTCCACTTCTTCTTCTTTTGCAAACAAGTTTGTGTGTTGTTTACATGAATCTAATCCCTCTCACACACACTATTATTATATATAAATATTTACTGTACCGTCTTATTATTGCCGACTATAGTCGCGCATATCCATCTTAATCTCTTGTTAGTTATTCGTCTAACTAAACAACATTTTGTTGTTCACACATCTAATAACAGCACCAACCAACAAATAATAATCCACATATATAAATATATATATACAAAGTGGACTACTTCCTATTTAAATAATTGTATTAATTTATTGTTGTTATTTATTATTAATACCAAATAAGTTCCACCTTGGAACATCATAACATTATTATTTATTATTAATTATTATATATATTATTACAACAAAAAACATCATTAAATATATATATATTCTAACAACAACAAGACATGTATATAATATCACATAACAAAGAAATGAACCTTTATCCAAGCAAGCCAACTACAGAGTATTATTACTATCCAACAAATAGTTCCAAGACAAAGTTATATGAGATATTGAATAATGCCAATTTAAGGTAACATCATTCAATCATTCAATCATTCAATATCAAGTTTGTAATTCATTTACTTACTCACTTTTGAATAATTACTCAATACCTTATACTTAGAGCTGCCTTTGGTTCATTCTTGAAGAGCCAGTTCTGCTTAGAGAACCTCCTTTGTTGGGAGGCCATAGAGTTATATAAGCATAAGAATGGAAATGCTTCAGAGATCTATCAAATGGCAGAGGATATATATAATAAGGTATGTTTGATTGATTGAATGGTCCATCAAAGTAGTCTAACATTATCATCCATATATCAATAGTTTATAAAAGTAAACGCAATATATGAGATCAATATATATGTTAAACAGAAGGAGTTGTTAAAGGAGAAGTTAATCAAGACATTTATTCTGCCGTCTCATCATAAACCAGGAGATACATCATCGTTACCAAAGAGGAAAATCCAGTATTGGACAGAAGTAATATTGCCTGCCATTAGACATTCAAACTCTATAACATCAACTATCACATCAACTCAATCACTACCATCAACATCAACAACAACATCATCATCTGCATCTCCATCCAGACCACTGAGCACCAGCAGCCAAAGTGCTTTCCAGACTGGTCCCGACTACTCCCATCAATTCACCTCATACTCCAACGACCCATTACAATCACAATCACATCATCCACTTAGCAACAGTACCGGCCATAATAATCAAATTGTCACAACTACAACCACTGGAGGAAGTCCCAACGGATACCCAAGCCCGAGGTTCTCCCGAAAGTACAACAGTCCATGCCAATCACCATTCTCCTCACCAGCCAACTCCCCAACACATTCACCCACAGAACAACAACAACTACAAGGTATCAAACCACCAGTCATCGCTGATAAGGCACCAACCAGTATTAGCAGCAGTGGCGACAAACAGATATACAATACCCAGACCCTGCCCATGAGTCAGAATGGAGGAAGCTCAGTACGCAAGTCATCCACATTTAGCAGTATAGATGAGAATGATCGAGCGGACATCTTCGAGGACTTCTTCACCGATGACTTCAACAGTGCCGATGTCCAGTTCGGTGTGCTACCTCACAAGTCCCTGTTCAACGATATCCAAGAGGAGCTGGAACAGATGATGATTGAGAACTCCCTTGGGGAGTTCCTAAAGTCCAAGGTCTACGTTCAAGGTCTCCAGGGTAACTCCCTGCCCTAGACCAGTCAGTCATCGTCCAGTCCCCATCCTAATATATAATCTTGTACATCTCGATTGGCTATTCAATCAACTACCGCACAAGTCCCTCACAGTTAGTTGGATGATCATTCGAGAAGAAACATGGTCCCTAATATATAATAAATATTAGACTTGTATTGATATGTAGCCAGATATCCACCCGCGATTGATTGATTGGTTGCCCTTTTATTACATATGATTGATTGAGTGGACCATCCAACGCCAACAGAGAGGCACACACTTAATGCTTGCTTGGATTCTTCTTTAGGACTGATCCAAACAGACCCTTGATCTGGTCAGAGCTCACAGGCATAGCAGCTTGGTAACATCTTTGTGAAAGGTCCTGGAAATGTTCATATTGTTCGATAAACACCTCTTCCAAGTGTTCCCATATCACAAGTATCAGCTTTGATTCCTTTGTTATATGCTTATATATATCGTGCAATGCCTTGATAAGTCCTTTCTCAATCTGGAGTATGTATGTATGTCAGTCCAACGATCAATCAATCAATCAATCAATCCAATCACTGTAACACTTACATTCTCAGTCTTGTACTTCTCCACCATCTTTTTAAACATCTGCTTTGAATGTGATTGTTGGAATTGAATGTCGGTCGCTGGAAGGGTCTGGAGGAGCTCGTCCATCTTTTGGAAGTATTCGTAGAGTGATTTGAAACGTAGGTCGATAAGGTAGTTGGTGTAGGTCTTGAGGTTATCCTTGTAGCGTTGTTGTGATGTCTCGTGATAGGTCTTTAGACAGGGCACGCCAATCTCCTCCATCTTTGTGGTCAGGTAATAGTAGTTCTCAACCATTGCGATGAATCTGTACTTGTCTGTCGATGGTTGCTTCTCGACCAAACCATCAATCCATCCATTCAATGCCACGACCACCTTGAAGTAGCTCGAGTTGATCAAAGAGTTGATCGATTCAATGTCTGCTGATGTTCTATACTTCTCCAGTGATGTGACAAATATCTAATTGGTTGGTTGGATGGTCGAGGTAAGTATGCTGAAGAGTGGTCCAAGTTAATCAATGTCGACGACATCATACGGGGAAGTGTTTAAAGTGAGGAAGTACTCCACATCGTTTCAGTGCAGGTTGAGTTGACTTGATTGAGTCCACTTGCAAGTCCTTGTGTATGCGTGAGAGAGGAGGGGCGTGTTAGATATCAAGTGTCAATCAATCAATCAAAGACAGGCAGGACTTACGATGAACTTGTTGAAAAGTGACTTCATGGTCTTTTGAACATCCGAGAGTATCTTGACGATGAAGCTGCTGTAGCTGGAGCCGAGTACAGAGTGTGATGATATGAATTGCTCGGTGTCAATCAGCATGGTGAGCAGGTAGAATGGGTTGATCTGGTCAGCCTTCTCCACAAGCTCCTTTAGTTCTGGAATGGCGCATTCAAACATCTCGGTCAGGATGTAGTTGAGAGGGTTGTCCATGCCCTCGGGCAGGATCGGTGCGCCAGGCGATTGCAATGCGCCCGGCTGTTGTTTCGATGATCCGCCACCGGTTGACATCTGACGCTGATGTTGACTCTGCTTCTTGGGCTCTGTGGGTGGGTCTGTAAACAAGAAGAAGTCCATCAAGAACAGCTGCTCCTTCATGATGGCATTCTCCACACAAGACAATCCGAATCTGAATGCCTTGTCCACTGTTCGCTTCTTTAGTGATTTGGCGGACACTGGTGTGGCCGGGGCCTTTGTTGGTGTTGCTGTAGCCGCCTCAACTGCTTTCTTGACGTGTGATGAGAAGAAATCTAATGAGTGAGAGATGACATGTTAGTCACGTGAATGATTGATTGATTGATTGAGTTGATTACCATTCTGATCCTTTGATTCCCTCTGGATTGAATGCTGTATTGATGAGAAGAATGGCTTGATCTCATGCTTGTAGGTCGATCGATAGGCCTTGATGTACAGGGGTATCAGTGGATGGAACTTCTCAATGTCCAGTTGCTTGAGCCAGTGAACCAAAGGTTTGTATCGTCCCAGTGAGTCAAAGTACACGTTGTGCTCGGGTAGGTCCTCGTCGTAGTTGTTGTCCTTGCTTGCGTCAGACAGCTTGAACTCACGCTCGATCAACATTGCAACCTTTCGCGAGAATGCCACCTTGTACGTCTCGAACACCTTGCGCTGATCCTTGACTGCGACCATATGCTCCATTCCGCTCTTGAGCTTGGTGGTGAGCGCCTTGCGCAGGTTGGTAGCGGCTTTGATGGCGGCGGTCAGGCCGTCTGGGGAGTTGAAGTCGGGGTTGTTGAGCGAGCGGATGGTGGCTTCGTCGAGTGTGAGCAGGTTGAGCAGGTACTCCAGGCTCTTCATCAGCTCCTTCTGATTGTTCGAGACGACGTTCATCTTGTTGTTCTTTGACTCGATGTGCTCAATGTACTTCTTCATCTCCTGCAACTGATTGTTATAATAGTCGATCCATGCGGTGACGCCCGTCAGGTGGTTCTCCTCGCGGTCCGTCAGCTGTCCGACCACTTCGTTGACGCCGACGGCCGAGTCGAGGATGCCCACCACCATCTCGGTCTCGAATGTCGAGAGCTGGCGACCGAGCTTCTCCATCAGCAGGTCGACGTCAGTCTCTGATGAGATGTAATCTTGAAGCAATGACTCTAGCTCATCCTCATCATCAACATTGTCGTCCCTCTGATCTGGTGTCGTGCTGCCACTGTTCTTTGACAACAACGTTGATTGAAGCAGTGGTGATGTGCTGGTCCTCTCGAGCATCCTGAATGCAGTAGGGCTGTTGTCGACCATCCTATCAGCCATCTCATCGAATGTTATTATTGTTGGAGGTGTACGATCTCCATTTATATTGTTGTTTACTATTGTAACAGAGTTCCTATAATTGTTATTATTGTTGTTATTATTATTGTTTATATTGTTGATGTTGTATGAAGATGAGTATCTCCTTGTTGACTGTGATAAGTCGTTGAAACTACTCATTGTCTATATATGTATATGTTGTATTCAATCAAGTACATGTATGTTCATCATCATATCATTGAATGAGTGATAGCCCAGGTTCAGGTCAATGTTTGAAATTGGAAATCCCATAAATTAAGAAAGTTTCCCCCACTTCTTCGAAAGATCTGATTCAAGCAACTTGAAGAGATACAATGACTTTTCAAAATGACTACGATCATTCAATCTTATTAATAACTTATACAAACATACAGATACATAATATATATATATACAACATGGATAATAAAAATAATAACAATAATGATACAGATACAGATAATAATAATACAGAACAGACCAAGTTGAGATCGAATGGATCTGATTTATCATTGATGATACAGGACTTGGAGTACTTTAAGAATCAACCAGAGAATCAATTGAAGGATAATGATGCATTCTTGTTACAAAAGCCACCAACTCCAGTGCCAGCACCATCATCACCATCATCATCACAACAGAAGAAACAAGCATCACCTCCATCAAGCCAGACTAGTAACAAGGGACAACAACAAGCAGGCAATTCATTGTCTACTACTACTTCATCGTCTAGTCTTGGAAGTAACACATCCAATGCCCTAGTACATGGCAATGTTACCGCCAACTCATTCGACGATTACCTCTTGGCCAAGCAAATCGATGGTGACCAACAACAAAGCATCAACAGTAGCATCGCCAGCAACAACAGCAACAACAACAATAATAACAACAATACTGTAACAATCAAACATGAGAACAAGGATCAAGATATGGCCAATGATGATGAAGATGATCATGCTGAAGAAGAGGAGGACGACATCATGTTCAACTTGACTCCATCATTCTCTCTCAATCTCGACACACAAGAGTTGATGTTTGTGTTTAGCCGTGACCGTGACGCAAAGGATGACAATGGCCACGATGACAGCATGTCACAATCGCAATCACAATCATATCAATCAGTGTCACTGCCTATTTGGGACGCGGTGACATCACAGGACCCTCGCCAGATCTTCTACTCGGCCACCAAACAAAAGGTCAAGCGTCCAAGAGGCATCGTCGTGCCAAACTCTAGAAAGCTGCAGCCAGAGGTCACAATCGATGATATGATGAAGGCTGGCTACCTGGTGATTGGCGACCGTCTAACCTACAGCATTGCCGGCCAGACCCACATTGGCCTGCTCATGAAGGATGGCTACATCGAGGATCACAACTGTGTCCGTCGACCATCTGTACACAACTGGATCATCAACATTCTGTCCAGCCTCTCGCCCGACAAGAACTATCATTGGTTCTCGCCATGGGACTCAATCTTTGTCAGAGGAAGATCACTCAACTTTATCAGAAAGGTGTTTGAGCGCGATCATCTCCGTGCACGCAAGTCAGTTGCTGCTGCTCCAAAGGCTCAGGTTCAAGTTCAGACAAAGACCAAGATGTCCGCCATGTTGCCTCCAGCTCCAGTGTCTAGACCACAACCTGCTGTAGTGTCTACTGATGCTACTGTTGTCAATGAGAACAACAAGCGTACTTTGGAGCAGTCCTCATCGCCCAACAAGAAGCCAAAGTCACTCTTTATCAAGAACCCTTCAGATGAGCACATCGATGACAATGAGCCAACACAATCAATGGACGTCGATTGTACCATCAGGATACCAGCCGACGATGAGTTCCAAGAGACATTGGAAGTTACGAATGGTAAGTCATTCAATCGACTAATCAAACCAATCAATCAAACTTACACTCAAATCAATCATGATTAGATCACGCTGCCACTCAACTTAGAAATGAGAGCTTCGACTCGGCGACATTGGCAAGCAACACAAGTGTACCTTTGTTGTATCAACCATCTCCTCCAAAGGATCATCAGCCATCACTTGTTGCTCAGGTCTCAAGCCAAACGTCCCATTCTCAAAATGCTCAACATCAAGATGATGATTATCAACCAATTCTAATGGAGTCACAGCCAACACCATCACAACAATCGCCTGCCAAATTGCCATCGCAACAACAAGCCTCACCATCAAAGGCATCCCAGCCATCCCAACAACAACAAGCTTCACCATCTAAGCCATCCCAGCAATCGCAACCAAAGCAGTCAACACCATCACAACAACAACCTGCCTCGAACAATGCTGCACCTTCGACTCCTCCAAAGCAGAGACCACAGCAAGCCTCACAACAATCTCCATCCCCTGCTCAAGCTCAGCCATCACAACCATCATCACAACAGCCTTCATCTCAACCAAGGCAACCTTCGCCACAAGCATCACAGAATGCCGTGGCACCAGTACAACCACCTTCACAGCCCTCACAACCATCATCTCAATCTTCACCATCCCTGCCACCATCGCAATCATCATCATCGGACTCATCAATGTCCTCTCCCTCACGACCATCATCCCAGTTGACTGCAGCATTACAGGCATCACCATCCAAGTCACAAACAATCATCGTCGCACCAAAGTCTGGCTCATCATCACAAAGATCACCAAAGTCTGCAGCATCACCTCCAGCGCCCGCCGCACAAGCATCAATACCATGCCACCAACCCAATCAAGAGCCAATATCATTGCGCAACTCAGAATCCATCAACCTGTCCGTTCAGGCCTCAGCCTCGCACCAAGCCATCGATGTGCAATCATCTGTACCAACGTCAATGTCACAAGCCAACAATCAACCATCGTATCACAGCCAACAACCACAGTCATCCATCGATTCACAAGAGAGCTCGATAGCTCCCTACCAACTACCATCATCCCAACGCAAGCCAGTCATCCTGGGCACTGGCCTCACCAGTCTCATGCAGCTGCACGTCCTCACATTGACCACATCACTTGGTGGCCAATACGTCACAGCCTTCTCTGATCGCGTAACCCATATCGTCTGCAACACCGAGAACGATCAGAACATCTCCAAGCGAACGATAAAATATCAACTTGGCGTGGCTAAAGGTATATGGATGGTCTCATTTGAATGTAAGTACAATACACTCGCTCAATCATACTTTTGGAATCATTCCACTAACTTACATCAATCAATGACACAGGGATTCTTGATTCACTCAATGACAATAGATGGGTTGAGGAGGAACCTTATGAGATTGCCGGAGACAATGAGCAACTTGGTTCGCCACAAAAGTCAAGACAACAGATGATGTTTGGAAGTGATAGGTTGTTCTATGGATATTCATTCTACTTGGTGGGCGAATTCCCATCGCCTACCAAACAAGAGGTTGAATCAATACTTAGACAAGCTGGCGGTATAATCTTGGATGCAGTGCCACCCAATCCACAGAATTCCAAAGAGTTACTACATTCCAAATGTGTTGTACTGTGTCATCCATCATCTGTACAGACACAGCGACAAGCGGTAAAGATCTACCTCGATACCAAACACCATCCAATCAGCTACAAATGGATGTTTGACAGTCTTAGCCATTACGAGATCCTTCCACGCGAGAAGTACATCGTCTGCTTCGATCAAAATGGTGTCTCAATGCAGGGTTCCAAACTCCTGGAGCATCTGGCCACTCAGCAATCAGCTGCCTTCTAAATAAATCATTGTCCATACAACAGCAACACGTGGTTGATCGTCTCGAACTTCGAATGATGATGTCGTATTTTTTTGGTAGAAATGGATGACAGTTGCCCCAACGGTTGAATATGGGTGACATTCAAATTTTTGAAATAGTTTGATGATCACACATCACATCTGTTCATACCTCTCTCTAACTCACACTCACACATCATCCTCCACAGGCTACGCAACAACCAGCAACAGCAACAGCAACAGCAATATCAACTTCAACATCAACGGCAACAGCAATAGCAATAGCAATAGCAATCGCAGTAGCAGTAGCAGTAGTAATCGCAAGTTGTTGACACAGGTCACAAGACAAAGACATCAATCAAGTCAAAAAGACAACTATCGATAAAGTAAACTCAACTCAACAACTCACTCACTTGTCTGTTACCGCGCGCAAATCAAACATATATATTTAATTATAACAAACAATCATTCAAACATATAATTAATAATAATAATAATTGATTATCATTAAGATATAATATAATGTCACTACATCAGAGTGCCGAAGCTGGCAACAAGAATGAAGTTGCAAGATTGATTGGAGAGGGCGCCGACGTTAATATACCAGATCAGTCGAATAGGTCACCGTTGCATTATGCAGCGATCGGTGGTTATACAGAGATTGTGGCATTGCTGCTGGCCAAGAACGCCACGGTCAACTGCCAGACGAACCGCGGCGCCACACCACTGCACTACGCCAGCAGGAGTGGCAGGATCGAGTGCGTGGCGCTGCTCCTGGACAATGGCGCCGACATCAACTGTCGCGACAACTCCAACGCCACGCCACTGCACGCCGCCATCACCTGTAAAGAGAACAAGACTGCCCTGGCACTGATCAACAACTACAACGCCGATGTCAACGTGCAGAACAAGGATGGCAGCACGCCCCTACATCTAGCAGCCTCCCAAGGCTTCCGCGACGTCATCACCTGTCTCATCGAGAAGGGTGCCAAGATCGATGCTCGCGACAACAAAGGTGACACTGCATTCTCTACCATCCCCTTAGTTGGTAAGTTATCACACAGTCACATGACCAGCAATCAATCAATCACATTCGCTCACTCTTTCAATCAATCAATCAATCAAATCACAACAGAGCCAAGCAAAGAGACATCAGACGTATCTGTTGGCAAGACTATTAGTGGGGACATTGGATCATTGATGCCAACATCAACATCATCAGAGACAACCAGTGGTGGTCAACAACAGAATGGTGACACGACGATGGGCGAGGCCGATGAGGACAACACACCAACCGCCAGTCTATACTCTGACATCACTCTGTTGGTGGAGGGCGGACGCAAGCTTCAGGCCCACAAGTGTATCCTCGCCGCACGTAGCGCCCACTTTAGAAAGCTGCTAAAGAAGCACACTGGACAGGAGCTAGAGATCAAGGATACCTCATATGAGCTACTTCAATCAATCATCGAATGGTATGTTGGTCTCTTACCCTCGACCCTTACCCCTACCCTTACCCTCGCCCTTGCCCTAACCCTCGCCCTCGCCCTCGCAACAACAAACAGGATATATAAAGACTCTGTCACTGCAATGAAGCAATCAGACTATGTAGACTTGACATTCTGCATGCAACTGTTGGCCGCCGCTGAGAGATACTCGATCAAACCTTTGGTACAACAGTGCGAGCAGTTTTTGATTGGCAATCTGTCGACTACGTCGGTCGGCTCGGTGTGGACTGAGCTCAAGAAGTCGTCGAGCATCCGTAGTCAGTGCCCCCAGCTGACCAAGCACTGCGCACACCTCCTGTGCAAGAGCTGGAACGTGTTGGGCGTCACCAAGTCAGTCAACGATATGACCAAGCAAGAGATCCTCGAGATGGTCAGCCTGCTCAACATCCAGCTCGCCGAACAGGCCGCCGCAGAGAGCGCCGCCAACCAACAGCCAGCCGCCGCCGCTGCCGCCGCCGCACCCGTCGCAGCCGCCCAGACCCCCTCCTCCAAGACCAAGTCGGCCAGCACAAGGAGTCGCGCGTCGACCACTGCCACGCCCCCTCCCAAGGCCTCCTCCACGCCCCAGTCCAATCGATCGGCCACCAAGGCGCCACCATCACCGCCAACCAGCGACAAGATGGACCAGAAGAACTTGGAGATCTGTAAAAACATCACTCAACAGATACACAAGAAGAAGGCGGCAGAGATCTTCCACTTCCCCGTCGACCCAGTTGCCTACAACATCCCCAACTACTTTGACATTATCAAACATCCAATGGATCTCAGCACAGTCCAGGTAAGTAGTACATGTGATGTGGATGACCATCAATCAGTTCAGTGCACTCACTCACTCACTCACTCAATCAATCAATCAATCAATCAATCAATCAATCAATCCAGAAAAATCTAAACAACAATCATTACAAGACTATTAAGGAATACGCTGCTGATATGAGATTGATGTTTGATAACGCCATGTTGTTCAATGCAGAGCAGTCACCAGTGTGGAAGTACTCTAAACAGCTGATGTCCACATTTAACAAGTTGTTTGTGGAAACATTCACGTTTGAGACCATCCCACCACCCAAGGTCATAGTCCAGGAGCCTTTGCCTGCCCCGACAGTCGAGGCAGAGAAGAAGAGGAAATCGACGATGGAGCCATCCAAGGCTGAGACTGCCACACCAACCAAGACAGTAGAGGCATCCACCAAGTCGGAGACTCCTGCCACCAAGTAAGTAACCTCCACTTTCCCTCACACATAGAATATACGCTCAACCAAATCATTCATTCGTTCAATCAATCAATCAGGAAATACACCGATGAGGACAGGAAGTCATTGATGGAGAAGATCAACCAGCTGCCAGAGACTCAATTGCAGACTATTTTGGAAATCATTGATCCAAAGGCCATTAAGGTATGTTGTGTTTGATTGATCATCAACATCAGTTCAGTGCACTCACTCACTCAATCAATCAAAATAGACCAATGATGAGGGCGCTGAGATCGATATGTATGAAGTTGGTGATGCCAATCTTGCCCAACTCGAGGAGTTTATCAATATGTGCATGAGTATGTCTATTGGTCATTGAGCAATCATTCACACACTTCCAAACTAACCACCGTGGAACAGAGAAACAAAAGACAGAGCAATAGACATACAATCCAGTTGTTGCCAACATACTTCCATTCCGTCCTTTCCCCTCCCTTCCCTTCCCTCCTATCTCCAATACCAAATGGTAATGGTTGTGTTGGGTACAAACATTGAAATAAAGTTATTCACCATGATGTGGACAGCTGTTAACTTGGTGGGCCTATGATCATTTATTGATGCATCGCAGTTAGTTTGAAGCATTAGTCTCTACTGGTGTGCTGATTCAGCGATGAGAACTGGTGTGGAAAAGAATTCAAACGCTTGACTGGTCTGGCCATCGATCGTCAATGACAGGGAGGTGAAGGCGATTCCTCCACCAGGAGGATAGCAAGTCATGATGTTTTTATTGATTGAGACAATATTGGTGCATTGGACATTGCCAGGGAATAGTTGGATACTGTAGGCAAGAGAGTGCTCATCAGACTACCTTCAATGTTGATCATTTCCCATCCAAGTGGGCTGGGTGAGACAGATGTGACCATAGGTATGAACTTGATAGCCGGCTACTTCTGTTGACTAGTGAGGGCTATCGGAGTAGAAGTTGGACCTGTCGGTCGGCAGCGGGGAGGATTTTTTTTTTTTGACTAGAGTGGAAGTTTATTATTATTGCAAATAAATTGGCGTCTTTGAAGAGGCGGGATAATATATATAAGTTAGTCGATTTTGAATTTTCTTGATTTTTTTCTTTTCTACTGTAGGCCTCTGAAATTTTTTATTTTTTATTTTTTTTTTTGACTAGAGTGGAAGTTTATTATTATTGCAAATAAATTGGCGTCATTGAAGAGGCGGGATAATACATATAAGTTAGTCGATTTTGAATTTTCTTGATTTTTTTTCTTTCTTTTCTTTTCTACTGTAGGCCTCTGAATTCGGCCACCAAGTATTTGTTGATAGTTGGCGGCAGAGGCGGAAGACGGATGTCGCTGTTGCGAGTGCTGAGGTGCCACTTGGTAGTGAACTCGGCCATCTCATTCTTGATGTTGACTGGTCGTCCGGCCAGGATGTGACTCGTTAGCGTGGACATGAGGGAACGCCACTCCTGGCGGAGGAGGGACTTGAAGGATGTGATGCACACCAAGCTGAGCTTGGCCAACGGGGCCTCCTTGTTGCCAAAGAGGTGGTTGGCGATGTAGTGCCAGAGGTAGTTGACGATGATTGCCATGAGGTGGATGAATGGAAGGTTGGGGCGACGAGACTTCGTGGAGATGTCCAGTGCTTTGATGTTCCATTCTCTGACGTTGAAAACAGAGCAATACTTCACCAAGTCTAAAACTGGGCGCATGGCTTCTTGGGTCGCCACTTTGCTGCAGTCAAAGAAGAAGTGATTGTAGGTTGGTCTGTGCAGAGTTGCCACAGCGAGTGCAGTCAGCGTCTGCTCTCCTATGATTTATCGGGGAGTATGG